AGCATGTGTTGGTTCTTTATGCCTTTTAGGACATCTTTAACAACACAGCTTTTTCTGCAAGGAAGGCTAAGGTTTATTTATGTACATAATTTGGTGTCTGGTAGAACAATCCAAAACCTCTTTGCATTGGGCTGGGGCGGAGGTGGACTGTGCAGATGTGTCCCCCTGCCAGGCTCTCACCAGCCCCCTGCTGAAGAACTCCTGGCTGGTGGCAGGCAGTGAAAAGCCACAAAGAAGAAGAAGAAGAGTTTGGATTTGATATCCCGCTTGATCACTCCCCTTACGGAGTCTCAAAGCGGCTAACATTCTCCTTTCCCTTCCTCCCCCACAACAAACACTCTTTGAGGTGAGTGGGGCTGAGAGACTTCAGAGAAGTGTGACTAGCCCAAGGTCATGCAGCAGCTGCATGTGGAGGAGTGGGGAAGCGAACCCGGTTCACCAGATTACGAGTACACCGCTCTTAACCACTACACCACACTAACCAACATGGGTGCGTGTGGACAGGTGCGCTAATTAAGGTATTTGTAGGGTAGTAACTTTGGGGGACAGTTGTTAGCTTGAGATGGGCACATAAAAAGGTCATGCTATAGAGTAACAGGCTTGGGAAAGTACCAGTGGCTACATTGTGCTTTTATTAGAGGGCAGTGTAAAAGGTTTGTAGCTGCCCTTGTATGCTTTTTCAAAAAGTTAATTTGGTTAATTGTGAAGCTGAGAGTACATTCTCATAGTTCTAATAAGTGCATGCCAAAACATGGTAGACCTCTACAGTTTTAGTGTTCTGAGGATGTGGTACCTCGTGGATTAAAATCTCAGTGACAGGAATGTAGTCTGAGGATGTGGTACCTCATGGATTAAAATCTCAGTGACAGGAATGTAGCTGATGCTTGTGTTTGTGGGCTGTGCAATGGAATGAGACCAAACCTAAAGTCATTGCATTGAGTTTAGGATGGCAAAATTCAAAGGATACCCAGGTTTGGCTGGGCAATAGTTGGTCAGGTATAATGAAGTGACTTAGCTCCCCCATCAGTGCCTTTCAGAAGGAGAAAATGAGAATTTTTTAATGATTTCCCCTCTTTCCAATACTGTAACCCCAGAGGAGCTGCAGAGCTGAATGTAGGTTTATCCTTGTTGAGAATCCCAATTTATTATTGTATCTCCCACTAAATTTAAATATGCAACATCATTTGCTATTATGTCACTTTACAAAGCAAATAAATCATTTTCTTCCACAATCTGCCTGTAAACTGAATTAATAAAGAGCATTGCAGGAAGAGGAAATGTAGCATTCCGTGATATAAATAGGGTGGAAAAGGCTCATGTTCTGTGGCTGATTGTTCAGGCTGCCCATTTCTGAATGCTTCAATATTTCCATTTTAAAAATAAAATTTAAAAATTATTAAATATTTTCATGAATTACAAGAGAATGTGCAATGTCTCTTTTTGTTGTTGTTCAGATGATGAAGTCTTTTTGTTACATTCACTGTAAGACAATATGGTATTCAAAGGTAGTGGGAGAGAGTAGAGGGGAGAAGGTATTTCTGTTTTTAAAAAACAAAATGGAGGCATATGGAAGTGCGGGTGGGGGACATGGGGTCAGCTTGGGTAGAGTCAAGCAGTAGAGCAGGAAACCCCTTTTTCGTTTTTAAAATAAAAACCATTAAAACTTCCTCTATTAAGTCCTGGTACAGCACAGCACTTAGAACCAAGAACTATGATCTGCAAATCACTGGGAGGCAAGACAGCTCAGCAGAAAAGCACACGTAGAAGTTCCCTACCAAGTTCAATCCCTGGCATATCTTGTTAAAAGGATCAGGTAGCAAACGATGTGAAGGAACTTTGGTGGTGCTCCCAAAGAGCTTCTGCCAGTCAGGCTATATAGTACAAAGTGAGATGGGTAGTACAGTGGTACCTCGGGTTAAGTACTTAATTCGTTCCAGAGGTCTGTTCTTAACCTGAAACTGTTCTTAACCTGAAGAACCGCTTTAGCTAATGGGGCCTCCCACTGCCGCCGTGCCGCCGGAGCACGATTTCTGTTCTCATCCCGAAGCAAAGTTCTTAACCCAAGGTAATATTTCTGGGTTAGCGGAGTCTATAACCTGAAGCGTCTGTAACCTGAAGCCTATGTAACCCGAGGTACCACTGTAGTCTGATCTGGAAGAAGAAGAAGAAGAAGAAGAAGAAGAGGAGGAGGAGGAGGAGGAGGAGGAGGAGTTTGGACTTGATATTCAGCCTTTCACTCGCCTTAAGGAGTCTCAAAGTGGCTAACATTCTCTTTTCCCTTCCTCCCCCACAACAAACACTCTGTGAGGTGAGTGAGGCTGAGAGACTTCAGAGAAGTGTGACTAGCCCAAGGTTACCCAGTAGTTGCATGTGGAGGAGCAGGGAAGTGAACCTGGTTCACCAGATTACGAGTCCACCATTCTTAACCACTACACCACGCTGGCATCCAAAGGTGGATGTCATTTGTTCCTGCAAGATCTGCAGGTGACCACAGCACACTGAGTTCTTAAGGGTATGAGTCTGGCAGTTCCTGATTGAAACTGGATCCAAGAATTGACCAGAGATATTCTGAGTTGGCTAAAAAGAAAAGGAAGAAGCTAAACTGCAACAAGAAAGACAACTGCAGAGAAGACCTTTAGAAACATTTACTGGGAAGAAGTATTAGATGTGTGCCGAGAAGAAAGGTGCAAATGCTGGTGTGATTCCAATGCTGGTTTCAGTAGGATGAACACATGGGGCAATTTGTTCAGCAAGTGTCAGGCCAAAGCATGATATTTACATTGACTCCTGCCCATGCTATGACTTTCACACATAGGTAAGTGTAGCAAAATAAACTTTACACACGGTTTTACTTTTACCTTTGTTGGTAAATGGCCTCGGGAGTTGAGTAAACAAGTAATGATGAATTGTGATACATATGCCTGAACAAAACAGCCCTAGTGAATTATGTGTTTGCTGCATAGCATTTTAATAAGTCTCCTCTAACTTTCTCGTGATCCACTTTTTCTTCCTGTGGGTTATTAAAGTGCTTTTCGTTTCAGTTATTCTATAATGATTCCTAATGCATTAAGACATTTCACTGTTATATGGAAAGTGATCAAGGTCAAGAAAAAAAGGACTATTAAATCTGTTCTTATTCAGTTTTGTATAAAAATATGTAAATGTATGAAAAGGGTATTAATTAACATATGGGTGGATGTAAAAGAAAATATGTATATCCTCATCATATTCACAGGGGACTTCAGCTGAGAAACTAGTTAACTTTTCATCATACATTAGACTAGCAGGTAAACATTAATATTGTTGAAAGCCTTATGATGTTGCTGTGATGTTGCAAAATCTTTGTTAAGGTGGCATTATGTTGCCAGTTGATCTTCATCTATTATAGCAGTATTTGGCACATATCCTATTATGGTAAACCAGAGACTGTGGAGAGTGCAAGTCGGGCAAGTGGTGTGAGGCAGGAGAGGGCAGCCAGGAAACAGGCAGGGTTTGTTCAAGATTAGATCTTCTGAAAACAAGGAAATAGGTCTTCAGGACCCTGGACAGAGCCCAGGAAACAAACCATTTGTTCCAACCAGGTCAGCCTCAACTGAGTCTTTTTGTGCTCTCTGAACTTGACGTCACCTCTCAGGTTTTGTCTCCCTGATGAGGAATACAAAGACTTAAGAAGGCAGTCCTCTGACCTGGAGCTTAGCACTCAAGCACTCTGCAAGCTCATGCTGCCAGCACTCATGCCCTAAATCAGTGGTTTGCAAGGCTGTTGGAGACAAGTATTCTGGCCCTGCAAAGGAACCAGGTTGTGGAGCTGCAGCCTTGGGGGATCCAGGTGCAAGGAACTTTGGCATTTTAGTCTTGGTGCTGCCGGTGTGGGAGGTGGTCTTCAGCATTTCAGGCTTGGGGGGGGGGGTCTCTGGTTCAGTAGTCAAAGAAAACCATGTTTTAAAAGTACATAGATGACCCTGGGGGTCCCTTTCCAACTCTACTATTCTATGACCTGAAGGCAGCCCTATATAGGGAAATTTTTTAATGTTGGAAGTCTTACTGTGATGTTTCCATTTGCTGGAAGCCGCCTAGATTGGCTGGGGCAACCCAGCCAGACGGACTGCATATGAGTAAACTATTACAGTGGTACCTCGGGTTAAGTACTTAATTCGTTCCGGAGGTCTGTTCTTAACCTGAAACTGTTCTTAACCTGAAGCACCACTTTAGCTAATAACTGAGCCTAATTGGTTGCTGTCATAATTAAAACACACTGATCTGCAGCTAAGTTATGCTTGTATGCAGAATACCTAGGTGCATAAAGACTTAGTGAAAAAGATACAACCATCAAATTGTTTGGGTTTCTGCATGTAATGACACTATGCAATACAGTGGTACCTCGGGTTAAGAACTTAATTTGTTGCGGAGGTCCATTCTTAACCTGAAACTGTTCTTAACCTGAAGCACCACTTTAGCTAATGGGACCTCCTGCTGCCACATGATTTCTGTTCTCATCCTGAAGCAAAGTTCTTAACCCGAGGTAATATTTCTGGGTTAGTGGAGTCTGTAACCTGAAGCGTATGTAACCCGAGGTACCACTGTATTACTATGCCTTGTAATAGTCGTGAGCTCCCCTCTGCTCCCTGAGGCGTCTGAGGTCGAAGCGGCTCCCACGCCCTGGCGGTGAGAACCTCCGCCCTCCCCCGGGGTTTCCAGCGCCCCTCGCGAGCCACGTCTTGCCACGCGCTGGAAGCCACTTACTCCCCGCTGTCGCCTCCCGCGCGCGGCAGGCGATCCCAACTCCTCGGAGTCTCGCGCGGAAAGGGCGGGAAGGAGAGGCTGAGGAGGGCGGGGTGACGTGGTCGCCGTGAGTCAGCCTGCCGCCCGCCTGGCTTCCTCATGTCCGGGAGATTTAAAAGCCCGGGCTCCTCTGACTGGGAGCAGAGCGGCGGGAAAAGCGCGCGCGCGCCAACTCGAGGGGAAGAACGCCGCGCGCGCCAAAAGCAGGGACGGAAGCCATGCAAAGGGGAAGCGCCTGCTGGCGGCGGCAAGAGCAGCCTGCGCCGCCTGTGGCCGACGGCGGTAGCAGCAGCAGCGGCACCTGCCGCCGCTCCAACCCCAGGAAGCTGCGGTCTGGCCCGGGAACCGCCTGGGCTTTGCTCCTCTTTCTCCTCGCCTTTGGGGCGAGCGCGTGCCAAGGTAAGGGCTCCGTTTCAGAGCAATGCCTTTGCATTATCAGCACAGCATTTCTTTATGCTGGTTCAGCTTCCCTGTAGGATGACAGATTCAGCTCTTACTGGGTTTAATATTGATATTAAATGCATTTACCTTTATTACTAAAGTCGTCAATTAATGCAATTTCAGCCAGGTAAGTTCTTGTAATTACACTGTGAACATATTTCGAGCTAGTTACCTCCTAAACAAAGACCCATAAAAAGAGAGACAAACCTCTATTTTTAAAGGGCCACCATGCACGCACACGACGGTTTGCAGCTTTAGAAATCCCGCGCTGTTAGAAAAGCAAATCTTTTCAGCCCTTTGCAAAGAAGCAAAGCGACCCGCGCTTCTTTCTGGACTCTGCATTTCGTTGATGCAGGCTAGGCAAGCGGACACCAACAGGCAGCAGCTCTTCCCTAGTCCACTGAGATGCTAGCAGACAGCTGCAGATCTTTGGTCAGGGAGAAGAATGGTGGGTTATGACCCAGTTTGCTCTATGTATGCTGTGCTCGAAAATGTCTTGCCTTTGTGCCTGATGAGGAATTATGTGAAACTCAAAAGCTGATGTCGTTTCACAGCAGCCTAATACCATCCTACCGACGACAACAGTTTTGTCATTTATTTTGAAATTATTTATTTATATTTATATAATGATAAATGTCATTTATCAGTTTTGTCATTTCTTGTCATGGTATATAGGTCTGTTTGTAATTTATTGCATTTTGGCTTATACGAGACTCCAAGGCACGTTGTATGGAATTGTCCCATAAGGTGGTAGGTCAGATTTCCGCTGTCATTTTATTATAAAAATGATGTAGAGCCGATTTTAAAATCCTGTCCTGTAGTAGAAGTAAACCAGCAATAGCATTTTAGTACAGGTCATTGTTCCCACTTTCAGAGTAAATTCTGCGGCACATAACTGAAAGTCACCTACGTCTACTGTAGATTAGTTAAAATCACAGTAAATGATATGTGTAGCATTTTTCTGTTCAGCGCCTGCCTGAGCATCAGCACTTTACTGGATTTTAAACTAATGTGGGAGATAAATTTTGTAGGAAAAGCAGGATAAAAAACAAATGTCCTTCTTTTCTATTCACAATCCATTCCGTGGTTTAGACTCTCCCCTCCCTTGTTAAGCATGGATGGAAAATGTCTACTCTTTAATCATCCTGATTGCATGTAGGATGGGCATGTTAAAGGGTGATATACAGGACCCTGAATGAACATCTTAATAATAAAGTAGCTGTCAGTTTAATTTCATCTTTGAAGTTCAGAGGAATTTGTGCAGAGTATAGTTAGCAAGCATTTCTTCTATTCTAGTCCATTAGATTTACCAAAAGAAAAAGAAAAGGTATGGGGAAAATGAACAAGAAGTTAATCCTGAACAAAGCTATTTATTTTATTCCCTTGACTTGAATGTAATACACAGATGTAGTTTGCATCTGTAAAATGAAAGCATGAAATGCAGAACAGAATAACCTTCAATACTTGCTGTGTATTTCCACAGTCACATTACTTATAATTTTTAAATCTTCATAAATAATGGCAGAGAAGAAAAACATAGTAATCTAATAGTAATTTACACAGCTGCTATGCATAGTATAATTGTGGGCCAATAAAAATGTAAAGGAATGTTTTATTTCTTTCCTTTGTTTTCAGATTGCACACTGCAAGACTGAAAGCAGCTAAAAAGTCAGAATAGACAATCTCTTTCCAAATATTAAATATGATTCTGCCCCTTCCAGTTCTTATTATCTGCCAATGAAGATTGCTTGCCACATGAATTGGTAGTAGATATATTTCTGTAATAGCAATAAAAGTGCAGGCCTCTGAAGGCAATAATTACAATTTTCATATGCTCTGAAATTTTCACTAAAAAGCTTTCCTTGTGGACAAACATTTAATTCTGGGGGTGCCCACCTGTTTTTACATCATCTCAGTAAATGGAGGTATGGAACATGCCTTTGTTGGGACAATGTCTTGTTCCAACAGGAGTTTTGTATAGGAGCTTATTCATTTCTAACCAATCTGCCTAAGGAAGTTATTTTTTTTCCTGAGCAAGCTTAACGTTCCATTTTTTTTAACTGAACAAAAAGAAAAAACCCTTGTTCAATACAAAGTCTCCCTGTCATTTTATGTGGAATTTAACAGGGTACTAAATAGTAAACAGAATTAGTGACAACTTTAAATAATAATACTTTTACAGTTTCAGAAAACTTCCTTGTTTTGTTTTTTTTAAAAAATAAACAACTCTTTTCTGTGTGAAGCCCTCTTTTTATGTGAGATACATCATTAATATCTTTCATTTTTGTTCTTTCCGTAGCTTGAAATATTTATTTCTGAAAATGTACTTGTTTAACATATTTGCAAATTGTCTTGGTTTTGTGAGTTACATTGAAATGGCCATTGGCTACAAATAAACAAAAACCAAACCAATTGATACAGTACAGAACTTTATATTCAGTGCCTAATTGTTTGTGGTGCTGTTAAGTGCTGAATCGTAACATCATTTTCTTGTTTGTGACATTCATTAGTTTTCACTCAAATGCTCACACATAAGAGCTAGAGCTAGAAAACCCCATATTGATGTTGGCAATAGAGTGTGCCTCCAGGGGTGAAGTCAAATCACATTGCTTTTGCTCTGTTAGCAGCTCTGAAGCGACCACTCCAGGGCACAAGCCTGGGCAGTGTGTATGGAGGTCCTGGGCTGCCCATACAACAAGACCCCCCTCTTGACCTCACTGATACGGTCCAAAGGAAATGTTTGGCACCAGCTTGGCAGCAGGAGTAGCTGGAAGGAGGTGTACAAGTCACCATCCTTAGGGACTCCGTTCTGGATTCATGTAGGATTTACTCCTTAGCCTCTTCTTCTACTGAAGACATCCAACAAGGCAGCAGAGGTTTCAGATCAGAGTTTTCCTTCTCCTAGATGGGCTACCTTCCCAGGTTTACAAGCCCCACCTGCCCCTTTACAGCATGTGCAGAGACCACCTTCTTGAATGTTGGACCCACTATTGGTCTCATTCACTCAATCCACTGGAACTTGTCTTCACATGCAGCGGAAGTCCCTAACTTACCAAGGGTTTGAGACCTATTGGCTTGCCCTCACTTGGTTTAGATGGCCACTCAAAGTTGTTCCTGGGGTGTGGCCATTGTTGCATGCTGACAGCTTCTAGGAGCCACAGGTGAGAGCTGAATGCAAGTTGGGGGACCAAAGGTGGACAAACTACCCCAGAAGGAGCATGATGTGTCCCCCACCAGAGGTACTACTCCTCCCTTAACACCCCAGAGAACCCGTATTATAAATAATATTATGAACAGGCAATTAATTCTAATTTCCAGGTGCACCGATGGCACCCCATGTTCTACAAGGAGAACCAGATTTGCAGTTATCAAATGAGGTACAGTGAAATATCTTCTGTACTGTTTGTTTAGTTTTTTTATTTTAGAAAAGGCATTTATTTTTATCATCATTATTATTAGCACACCTGCTGTAGTTCCTTAAGAACAATATATGTTATCTTTATTTGAAAGGAGTGATCTGCTTTTCAATACAAGAATGGCATGGTAAGGCTGTCGGCAATGCAAGATAGTGTGCGCATCACACTTCCATGGTGCAGATTAAAGGAGCACAAGTGACGCTTTAGAACAGCTGTGGCAAAATATTGCCAGTAAAAGAGCTTGTATCCTGACAAGATTTAACAAGAACAACTAATGTTCATGCTTTCAGGAATTCGGCTCTTAGCTCTTTTCAGGCTTAAACCTTTACTCTGGTTAGATTTTGTTGTTGGTGCTGCACTTAAGATGGGTCTTAATATTAGTGTTAAATGTACTGTTCTCTGATCTGTCAGTTAAGATCTGGCTAGTATCTCTCATGGACGGACTTCTCATGTGTATTACACAGGACTTGGTGTTGCCAAATGCTCCTAATCTTATGCTAAAATGCTTGAGTGAGCTCTAAGTTGCTGTTTCGTGAGGCTTGTCACAACGTTGGGTGCAAACTCCTCTTTAGGAAGGGGTGTCCAGTTGTCTGGCTTTCTGAAGGGTGGTGGTGGTGGTAAGCCTTTGTTCTCTGTCAACTTAATATTAAAAATGATGGGGCCTCACATAAAACTCAACATCTTATTTTACTATTTTGCTTCTTTTTCAATCCTATGCTATCTTTGCTCTCTTGTCTATATTTACAGATAGATGATGTGTGCTCTACTTACATGGTCAGGGATAGTCCATCTCAGGTCAGTCCAGTTTAATAATAATAATAATAATAATAATAATAATAATATGCTAAATTTGTCAAAGTAGGTGCTATTGCTTCATTTATCACATGCCTCAGATTCTTCTCTCTCTCTCTCCCCCCCCCCCCAGTCCTCTAATACATTGGAAGAACTTTGCTATATGATTCTGGAACTTCTACACAAAGCTCAGGTAAATCCACTTAACGTTTTATTTCCGAAACATGGCTGCCAGCATATTTTGTACAGTGTAGGGCATTGCAATTGTGCAGTTCAGTGTATACAAAATACTGATACAATTCTCAGCTTTGTGGCTCTCTGGCAGCAAGTGCTTCAGGGCTCTTTGCAGAAAACTAGGTTTACTAAAACGGTAGCAAAACTACTTTTTGATGTCTGAGAAGTAGTACAGATGCAAAGCTATGTGCCACTGTTTCTCTAGAAAGTCTAATAGAACAGAATGTGTGCCAGCTGGCGGTTCGGAGTCCTCTATTTCTAATCAATACTGTTAACATTTTGCAGTTGGGAATTTGTGTGTACTTTCAGCTCAATAATTCCTTGGTTGCTTAAAAACAGAACAAGCCCTTAGTGGAAAGATGGGCCACTTAACCTTCATATGACTCATAGACTAATCTTGTGTCTCCCCCCTCTTTAAACGTTTTTTGAGATGCTGGTGCCCTTGGTGTGCAATTTAGACTCTTATCTCAGTTACCACGTTCTATAAACAAAGTTTCTGGTGCTAGTGGGCTATATAGGGCAGCCACAAAGATAAGCTAGTGTGTGTGGACCATATCAAGAGAAAGATATCAGAATCCAGAGGGTGTTAGCTTGATAAGATTTCTAGGGACAAGTCTTTAGTGCCCGGTATAGCTTGTTCTCCCCAGGACAAAATATTACCCTGAGGTAAGAAATATTCTACAATTATCCTTGGAATACTTTCATGATATAATTCTACTTCACATTGTAGTTTTTGTTATTATAGTGGTAGAACTTTCTGAGAAAGTATGCCATTCCCCGCAACCACTGCATTCTGTAAGAAACTGAAACCAAAACCAATAAGGAGAGTATGAAATGATTGTGTTTCAGTAATAATTTGTTCTTGATTGTAGTTTCATGGCCCAAATTATCTTGAAGAATTATCTGATGCCATTGCCTGCCTCTGTAAGCAGTTGTTGCATTCCATGTAGACTCAGACTTCTGAACCAATTGCAGTGAACAGCCAGATGACAGTTCTGGGGGGAAATATTGGATTCCGTATAGTTTCTGTGGAGTATAGCTACTGTGGAGAAGAAATGAATATAAAATACTTAAAATCTTAAACAGTTAATGGTGCAATCCTATGCATGTTAACTCAGAAGCAAATCCCAGAAGTAAATTTAATAGAGCTGAGTAATCTCAAATAAAAGTGCCTAGGATTGCAGACCCAATCAACAATTCTAAAGATACCAAACCATGCTATTTTGCTTTTCCCAAATGTCCACTCCTTGGTTGTTGAAAGTCTTTGCCAATTATTTCCACAGGAGTCAGATGAAAAGGACAACACCAAAAGAGTAAGCTCCTTGTTTTTTAAAAATGTGTTTTTTTATTGTGTGTTAACTGTCTCAAAAATCATTACATATTAATCTGTTTCAAAGTAAAATCCACTTTTAATTTCTTTGAACAGTTCTTATTCCATTATTCTAAGACCCATGACACAGGCAACTCAGACATTCTGGTAAGTTGAACTGCCCATTCCCCTGTGAGTAAAGACAACATGATATTATCATTATTATTGGGCTTCAGTTGATCCCACCTGATATTGAATTCCTAATCTGTAAAAAGTTTTTAAAACCAAGAAGCAATCTTGCTTATAGCCTAGTTACAACAGATGAAAGCTAAATGTGAATGCCAGAGGTTCTAAATTTAGTGAAACTTGAATAATTAAAAAAAAGGAAAGAAATTGATGCCGAGTGACAGACATATATGGAACTGACTAAAGACATATCTGAAGTAATCATAATCCAAACATTTTAAAGTTAAAGCTGAGTTAAAGCTAAATAGTCTTCTAATACAAATTAATGTTTTTATTCTAAAACACAATAAAGTTAATACTAGTTCTTTTATTAAGGATTCCAGCTACAAATATAGATAGTGTGAATTCTAAAATTTTCTTCAGAAAGAACGGTTTAGAATATTTCTTTTTGGGGGTTTTATCATAAACAAACAAACAAACAAACAAACAAGAAATATCCTACATGCAAACATAATGGAATAACATTTTACATAAGGTCTTTCTTTTAAAGTTCCACCAGTCACATACACACACACATCTGTCCTGTATCTTACATTAAAGTTTGTATCTGTTACTTACTGTTCATTTTGTTACATAATCAGTGTTCTATGTTTATTGCCACTGTTGTCTGATTCCTTCATACCAATAGACAATATAATGGATTTTTTGTTACAGCACATTACTAAAATGTTATAAATATAGAAATATTTTGTAGCAAAAAGTGACAAAGCTATCATGAAATTGCAATTTCTTTGGGGTTTATATCTTGGCAGCTACTTTGTTTCTTAATAATTCAATGTTGCAGTCCCATAGAAGTTGTACATTTTATTGTGTTTAGCTTATCACCAAGTTTATACACCAATGGAAATTCGAATACATTTTAAAACATACATTAAATAAACTGGGCTTTTGATTTCTCACAGTATTTGAGTAAATAACCCCACACAAATCTTTTGATAAAAGTAATTATATTAGAATCACTCCTAACTCATTACGAAATCACAGAATAAGAAGATGTATTTTATCTTTAGCTTTGAGCCTCATGGGCGCAAAATAGACCATTAAGCAATTAATATATTTAGCGAATAATGGTTATATATCTGCTGCATGAAATGTTTTGCATTTTTTAAACAAGAATATAAATGAAATATTTTTGAGAAACATTATGTGCAGTGCTGTTCAGTTATGCTCTGACCCCTAACAGATGCTGCATGTATATTGGGAGCACTTGTGGAGCGGCTTATTCTGATTTGGGATTCAGGTTTGTAGGGCAACAAAAATTTAGGCTTGAGGTTTCCTGGGGGAAGCGAGGAAAGCCGTAGAGCAGAATGCACATAGTCTGAGGTTGAAATCCTATACACCTTTACCTGGGAGTGTCCCATTTAACTCAGTGTGGCTTACAGACTTGTTTAGGAATGCACTGTAAGGAATGAAGAAGAGCAGGAGGTAAGGAAGCCCAGAATTGTTTCAACTGTGGCCAGCAACTGCTGCTTTTTAGCAGTATTATTATAATGATTATTTATTGAATTTATATACCTCCCTATACATGCAGGTCTCAGGGTGGTTCACAGAATAAAATCAAAATATAAAACAGCAAAATGCATAATCAAAATAAAAACAACAACAATCCCATGAACATCTACCTTGGCTGTGTGCCTTCAGACTAACTTAGCATATTGAAATTGAGTTGCCATTCAAGTATTTTGGCCTCACTGAAGCTTCAGCTTTTCTCCTAAATATTGTACCTTATATTGTGGAGGGCTTCTGGAAGTAGGCATATAGATTTTAGGGTTCTATGTAGGATAAAGGGACACTACTTCTTGATTAATGAGGCAAGTTCTTCTTTGTGACCAAGACGAAAAATTATGTATGAAATGCTATTAAACAGATATAGTGCAATGATTTCTGCATGCATAATAACAATTCCCCTCTCCTCTCTTCTCCCTATGTGCTCCCTGTGCCCTCCCCCAGTGGCGTAGCGTGGGGGGTGCAGGGGGTGCCGGCCGCACCGGGCGCAACATCTGGGGGGGGCGCGCTCGCACTCGCAGCTCTCTGCCCCTACCTGGCTCACTCACTCTCTCTCACTGCAGTGCTGGCTGTGCGAATCCGATCCGAGCCGCTGGGTCGCTGCCCACTGTGGAGGGGTGGGTGCCAGGCGTGCGGTGCGGAGAGAGAGCGAGGGACTATCTGGGGGAGGGACAGTGCAGCGGCCGCCCAGCGCAGCGCTGAGCGCGGGAGAGAACCACACCAGACCAGACCAGGCAGCAGCAAGAAGAAGCTGGCAGTGGCAGCAGGTTAGGAGTTAGGGGGCGCAAATTACTTGCCTTGCCCCGGGTTAGGGGGCGCAAATTACTTGCCTTGCACCGGGTGCTGACAACCCACGCTACGCCGCTGCCCTCCCCAAAGCCTTGGGGTAACATGCAGAACATATTTAGGGAGTATGTGTACATGCAGGTGAGAGAAGAGGGTGGGAAAGTTCCTTTGCAGAGCCAAATGTTCTTGCACTACAAGATCTGTTCATTCGGATGCTGCTTGGATTTATTAGTTCTTCCTGGGTTTGCAAACTTTTCCTGTCTGGATATCTAGGAACTTGGCATTATCCTGAGACTGTCCATCTAGCAAGAAACCATAGGGAGCTTTATCTAATGTCTGTGGTGTTAGATGGCTCATGGCAACAAGCAGAGGCAGCTCATCCCATTTCACTGGCTGAGGCGAAACAGGAAAGTGCACACACTGCACACCACCCTCCTTGCTGCCCTAGCCAAAGTCTCACTTACTGGGGTCACAGAGCCCCACAAGAAGTCACAGAAGCCTCTGGAGGTATCTGTGTGATCTTGTAGGGTTCTTGTGAGATCTTGCCAGAACGGAGAATCCATTGTATCTGCTTCTTCGGAGGCAAGAAGGTGTGTGTCCATGGATTCTGCCACCTGAGGCCCTGACAACAAACACTCAGCGATCATTTGCTTTTCCAAGCAGTGCATCTTGCGTACCCATGTCAAGATTGCAGCAAACACAGGAATGGTACTTCTTGACGCTAGTTATTTCCTCATCAAATAAGTTTAACAGTGTGCATTTATGCAGGAAATTGCAACATCAGAAACAGCTATGGGAATGTCTAAAAATATTGTCCCATCAAACATCTTCATCTTTTGCTTTGTGTGCTCTGTTTTTGAGTCAGTGCTGCAGTGAAGGGTTTTGTTTGTTTGTGTTTATACATCCTGGATTTCATTGACTTTCATGTGTCTGTATTCACATCCTCTCAGTCGTCTGTCCTGCATCCTTTGCTGCAACTTGTTCCACAACTGCATGAGAGGAGACTGAAGAGATACAAAGCGGACGTATGTAACGATCCATTTTTCTTTCTAAAACATGCTGTTTATTATTCTGTATCATTATACCGTCTTTCAAGAGTGACTGATAGTCTTTGTGCTTTCTTTAAAGCACAGCATTATTCTGCACGCTTCCTCTTCAGAAGAGTTACATGTATGTTGCTATATGTCATTTTAGAAAGTTACATAAACTGGAAAAATCTAATAATTGACCATTTTATACATCTAAACAACTGTATTATCTTTCCTTTTGAATGGTTGGATTTGAGGTTGTGCTATGCTGGTTGAAATTAAGGATTGTAATAATGTCGTTCAAAGGGCTAGTCCTATGTGGGGACAGCATCTTATAGGATTAGGCTTAATATCCTGGTACCAAGGCTGCACAGAACAATATTAGTGCTCTTCAGTCTGTCCTGTGACCTGATCTTTGACCCTGGTAATAGCAGCAAAAGTGGCACTGTTGAACCTTGATTTATCCCTGCTAGTATTTTATTAAAGCCACGGGCAGTGGGGGAGGCAAGGGCTAGCAGAAGTGAACTAACAGTGATCAGTCAGAACAGTGATCATTTTACTTGCCTGAATATGTGATTTCAGGCCACTCTGCCTATCATAGCCACCTGTAGGAGGCACAAACCTTGGTACAAATTTTAGTTTTGTCAGTATCCTTTTTAATTTCTTGCACTAATTAGATGTCTGCCACAGCTTTGAATAGTCTGCCACAGCTTTGAATAGGTACTAGATTTCCTTGAAGCAAAATGCAAATTTGTTAGATGACTCCATCACAGTCTCATAGGATCCACTGGGAACAATCAATTCCACGCTATAGGGCATTGGACTGAGTAGATTTGATTCTTTTCTTTTCTTTTCTTTTCAAGGCCACTGGTTTCATCTAGCATATGTTTTTTTTACTTGGAAAAGCAACTAAAGAATAGATCTGCCAGTCAGTTGTGAAATATCCTTTCTGAGATACTCAGCTCTATTACTTTGGACAAAAAAGTCCAGTAATTGAAAATCCAAATTTATTTCATTCTTAAAAGCAGAGCTGCCAGGATAAAAGGTAAAGGGACCCCTGACCATTAGGTCCACTTGTGGCCGACTCTGGGGTTGCAGCGCTCATCTCGCTTTATTGGCCGAGGGAGCCGGCGTACAGCTTCCGGGTCATGTGACCAGCATGACTAAACCGCTTCTGGTGAACCAGAGCAGTGCACGGAAACACCACTTACCTTCCCGCCGGAGTGATACCTATTTATCTACTTGCACTGGCGTGCTTTCAAACTGCTAGGTTGGCAGGAGCAGGGACCGAGCAATGGGAGCTCACCCCGTTGCGGGGATTTGAACCGCCGACCTTCTGATCAGCAAGTCCTAGGTTCTGTGGTTTAACCCACAGCACCACCTGCGTCCTGCAGGATAGCTGCTTTTAAATCAAGAGAATTTAAAATATGAATCACACCAGGAAAAGGAGAGAGATTTAAAATTGTTTTTGTTATGCATACATTTCTGGAATAAGAGTGCCTTCTAGTTGCCGGCTATAACAGCCTCACCAAGTCACCAAGTTTGAGTCTTCAAGAGCCAGCTAGTTTCCTGAGGTGTGATACCATAAAAAACACTGGGTGGAATATTGCCACATTCTATCCATTTTTAAGATGCTACTCATTTGATTAAACTTCAGATGTATATGACTAGCTACTCCCTTCTTCCTCTCCTTTCAGAGCTTCAAATTCAGTCAGTTCTAATCCCATGAGGTACTGAAAAAACAACTAAAATAAGAACTATCCAACTCTACAATTTGATGATTCTATTTAGTTGCTTGCCTTTAAGAGGAGAAATCAGAACAAATGATTTTGTATGTGACCTACTAATAAATATTTCAGAGCTCCTTTTACCATGTCAGAAAGGAAAATGATGCAAACAGCCAATACATACTTAACACTATCACAGCCTGAGGTTATCAGATTTTTGTTTGGAAGCAGTTAACTAGAAGGCAAAGAGGAAAGCAATCTGCTTAGCACAAATGCTAAAACTGTGAAGAGAACAATATGTCCAGCTGATAAATATTTGCATAATGGAATCAAGACAGGCTGCTAGCATGCATTAACAATTTAATAGAAAATACCTGCAGTGCCCTTTGAGGAAATAGCAAGACATACAATATGTATTTGAAATCATTTTATTAATTAAAAGAGCGAGCTATTTTATACGGAATAACTTGCAAGACTGAAAGAGAGTCTTGCTTGTGCCCTTTAGATAATCATATTAGCAATTTATGTGTTGAATTCAATATTTGTGGAAAAGTCTTTAATCTAACAGAGGCCTCTGCTCATAGAACATGCAATTTTTTTCCAATTCTCTCTTTTCCCCTGCTGCTCCCCGTACCTTCAACATGCTTCTGGAGAGCCCACCAATCCTTAAGAGCAGATTTTGGGTGGGGGAGCACAGAATGTTGCAGGGGAAGAGAGCGTTGGCAAAAATCACTTTCTTTCTTCTTCATGTAGAGCAGTGGTTGCCAATTGGTGCTCCGTGGACCCTAGGGGTCTACGTAACCCACCCAGGGGGTCCTTGGCACCATTCACATAATAAAAACAACTAGGGGCCAGCACTACTTAGCTAATTGGGAAACCACTGAGAATCAAAAACCCTTCCAGAAATGGAATGGCACAGTTCGATTCAACCCACTGAATATCTGAATTTCACATTTTATTTGGCATATGCTCCTAACTTTTAAAAGTCATACAGTTTCCTTGCTACAGCTTTTGCAGGTATACTGATTAACTGCACTGCCTAACTTCTGAGAATATTGTACCTAATATAACAGAGTGCTGGTGTGGGTGCTTTGCTATACAAATCACTTGCCTCTTATGTAAGGGTTGTCTTCTGGGAATAGCACATAAAGCCGGAATTACACATAGTAAAACAAAAACCTTGGAATAGCCCCCGCACAAAAAAATCATACCTTCCAGAGCTGGCAACCAAACATGTCTTATCTGCTCCCCTAAGCAAGGCAAAGAGCTTTTAATAATATTAATATTAATATTAATATTAATATTAATAGCTATTCTTCCTGCATACCTCTTTTTCTGGAATTATTTTCCTCCTTATAGACTAAGAAAAAGCTAAATTGTATGTGAATATTTCTTTGTTGCTCATTCATTAAATAATTAAAAAGATTTATGTATATTTTTTATTATACCGAGTCACAATAATAGAAAGAAGCTTGGCACTGTTTCTCATTCCAATTTCAGACAAACAAAGTGTAGTTTTCCACAAATCTATGTCTTCGTTGAAGTAACTGACAGCTTCTTTTCTTTGCCTAATTTTATTTCTCTTTCTAAACTGTCACCAAAAGTAGGCTGGACTCTCCACCCAACCCTGCCACTAGCCATAGCACAAATCCTAGAGATATGCAATTATTATAAATTCATATTATATTATTTATTAATTTTTAAATAAGAAAATTCCCAATATTTCATGCTGTTTATGACCACTTGTGTTGCAGCATACATTGTTGTTACATTGCTACTCAAGTATGTGTTGTTTTGAAATCTATTCTCTTTTCAGGAAGAACTTCGAATACCTGGAGGAATTCAAAGTAGGGGCTACTTTATCTTCCGGGTGCGTATTTTTTGTTTGTAATATGCTGGTGATTTTGAAACAAACAAATTCTAGCATTTTAGAATCCACTTTAAATTTGTTTAAATTTTGTTCTTCAGGTGAACTAGAAACTAAGAGACGTGTGGTGAATGCGGTGGAAGTCTTTTAGAATATTTTAGATTATGAATAGTATTTTTTTCTTTTATCTTTTATCTCTTTTCTTTTCTAGTCTGCATGTTGGAAAATACGTAGACAAATGTGTTCACAGTGTTATGTATTGATTTTTGTTTCTATTTCTTTTTTATTTTTATTTTCTTGTAATATTTAATAAAAACTAATAAAAATTAATAAATAAATAAAATGTTTAAATTTTTGAATCAGTTTTAGGGGGCTACTCAGTTAAAATTCTTTTTAAAGCATTCAACAAGACACTACTTATCTGACATTATTTCTTTTCCAGCCACGCAATGGAAGGAGATCTGCTACATTTCATTAAAATGGTATAAACCTTAATTTTTCATTCAGAACAGACTTTGAGCATTCATTCTATGTGTACAGAAAATAGTCTAAAATCCACATTTTAAAAAGCAAGCAATAGAGTTGTAGTGCCAGGAAAAGTTGTGAATGAAAATTATACTATTCTACTGAATGAAAGTGTCAATAAATGAGTAGATAAGGGTCAATCAATCAATATACGCACCAAATGTTTAAGAATTTTTGCCATGCAACAAAAATGAAACCCCTCGCCAAATATTAAATCCAATATATCTCTGTGACCCACCTCCTTACCCTTCTGAGCAGGTGACAAATTATGGTGGAACAGTTTGATAACTTTGCTGATCTAAAATCATTGTAGTAAATGGATCGTGAACAGCCAACAATGTAACGCAGTTACAACAGGATCAGTGTTATTGTGTTAGAAATGGTCAACACTGAAATAAGCATTGTTGTGTCATCAAAAACAGAATCTATAGCATGGGCTAAGTCGCAGGCATGGCCAGACTTGGCCTTCCACTTTGGGACTACAGTTCCCATCATCCCTGACCACTGGTCCTGTTAGCGAGGGAGGATGGGAGTTGTAGTCCCAAAACATCTGGAGGGCCAAGTTTGGCCATGCCTGGACTAAGATATAGAACTGACCCTACACATCTCACATGGCCTAGGCAGAATTCATATGGCCAGGTCAGTATGCAGTTTGGTTATTTGTTAGTTTTATTAGCCACCTTTCACCTTGAGATCCAACAGCATGTTATATTAGTTTCCAACATAGCATTATGCTAGCAATAATATCTGCATTATTGCTGTGACGACTTCTTAGAATCAGGCTACCAAAATTTCAATTTAATAGTGACTTGCCCCCTTTTTTAAAAAAAAAATAATACAGAGCAGATTGTTTTAAGTCTAGCCCCTGCCCACCTGAGTGCAACGTTGAATGCATTAATGTATTCTGGGGACTGAGATCACGTGGATCAAAATGCCATGAAGTCTCTGTAGGCTCAGGACTCTTGGTTCTCACAGATCCACCTGGCTTCAACAGCTTGTTTCACATTGGTCATACGGTGCTGGAAGGAAGAGAGATTTGCTGTCTTCATCTCTACTTGATTGCAAAGCTGCAGCCCCCATGCTCTACCCACAGATAGAACCAGCCTATGGGAGAGAGAAAAGTGACACACCTGGCCATATTTCTCCTGGGCTGTTCTGGGCAAGACGTGATTATTGGGTGGGACATGTCTGTGATGTCAAGGGATATCTTAAGACATTTCAGGAGTTTAAAAAAGTTCAAAAATGGAACTTCCATCCCCTGACACTGCCAGTCTATATATGTCCTTTGCCAGGATTGTAACAATTTTTAAAGTCACTACCCATTATATAATTGAACATTTTTATCTTTTTCAGGATTCTTCAGCCTCAATCATCACAGGATTGCAGACAAGATGGGCATTCTTTATATGTAAAATGCGCTCTCTCTTTCTTTTTAGATACTTCATCCACTATGTACATTTCTTATAATTAAAAAAATGCAGTGAAACCCTATGCATGTTGACTAACAAGTAAGTTTCAGTGTGTTTAATGGAGCTTACTCTCAAACAAGTCAGCATAGGATTGCAGCCTAAGGTGCAGTTGTTTATTTCCGAAGTATCTTAAAATAATTCTGTTTCCTCATCTCATGTTCTTTGCAACTATGTGTGTAATAAAACTGAAAACAAAATACTGTTGGTGTTAAGATTGTTGCATGCAGAATACCTCGACCATAGCAGTATCGTTACACGTGGTGTGTTCCCTCTCACCACCTTTTGTTGTAAATAAAGACACTCTGTAGAGAGTTGTTTTTAATGAGAAGTTTTCAGTTTTTAATGTCACATTTTCAAGGTTTGGGTCTTATGGTTTGCAATTATGGTTAAGTGCTTTCGTTATATAAACCAGCATGCTAATATCTAACATGAAATCAAATGGGCCCTTCTTGTATACTGTGATGTTTCTGCTAGTGGAGCAACAGAGCAGTGGAACCATAGTCAATGAAATTTAGCAGTGGGTAAAACTTTCAAAGAGGAGAACGGGTGCCATGAATTAGAATCATATTTAGAAAGCACATCTAACAATAGCCAGTTATTCAGCTAACTGGATCTATTATTTCCAGAGGGATTTAGTTTACTGTAGCAAAAACAAGAGCCGTGTGGCCCCTTAAAGATGAATTAAGTAAGCCCTTTGTCATTGTGCAGGGCCTAATTTGTGTTAGGAGTCACCTGAGGGTTAGGCTTGGGGGCTAGGATTAGTGTTAATGACATAGCTGTTGAATACATGAAGTTAAAATTTGTTCATGTGCCTTTGTTCATGTGTTCTGTGTATCTCTCCTACCACCAAGTAACCACAATATACCACCATACATCAGGACATTGGGAAATAGTTTTGCCAGCTGACAAGCCATCTAAGCATGGCTGGATTATCTCATTAAAAATCAAGCAGAATCGTCGCTTCAGATTGTGCCCACCATGTATATAAAAAAGCTGGCGATACCAGTTTGCAGAATGAATGCACCTTTAACAATTACGCATTTTTACATTTGTGTGTGTGTGTGTGTATAATCTACACCTACCTACCTCCTTTTTCTCTTCTCTTCTTTCTAATGTTAAACCTACAGTGCCAGAGTTGACTGTTTTATTGGCCAAAATGTTGATGGCTGTTGTAAATAGCAAAGGCGAAAGAGCAGGCAGCCTTGTTTTGTAGCGCCAAACAATTGTGTCCCACAACAGTCTTATGTCATTAACCTGAACTTGATCAATGGATGGGGAATAAATAGTTGAGAGCGCACTGATAAATTTAGGGCTGTCCTACCTACCACCTCTTTCGTGTAAACTTACCACTGAGACTCACCGCTACAAAAGAAGATGGAGCTCTCACAATGGCAGTTGGCATCTCATAGCTGGCTCCTCCCACATGTTCTCCACAATAAGTTGTGTTCTGAAGCAGTTGCCTGGTCATTCTATCTACCCAGCTTGCCAGCTAGGCGCAGGCCTGGCCTCATATTTCACTGGCACTCCAGGGCCAGGTGGCAAGGGATCACTTTTGCTGCACACAAGCAAGACAACATGCAGGTCAGAAAGACAGAATGTAATCCACTGTCATAGCAATTCACTATAGGCAGTTCCATTGTTTAACTATGCACACTCTATGAAGAACTTTCTTTTATCTGTCTTGAATCTTCCAATGTGCAGCTTCATTGCATTCTAGTGTTGCAAGAGAGGGAGAAAACGTTTTCTCTAGCTACTTGCGCCATGCCGTGGAAAGTTTTAATATACTTGTATCATGTCACCTCTTACCTTTTCTCTAAACTAAAAAGTCCAAAATGTTGCAACCTCATAGGGGAGTTGCTTCATCCCCTTTATCATTTTGGTTGCCCTTTCTGAAACCTTTTCCAGCGTGCCGTCTCGCCACAGACTTGTACAATGCTATCAGTTTTAAAAGTATATCTTAAACTGTATAGCACTTTGCCCCTTTAAATATTTAAATGGTGTTTCAGCTTTTGTGCATCCCTTTAATACAAATAAGGGACATGGATGGCGCTGTAGTCTAAACCAGAGCCTAGGGCTTGCCGATCAGAAGGTTGGCGGTTCGAATCCCCACGACGGGGTGAGCTCCCATTGCTCTATCCCTGCTCCTGCCAACCTAGCAGTTTGAAAGCACGTCAAGTGCAAGTAGATAAATAGGTACCGCTCCGGCGGGAAGGTAAATGGCGTTTCCATGCGCTGCTCTGGTTCGCCAGAAGCGGCTTAGTCATGCTGGCCACATGACCCAGAAGCTGTCTGCGGACAAACACCAGCTCCCTCAGCCAATAAAGCAAGGCGAGTGCCCCAGAGTCGTCCGCGACTGGACTTAACGGTCAGAGGTCCCTTTACCTTTAAGACAAATGTGTGGTAGTATTTTATGTACATATGCAACATAATTGCCAGGGATTTGGTGAATTTATAATTGAAGATTGCAGACAAGAATAAAAGTGTGTGTGTATTTCAGATTCCTTAGCACTTTTGGGTGCAGCTCTGTGTGCATGGGAAGGAAATCAGTGAAGGCTCTTCACTCTCCCTACCAGGTTCTTGGTGTCTATAACATCAGCCGGCATGAATACAAAACAGGTTTAAAAAGGTGTTGCATACCTTCCATGTATGCTTTAATCTTAGGAGAGCGAACGTATACCAACCCCACTCCAGCAAATTCCCGTTGAAAGGGATTAATGCCACTAGTTTCAATGGGATGTTCTCACAATTAACATCAGCTAGATTGGGGCTATCAAACTGATAGAGGATTCAATATCGTATGGATTTTTCAGATTTAGGTCTTAACAACTGACCTTGTGTCTTGGATTTTTCAGGCTCTCTCTTAAGGTATTAGGTGTTTCTTGGAGTCAAATTTACAGTGGTACCTTGGTTCTCAAATGTAATCCGTTCTGGAAGTCCGTTCGACTTCCGAAACATTAGAAAACCTAGGCGCGGCTTCCAATTGGCGCAGGTGCCCTAGAAACAATAGTCGACAGCTGCATCGGACGTTCAGCTTCTGAAAAACGTTCGAAAACCAGAACACTTACTTCTGGGTTTTTGGTGTTTGGGAGCTGAAATGTTCAAGTACCAAGGCATTTGAGAACCAATGTTCCCCTGTAGTTTGGTTTATCTTCTTCCTATAGCTTTTCATAATATGTCTTTCACCCAACTAATCAAAGCCCCAGAATGTTCCACCTTGGTCCTGAGCATTGGCTTTCCAGAAACTTGCTGCATTTTCAGCTCAGCCCAATTATAGCCATTTAACCTATTCCTACCCAGCTCTACAAGCAGGACACAGAATGCTGATTGCTATAGGTGGGGGTAGAAAAACGGAGATGGAATGGAGTATCCTGGAAGAGGGTATGGTTCACTGACTGGAACCCTGAACAGGAGCTCTCCACATGCAACCTTTTGTTGTATTTATAATTATCCAGTCCACACTATTTCATTTTATAACAATGCCATTGTGTCACCTAGTTGCTCTTCCACATACTTTACATGTACTACATGTTTAATTGAAGATTCTGTGATAGTTTCTAAATCCTTTGGGATGTAAGTATTTCATCTTTAAAGCCTGTCTCAGCTTGAGTAATAGGAAACCATATCTCATCTCAAAGTAATCCAATTTCAGCATTCAGGAGAAGATTCATAAATCCTTATTAGAAGAGACAAAAGACAGGCTATTGCCTTTGCCTCTGATTTAATTTATCTTCTGTCTCAACAACATATTTTGAAACCCAACTAGAGGAATAATCTGCAATCTGCCAGGGATTCCGAATAAGTGTGAGATACACTGCATAAAGCACTCCTGCTACTAGTAACACTTTCCAATCTCTTGCTACGCAAATAATATTTCTCCAAAGGGGTATCTTGACTGAAAGGGAGAGTACTACAAAATGAGAGGTTTGTGGATTACAGCTAGTATCCAAAGTCATTTTTTGTGAAACTATGGAAAATACCGTATTTTTCGCTCTATAACACGCACCTGACCATAACATGCACATAGTTTTTAGAGGAGGAAAACAAGAAAAAATATTCTAAACGAAACAGTGGATGTATGATTTTTGTGGTTCATGCTGTGGCCACAGACATGTGATCTGACGGTGAGTTTGGGGTAGCCCAATGCAAAAATCCTGAGGATCCATGTGGATCCATGCTTTGTAACCACGGTTTTGTGCCATTGGGGCCCCATGAAACAGTGGGTGCGTGTGTTTTTTGGTGCAGGCTGTAGCCATGGACATGCTATGTGATCTGATGGTGAATTTGGGGTGATCCAGTGCAAAAATCCTGAGGATCCATGTGGATCCGTGCTTTGTAACCACGTTTTAAGTGGGGAGGGAAGGAAAAGCACTCAAGGGACAAGGAGCACGCATGGGGGGGGGTGGAGAAGGATGCTGCTAATAATGCAGGAGAGGCTCCTCTCCGGCTTTGCTCCTTTAAAACAAGCAGGCTCTGCTTCTCTCCCTCCTCCCCGGCAAGGAAACCACGATAGTAACCACTCTGAGACAAATCAAGAAAAATTGCGACCAACACTCTCCCCCAACAAGTGCAGTGAGGTCAAAACACACACACACGCGCACACACACACACACACACACACACACACACACAGAGAACTGGCCCTAAAGTCGCAGGGTGCTGGAAGTCGCAGGGGCGCTGGGGGAGTGAACGGGAAGCAAGAGAAGGAGAACAATCCCTCACACACACACAGACACACAGAGTGTCAATTCTAAAGTTGCAGGGAGAGTGAACGGGAAGCAAGAGAAGGAGAAGGAGCCCTCTCACACACACAGACACACAGAGTGACAATTCTAAAGTCGCAGGGAGAGTGAACGGAAGCAAGAGAAGGAGAAGGAGCCCTCACAGACACAAAGAGTGTCAATTCTAAAGTCGCAGGGGCGCAGGGAGAGTGAAGGGGAAGCAGGAGGAGGAGAACGATAGCTCAAGCACACACACACACAGCCCCTACAGTGGCTAATCCAAAATCGGACAGCAAAAAACTGCAGGCAGGGACAGAGAGCAGGGGTTGTTTTAAAGCAGCCAACTCCCGCTCTGCTTCTCTCCCTCCTCCCCGGCTCCGCTAGCTGACAGGAGCCGCTTACACCCGCTTTGCTGTTTCAAAGCGAGCCACGGACTGCTCACGACTGCAGCAGATTCCCCCGTCATCTGTAGGCATTCGCTCCATAACACGCACAGACATTTCCCCTTACTTTCTAGGAGGAAAAAACTGCGTGTTATGGAGCGAAATTTACGGTATACTTTAAGGCCCTGGTCTTCTATTCCAGAGATGGGGAGCCTCAGGCCTAGGAATGCAGTGGTCTATTCAGGAATAAGGAAGCAGACAACTGAATTCCAAGTCTCCCACCTGATGGGTCCCAGGCTTACTTGGGGTTTGGTTTCTTTGGAATGAGGGAAGAAGGGACTGCGGTGTCTTTAGGATATATGGTTTAGTTACACTTATAGACAACCTGAGTCGAAGATGGAGGGGTTCGCAGCATTAACACTCCAAAAGGGTCTTGTTTCTCCCATAGTCACAGCCTTGGAGTCAAGCATAAAATCAGGCAGAGCTCTCACACTCTGACTTCTGCCTACACCCTGCTTCCAGCTCTCTCACACAACACTGGCCCTAGCTTTTGTCTACTAACTACCAGCCACGTGAGAGAGGGGCCCCACCCATTTGCCCTCTGGCACAGAACAACTTCTTTTGTTATACTAAGGGTCTTTAACTCACAAAGAAACTTTAGCATTAGAAGAAGAAGAAGAAGAGTTTGGATTTGATATCCCGCTCTATCACTACCCGAAGGAGTCTCAAGGCGGCTAACATTCTCCTTTCCCTTCCTCCCCCACAACAAACACTCTGTGAGGTGAGTGGGGCTGAGAGACTTCAGAGAAGTGTGACTAGCCCAAGGTCACCCAGCAGCTGCATGTGGAGGATCAGGGAAGCGAACCCGGTTCCCCAGATTACAAGACTCTTAACCACTACATCACACTGGCTCTTGCTGGAACCAGAACCCCAGGGATTAGAAGGCACTCGAGACTCTTAAGCTCAGGTCATGAGTTCAAGCCCCACACTGGGCAAAAGATTCCTGCACTGAGGGGTTGGAATGCATGACCCTCATGGTCCCTTCGAACTCTAGGATTTCTGTGATCCCGTGGTCATACGGATTAACTCCCCAAACTCACAACACTGTAACAATAAGCACTGGTGCCAGTCAAACCTGTTTGGAGACTGTTTGGAGTCAAATCTCTTCTAGAGGATATATTTTTCCCACTTGCTGCCCTGGAATGAGTTCTTGGCCCAGCCCACCTCATCCCTTTCCCCCCTACTACAAATCAAATATCTGCCCCAAGCCTTTATATGGGGGCATCCTCTTCAAGACTAGCTGACCTAATCCATCAAGGTTGGCAGCAAACAAAAAAACAAAAAAACAAAACAAAAACAAACCCCACCCAAGGTTGGCAGCAAAAATCCCACACCTCTCTGTTCATTCTCACAATCTCCTGAGTATATCATGCACCCAAACAGAGGGAGGGAGCTATCCTGGCCCTCAAAACTCACAAGACCATGGGCGACCTCATGTGCATACACACATGCCTGCAACTTCTCCTCCTGCAATTTTTCTTTCACAGATGGAATATGAAGTGAGGGGGGAAAAACTACAGTGGTACCTCAGGTTACAGACGCTTCAGGTTACAGACTCTGCTTACCCAAAAATAGTACCTTGGGTTAAGAACTTTGCTTCAGGATGAGAACAGAAATCGCATGGCGGCAGCGGGAGGCCCCATTAGCTAAAGTGGCACCTCAGGTTAAGAACAGTTTTAGGTTAAGAACAGACCTCCGGAACAAATTAAGTTCTTAACCAGAGGTACCACTGTATCATCATCCACTCCTCACCTCCAGCCTGCAGTTTACTCTTCTCTGGGGCACTTTCTTCCTTCTCTGGCCTGACTCCCTCCAATTTTGGGGGCTTCAGCTTTCTGTGTCTTCCACACTGGCAGGCTCCTGGACAATCAACCTCTCTTCTTTTTCTGGTACTGGCTGCAACTCTTTACAGTCCAAGTTTTTCATTCTGATCATTCTGTCCGTGGATCTCTTCAGCTACCCCTGCAGCCTGAGTATACTGCAGCTGGTCTTCAGGGTCAATCTTAACCCCTTGTAGTGGCTGATCAGGCAGGGCCCTCGGCTCCTCACATGGAGTCTCCCTTTTCTCTCCAAAGGAGCTTTTTAGCTGCCCCATTTGCTCCTGGGTGTTCCTGGTACATAGCTTTTGTCTCCTCTTCCAGACTCTTAAATTGCTGTTTCTGCTGCTCCATTTGCTGCTGGAGTATCAACCTAAGCTGTTCCTTAGCCCATCCTTCAAGGTGGCTGTGATGAGGAAGAAGGGGCAGAATTCTGATAGTACTTCTTTAGATTCAAGCCAGATTACTGTATATTGGTTATATTTTGCATTCCTTTTGCAAAAGGATCCAAATGAAGATACAGAATGGAATGACATACTAAGAGATTTTGGTATACTGCCTCCAAAAGAAGAGGTTAAGGATGAAGTTGAAGAAATGGTTTTACGTTTACAGAAAGAAGCAGAAGGTAAGTGTAGTTGTGAAAAGTATTGCCAATTATTAAAATTAAGACCCATCATTTCAGCATTGTACCAGGCGGCATAGTACAATAGAGAAGTAAAGCTGTCCCTGCCTTGCAGAATATAAAGGTTGATCTACACATTAAGAAAAGGCATATAGTTCAGCCTTCCTGGGATTGTGTTACTTGAGACGACAGATAGCAGATCTATTGTTCACCAAGACATTGTTCAAGTAATGGAAAGCTAATATGCAGTGGGAAAGATTCTATTCTAACCTAGACGTTTCCTGATTGTCCAACTTTCTACAAGCAGTGAGTTTTAAACAAACAGCCTTTATTACAATTCAGACTCGCTGCTTTGTGTCCTACCCACTGGAAGGAAAATAAATTTGCTCCTTCATCTATATGATCCTGAACCTGCATTTTAAATCAGCTGTGGAGCAGAAGAATAGGCAGATACACTTTTTCTGAATGTATATATAAACAGCCATCATTAGCATATATCTGGAAATTGCCTCTATTGAAAGCTCATTGCACAATAGCCATAAACTAGAATATTGTAAGCATGGAAGTTTCCCATTCAGGTTCCTCTGTCAGATACTCCTTTTGGAAGCAAATTCAAAATTTGTTTAATCCCAGAAATTTAATCCCAGAAATATGTGTGCTCTTCATTCCCCTCCCCCAATTCTTCTTTTAGTGAAGCCATATGAAAAAATGAACCTGAAACAACTCAAAGAAGCTGAAGATGAATTTGACGAGGAAGATAGAAAAGCAGTTGAAATGTATAGGTATGCCAAGCTACTAGAAACCACTCTCAAAGCCAATACTGAGTAAGAATATTCTAAACTGGAGATTAAGTATAGAAAAAGGACACACTTCTTATCCATATAACCCCCCAATCCCCTTTCTAAAACACCACTGCATAATTTAACTTATTTAGTTTCCCAGGGGGACTGTAATCCATGAAAGCTTCTGCTACAATAAATTTCTTTAAGATATCACAAGTGTCTTTGTTGCTTTAACTATCTGAAATCCATTTACTACAGGATAAATAAATTTTATTTCTAACGTTGATAGAATTTCTTTTTCATGAGCCAGTAGTGCCACCTAGTGATTACCATATCCAAAGTTCCTGCATGCTGTATTCACTACTCAAAGTTGGCATATTGCTCAAATTATTTTTCTGCCCTCTTGTTATTCCTATTTCGTAACCTTGTCCACACTTATGTGGACAGGCTGCATGTGTATTTGAATAAACTGTTCCCCACATCTAACAATGCTCCTTTCTCCAAACCTGTAAGGAGCAGGAGTGATCATAGCCCGCCCACCCACTGCCAAACTTTCTCCCTGGTGTCTATTAATAATCATATGAAAAGTTATTACTTCACATGACTTTTGTTAAATTAGGAAACGACGTTTAGAAGAACTGCAAAAAGGACAAAGATTTGGAGAACTCAGAGAAATTTCTGGAGAACAGTATGTGAAAGAAGTTACAAATGCACAAAAAGGTGTCTGTGTTGTCATCCATTTATACAGATCAAGGTAACAGTGAGGATTTCAAAAAGGGTGCTTTAAAATTTGGCAGAATAAAACTATATACATATAAAGTTAACTCTGGGTTATGGCTTGAATAGGCACCCGTTCTTAATAATTTCTGACTGGTTTTCTTGAGGCAAATATCTGTACCAGATTTCTTCTAGATCTGCAGTTTAGGAACATCAATGAAAACTCCCTATGTTCATATGCTACCAGCAATTGCAATGTCCTGTCATACTAGCAAATGGGGGTTCCCTTGATAGGTAGGTCTAGCGCAGAAAGGACTGTGGGCTAGTTCACACATGGCCTAAGCCAATGTTCCTCAGCCTTGGGTCTCTAGATGATCTTGGACTACAACTCCCACCATCCTCAGGCAGCTTCACTAGTGCTCAGAGATTATGTGAGTTGTAATCCATCAATTTACGGGGATCCAAGGTTGAAGAACTCAGGCCTAGGCTATACACATGAAAGGAGGTAGAACCATATTGTCCAAACTTCCCCACTCTGCTGCCTCCCAGATGTTTGGGACAACCTCAATAAGCCACAGCCAGCACATGGGTTACAGGTTGCCATCCTCAGCAATAGACTATTTGTGCATTTTGCAGGGCTGCAGTCTGGGATATATATATATATATATATATATATATATATATATATATGTACCTATTATGGGGTGCTAGGAACCTCTACATAGTAAGGGGATGCATCCTAGAATGAGCGTGAATACAAATGGCGTATTGGCTTTTGTTCTGGGGCAAGAAAACGCAGCACAGCTTTATATGCATAGGACGATAGCTATGGGAACATGTCATGGTTTTCAGTCTCATGCTAATGGGCTAGTGCAATGGGCTTAGAAATGTACTCAGTAAAGGGCTCAGAAATATTGGGTGCAACATGCTGAACTGAGCAGGGAAACAACTGGAGTGAAACTCAGCCATACAGTTGAACCCAAAGTAACATACTGCCCTTCTGATGTGAAAATGTGAGTGTGAATTTAGGGGAATGGTTGATAGCGGTTTGGTGTATGGTTTTTTATTTTTTTTTAATCTAGCATTTTCTTATTTGTGCCAAAGCTTAACCATCAAACACATTTGCTCTTTTGGATTTTTAAAGCATTCCGTTATGTGTGTTAATTAATCAACACCTCAGCCTACTGGCCACAAAGTTTCCGGAAACCAAGTTTGTGAAAGCCATTGCAAACAGCTGTATTGAAAATTACCACGACAGTTGCTTACCTACGTTATTTGTGTATGAAAATGGAGAGATAAAGGGCAAGTTCATTGGAATCAGAGAATGTGGAGGAACAAATCTTACAGTAGAAGGTAATGATCAAAACACTTCAGCAAACTAGAGGCCAGTAGACAAAGATTTGGCTGGTTAGTGCAAATTTATGTGAACTGCAGCCTTCTTTATCTTTGCAGTTCTTAGCCATATTAATGACTCCTTTCCACCCATTCTTTATCCAAGTTTTACCTCTCTCAAGCTCTTCCTTTCCAGCCTTAACCGTTCTCTCATATTGTTCTGTAGCATTGCTTGTTTCAGTCCCTATTTCCAAATCCTCTTCCTTTCCTGTTTATCTAGACCTCCTGATCTGACTGCCCTGGTCCTCCTTAAGATCTATGAGCTCAACCAAACACCAGTGGCAACTCTTTGGATTACACTACTGAGCCAATGGCCACTAGAGACTCTTCTGGCTGCTCTGTCTCCCAGTGATGGGCATAATAGCTGAGAGATCGCCCCCAATGCTGCTACTGAATTGCTTAATGTATTGTAATATAAATTTTACAGTAAAATGTTGCAGCAGTTCATAAAAGAACATGTGAAGTGTGAAATGCTTCACTGTGGAATAACCAAGATAACTATTCACTGAATACTGTAACTTTACCAAACATCTTTGGTGTAAGTTCGTAACTAAAGGCAATAATTGTTTACTTAAAGACATGTATTAAATAGCTTTTTAGAAAAGGACTAGAATGGGCTGCCTTGCTATTTTTTTAGTGAAGGTAACTTTAAGGTATGTGTAGGCAATTCAGAGCTAGTAATTTCTGTATACTTATTTACAAGGCTGGTTTTTAAATTACTCTAATAGTGTTGTGCTATCCAGTGTAAAATAATAACTCCCTCCCACTATATTTTAGCTAACCATTGAGTTCTATCTGTGAATACTATGTACATGAGTTGTATCATGAAAGTAAAAATTTAATGTACCAGCCCCTGGATTGGATGTAAGTAAAAAGGTAAGCAGGTGCAGATTGCGGTTGGTGGAGCAAACATACTGGATCATAATACTGGGATATAAATGATTTACTGCTAAATATATTGCTACTTCAGTTTGTCTCAACAGTCTTTGTTATTTCAGAACTTGAGTGGAAACTGGCAGAGGTTGGTGCTCTGAAAACCGATTTGGAAGAAAACCCCAAGAAGGAAGTTGTGGATATGATGACATCTTCACTTAGAAATGCCTCCATAAATGATGTTTAGACAAACATTAACAGGACATGTAAAGACACAAACACCGCTTGAGCAGAAGGACACTTGAAGAAGCACCTGGCATTTCCGCGTTTACGTTTGGTTGGATTACTGCTTAAATCAACACTGCTTAGGAATAAGAATAAGTAAATAAAAACGGCACAAATGCAACCCACTTGCTGTATTCACACTCAGAACGTATTTTCTGCTCCAGTCCAGAGCTCTGTGTGCACTCAGACATTAGCCCAACTATCTGCCAAGGGGGCTTATTTCCTAAAAAGTGTGTTCAGTATTGCATCCATCACTCATTTGTTCATAAGTCATCTTTCCAGTGAGAGATTTGTGGCTCTCACTGTCACACAAAGGGCAAATGAATCAAGGTACTGTAAAAGTATTGTAAAAATCAGATACTGGCCTTTAAAAGCTCTGATATCCACCTGAAAACAGAATTTGGTTTCTAATTATAATACTGGTATTCATGAAATAAACTTGGATACTATGGTTCTTCCAACCTCCTTATCAAGCAAAAATGTGCTTTTATTCTCTGAGATGCTGGCTCCTAATCAAATCATTCTTTAGCTTGTGGGTCAAGCCAGAAAATGAGAGAATATGAGAAGCTAAAACTCAGAACCTCTACTATGGGTCTGGAAAGTCCCAACCCTGAAAGCATGTACAGAACACATGTAGGAGCACCAGGTCACTAGTGTTGGGAATTATTGTTTATGGGTTTGTAAAAAGCAGAACTGGACTCAACAGAGGGAAATAGCTTCAAAAAAATCACTGCCTGTATCCTTGGCCATGCCATAGTGAGCACCCAAACCATGTGGGAAAGTATTGTGCAGACACACAGCTTGGTTAGAGTTGACCCATTGAAATCAATGGGTATTAAATCCACTGATTTAAATGGATCTACTCTTATGAGGTAGCTGGATATCAGCCAGTATTTTTAGTGCTGGGCATTGTACATTCTAAGTCATATCTTGTTAATACATGCAGGGCTGCGAGACTTATTCAGATTAAATCAAGCTTAAGAAGCAACAGAACATATTGTCTGAGAAAATAGTCTCAAGGTATTGAAAAAAAGATTGGCCGAGTATTTATAGTGCCTTTCTTCTTTGTTAATTTTTGAAATTTGCTAATACGTGAGAAGGGTGAAGTGAGTTTCACAACCACACCCACAGCAGATATACCGGTAGTTGTTCAAAAACACTCATAGTTATTTCTCCTGAGAACTGGATTATTAAAAATATTAATAAAAAATATTAGCTGGTCCAGAGATCAGTAATTAACCCCAAATTCTGAAAGCCTGTGTTGTACATGCAATGTTCCGTTAGCACCTTAGAGGTTTGTGTATACCCTATTCATTCCTAGCTAGACAAAACACATGCAGGAGAATGATGAAGCAGTACACTTTGTGGTGTGTGTGTTTAATAGGGATCATTTGGCAAAGAGAGATTGGGGGGCACCTTCTCTGCACAACAATTGTGAGCTTTGCATTCCTTAGCAGCAGCTTACTGATTCCTACTATAACTGATCTCCCCAGAGCAGGTAAACACCAACTCAAAATCTGAATTTATTAAAAACAATAATTTCTTGTTTAATGAACATTTACACATCTATTTATTTATGCATTAAAATATCTCTCTGCCGCATATTCTCAAGTAAGAGAATTTGCCTGCATCGGCTTCAGTCAAGTAGTTTGCTACAGCACATAATTAACCTTTAAATAGAATGGTTTCATAGTGTGGGTGATAAATGAAATAAAAGGTGAAGTCATTTGTGTGTTGCACACTCACAAAAACTGCAGATAACTGAGCACAGTTTCAAGCTTTTATTCAGCAGTAACCTCATTTTAAGAATGAAGCAGTGACGACTAAAAAATATTGATGGAGGTGTGTGAAGACTGCAGAAAGATCTGAGAAGAATCTTAATAGCTGTTACTCATAGTCACAGGTAGGCACCTCATACTGAACCATTACCTAAGTATATAGGCCTACATTTGCACTTATTTATCTGTTGTTACCCTTACTCTTCGCCCCTTTACTCGCAAACCACTTGGGGAAAGCAATCCTGCCTCACTCACCACAAACACAGGTATGAGTATTGTCAGGGAACTGCCATCGGCTCAGAGGCGAGAAATAGAAGGGCAGTTGTGTTACAGGGAGCCTCCGAAAATCTTGCAAAGCAGTTCCTCTTCTGGAGAGGAGGAAAGCCCCACCTCCAGTGGAGAAGAGGTGCAAGGACCAGAGGATGCTAGTGAGAGCCTTAACGCTGCTCCTGAGCAAGCTGGAGAGGGGGGAAGCACGTCCTTGCCATCGCCCATCCTGCACAGTAGTGTGGTCACAGGGAGGGGTGGAAACAGTTGGGGGTAACAAAACTTTTATGTTGGGGGAGGTACAAAAAAAGACCACTCCCGGATTCTGCTAGCAATTGAGCCAGACATGAGTCGGAGTCCTGCCTGCTTACTCTCGAGCAACCACAACAGCACCTGACAAGTATTCTGAAAGGAATATGACAATAAAGATTACTACAAGATAATTTTTAAACGAATGAATAGTTTGAGGAGCATTGGCGCTGCAGTGTGCCTCGCTTTGGAAAAACAGGCAAGCATGACCCAGATCAGTTTCTGGGATGGATGATAGCTCAGGGAACTCCATGTAAACATGCCACCCATCCTCCTTTTTAAAGAGGAAGTGGGATTTCATGGGCATCCTACTGTTTAGTTTCTTAATGTGGCATGTTCTGCTGTGAATGAAGCTCTACACACTATGGCAAGATGTGATGGAAACAAGCCTAAATTAAGAATGACACATGAAACAAAAAGATTCGATGACTGGGTGGTTCATTGAGTGGTAAGACATCCAGGCAAGGGCACTAAGAGACCAATTTAACTGAATGTTTACATTGCTGACTAGCAATTTGTGCCTACAGGAACTCTGTTAGAGGGGCCCTGTCCCACTCAATTTGTCCAAAACCCTGCATCTTCTTCTTCTTCTTTTTTTTAAAAAGATATTTATTAAGATTTTCAAAATATTACAAAATGAAAAAAGAAAAAAGAAAAATACAAAATAAAAGTAGTTAAAAACAATTCAATCTTTCCATTACTTATCTTTCATTTGCTTGTTTTCCGGACCTCCTCGCACCTCCCTTTTTTGTATTCCAATTCAATTTGTTAGTTCAGCAAATCCTTCCCCTCTTTGTTTATCCTAGTCTTTAATCTTAAAATATTGTAACATTAAACTTTTACCTATTAATAATCCATTTTTAATAATCCATTTCATATTCCCTTATAATATTACAGCTAAAAACCAGTTAATTTCTATCCAACATCATTCTAACATTCATTAATTTTGCAGTATTTCTGTAAATAGTCTTTTCCCATTCTTTCTTTCACCAATTAATCATCCACTTTTACTTTATTTAATCTTATCTCTCTTAAATCTTATATATCTAAGCTTATTCTTAAAACGTTTCCCCTAGGGTCAGAAAAAATTCCATTCCACGATTTTCCCATCTCTCATTAAAACAAAAACCCTGCATCTTCTTGGCAAAGTAATATCGCATGAAGAAAGCACTCATTTCCACAAGAGCTAAAGCCAGCCTCATTCCCTACAGACCCTCTCAGGTGTGAAGAGCTGTAGGGTTAGATAGTTCTGCTGCCCTTGGGAGTTCAGAGTGACTGCATGATGGCCTGGGAGATGGCATTCTTTGTGGCAGCCCCTCAGTTGTGGGATCCCCTCCCACAGCATTAAGCATATAGTGCTGATAGCACACTGCTTTACCCTGGCCTTTGAAACCTGAGATCTATGTTATCAGGAACCACACTATTCCTGAGACTGTAGCTTGTTTTCAGAATTTTTAATATTGAATTTAGAATGGTTTTAACGTGCCCTGGGACCTGCTGATGAAGAGCAGATAATAAATATAATAATATTAATAAATGGCAACTTTTTCTGGAAAACATCTTGGAGCACACCAACAGCTTATTTAATTCAATGTATTTGTGCTACTCTATAAAATAATGAAAGTAACAAAACAATCTTGTACATGCCTATCCAAAAGTAAGTCCTATTTAATTCAATAGGGCCTATTCCCAGCAGGAGTATCATTACACTGTGAAGGAGAAAAGTTTGCCATTAAAAAGCATGATTTTTTTTTTCTTTTCCGAGTCAGTTCGTTGAGAATATTATGGTATTCTATCTTCTTCTGGGTCCTCTTGGCTTCCAGTCATATGTGTCCTTTGCATCTGGCCTTTCTATTGCACAACACGTGGAGTTATTAGTATATTTAAAAGATGAGGGTTTGTCAAGATTAAATGGCCTTGATATGGCTTTCTTCCCCTGGATAAGTTTGAAAAGGTGTCCCTAGATCAAATACAACCACCAGTTCTTTTCCCCTTGTGCAAATTGTATTTACACATATTAAGGCTTTGTCTCAGTAGGTGATAAGAACTAATAATACTATTAGTTCAATACTTTGCTTCCCTCGTGAAATCAAAATGAAATGTTTTCTCAAGCAGCTCCCAGAACAGTGAACACACCCCCTAATTGCAACTGAAGAATAACCCAGTTAATATTGCCTTTTGAAATTCCATATTTCCCTTTGTCCAACAATTGTTTATAAAATTATTCCTATTCCACCATTTTGGATATAGCCTACACAAGGAGGCTCACCATATCATAAAAAGGATCTAATAGAACCAAAAATAATACAGGCAACAATAAATAAACAGGCCAGTTAAAACAATTATTAAGTTACATATGGAATTCTCACTGTACCTGTCTGCTGCAGCTTTGGGTCTATAAAGGAATCTGTGGGTATCCTTATGTGGGATAAAGTCACTTCCCATAGATGAGCAAAGTACTTAAAATGGTGTTTTAATTCTATGCATATTTTAGCCCATTGCTACCCTACACCTTAGAGGGACGAGGGTGGCACTGTGGTCTAAACCACTGAGCCTAGGGCTTGCCGATCAGAAGGTCAGTGGTTTGAATCCCTGTGACGGGGTGAGCTCCCATTGCTCGGTCCCAGCTCCTGCCAACCTAGCAGTTCGACAGCACATCAAAGTGCAAGTAGATAAATAGGTACCACTACAGCGGGAAGGTAAATGGTGTTTCTGTGTGCTGCTCTGGTTCACCAGAAGAGGCTTAGTCATGCTGGCCACATGACCCAGAAGCTGTACTCCGGCTCCCTCGGCCAGTAAAGCGAGATGAGCGCCGCAACCCCAGAGTCGTTCGTGACTGGACCTAACAGTCAGGGGTACCTTTACCTTTACCTTACTGAATTCTTACTTGAGTTGAAATCAATTTCTTCCCATCCCTGATTAAACCTTCTGGTTTAATAAAAAAGCTACAGTAGTTATGTATATGTTGGTCTTTACACTACTTTTTGTAAACCTTTAACGGCAAAGCTTTTCTACAAAAGGGCATGCTCTTTCTTGGCGTTTGTTTATACAGCTTACATATCCAACCAATTCTATGTGAAACTAAAACTGTTTTAAGGCTCACCTAGTAAGTTGCTTGGCAACCTCAGTTACAAAACTTATATAGATAAGATAAATGGCATACACTGGGCATTAATTACCTTAAGTCATGTGTGCAGTAGTATCAACACATTCTACAAGGGCTAAATTGTTACCAGTGATATATTTACAAGACCTAATGCTTGAACAAGGTATGTCAACTGTGCTTTATTTCTCTGCTGATCTTTCACATAAAGGGAAGAAAATTTCAATTAAAAAACAAAATTCTAGAGCAGTGCCATCTGTTGTGTGTAGAGTCAAAGGAACAGCATTTCAATCATCATTCATAATAAAAATATAGAGGGGATCTAAAGCTGTTTCATAATTACTTTAAAGAACTTACTGTGAATACATGGCGTTCAAGTTCAGTAGTGAACCATGGCAACCACAGTAATAGACATGAATTGCATTAGATTTCAATATTAACCATGCTTGTAGCTTAACCATAAGCTCTAAACCAGGGATAGCCAATGTGGTGCCCTCCAGATGTTGGGTATTTCAACTTCCATCAGCCCTAGCCACCACGGCCAATAGCTAGGGATGATGGGAATTGTAATCCAAAACAACTGGATAACACTACATTGCCTCCCCCTCCCCTTATGCACTGCGAGGGTGTTGTGACTGCACCGTTCCTGCTCTTCCAGGAAACTCAGTGGTAGATGTTGGATGTTACATTTCCGGAGGAGAATAACGTATACCTGTAGATCTAATGCATCCACACCAGGGTGGTCCAGCATGCGGCCCACAAGGCCTTTTTGGTGGCCCTCAGCAACATTTGATGTCCCCCCCTGCCCTGTATTCCCAAAGCTGGGTAAATGAGGTGCTGGGCTTAGGGAAGGAGGCTTCGAGTCTTCCCTCCTCCTTCCCAAAGCCTAGGTAGCCGTTTTCAAACTTTGGGAAGACAGTGTGAGAGCTGGGACATCAAATTTTGGCCTCGCTTCCCTTGCATGACAAGGCAGTGTGTGGCCTGAGAGTTATGTGTCAAAGTATTATTGCAGCCCACTTGGTATGAAAAGTTGGGCTGCCCCGATGTACACTCTGAAGATCCCAACTTTGCAGTGTACAGATTGCAGGATAGTCAAACTTGCATGTACTGGCCTCTATACAAATACTATATCTAATAAGGGGATGGTGGGTATGGAGGAAGAGTGGTATGCTAGCATGGTTTCTGTTTGTTACAGCATGTAAAATACTGGCACATGTAATGTAGCTGTATAGTGTTATGCATATTAGTATACTTTTAGAATTCAGCATGCCTGCATGTATTTTTGCTGCTACATTTCCTTATCAAGGCTCTTTCACCCTAAATGGTTGGACCAGGAAGAAGTGCAACAAGAAAAGTTTTCAGTCATGCTCACTGCATTTCTGCCAGATTACTCTGCCTACCAAATTTCTGACAGCTATTACAGCTCCTGTCATCCCTGATGCTCCCAGATGTTGATGAGAGTTGGAAGTCTAACGTTCAGAGGGACAGATAGTCCCCTTACCGTCTGTAATGGAACCTTTTAGAACCAGGCTTCACAATTGAGCAGTGGATTGTATCGAGACATCTCCAAGAATCATAGAATTGTAGAGCTGGAAGGGACTCCAAGGATCATCTAGTCCAGCCCCTGGCAAATGCAGGAATCTCAGCTAAAGCATCCATGACAGGTGGCCATCCAACCTCTGCTTAAAAACCTCCAAGGAAGGAGAGTCCACCACCTCTTGTGGGAGTCTGTTCCATGGTGGAACAAGCTTACTGTCTGAAAGTCCTTCCAGATATTTAGCTGGAATCTCCTTTTTTGTAACTTGAATCCATTGAAATGCCATCTTCCTCTTTGTCCAAAAACTCAAGGCAGTCTTGTATTGATTGACCTTTTTGCCTCACCTGAATTTTTTATTTTGAAAAACCCTCATTCTTTGCGTCAGCTTCTGAAACACTGAACTTTTAAATCTGCTTGGGTCCTCGGCGGAGCTGTGGTGTTTGCTTTTGTTTCTTTGTTTTTAAAGTAACAACACTGGGCAACATATACGCAGTTCACAGAGCTTCTGACTGCTGCAAACATGCTACTTGCAGAAGAGCAGGAGTTTACTCAGGAGGAGGCCGGACTGACTTGCAAAGGGACTTGCGCCCATGCTGCTTCCACACTGCAGGTTAACGGGGAGCTTTTACGTGGCCCCTTCAGTAAAATAAGGTGACGGAAGCCCCCAAGTCCCCATCCCTCAGCGCCGTCTCCGAAGCAGCAACGACGTAAGAAGCTTCCACTTTGGGAGGAGGCAGAGGACCCGCCTCCAATCCCGCCCATAGTCCCAAATCCTCCCTCGCTGCTCCCCTCCTACAAGGTAATCTGAGGTCACGGAAGCACAGCGAGAACGCCTTGTCCTCTTCCGACGCATGCGCAACACATCCCTTTCCTCTCCCCCCCCCGCCACCTCCCGAAGATTTCCGTGGCGCATGCGCAGCGAAGCCGCGGCCCGCTCCCTGACGAAGAAGGGGAATCACCGTCGACTCCCCATCTATGCGCGCGGTAGTAATGCGCATGCTTAGTACTGACCAGGGAAGCACAGGGGGCCTGGGCCGGCTCAGGCTCTTGCGAGCCGATATACCGCTGCAGCTTGCTTGGTGTCCCTTACCACCGGCGCACGCGCAGTACGGCCAAGGCTCCTCCGGGCTCGGCGGCTGATTCCGCGGCTTGTTTTGCCGGTAAGCGCGAGGGCGGCGCATGCGCGGTGGCGGAGGGAGACCTTAGGGCCTGGCGGGTTGTGGCTGCTTACTTGAGAAGCGGGGGCGAGCGATCCGTGTCGCGGCGGTGGGCTGAAGAAGAAGAGGAGCGCGAAGGGAGGCGGCAGGCTGGCGGGGAAGCTCGGTAAGGTGGATACGCCAGCGAGCCGCAGCCGCCGGCCTTGAGGGGGCCTCGCGGAGTCCTGCTGGCGAGTGGGCTGAGGTAAACTTTGACAGGCGGCGGGCGCGACGGCGGGTTGGGTCGCTGGCGCAGGTCTATGATCTCAGTGTCTCTGCCCCCCCGTCTCCCGACCCCGCCGACAGTTGAGGGCTTCGCGTGACCCGCTGCCGGGGACGATTCAGGCCCTCAGGGGTTGGCCGGGATTTGGGCGATAGACTGAGGGGCCGCTCCCTCTATCTTCCTCCCACCCCCGAACCCGGGCACCGTGGCGAGGCGGAGACGGGGCAGCTCCGGTGTTTCATAACCGAGGCGGGAGGGGGCTGTGAGGGGCCTTGGCTGCGCCCATCCCGCTCTCCGGGTTGCGCCCGGCGTCTCCGGTTTATTAAAGCCGCGCCAGGAGCGGCACCGGTTTGGGGTATCCCTTATACAACCGGCGCCGTTTTGGTCCTGTCAGAAAGCTGCCCTTCCCCGCCCTGCGAGCCCGGAGCGCGAAGAGGCATTTTCCTTTTTCTCTTTTCCTCCTACAGCGGCCCTGAACCTTATTTGAATACTGATGATGCAGGCGGGGAGGGGTTTCCTCGCCTCTCTGGAGCCGCTTGCTTAGGAGCGAATCTAGGGCATTAGATCAAGTTGGAGCGCCCACGTACTTTCGTTTATTTTGCCGAGATCAGGACCCTGCCCCTTTTTTTAGAGCAAAGGGGAGTATGCTGATTTGTCAAGCCCGCTTCAAAGGTGCCAGCTGGTTTCATTTGGTAGTCAGGAATGCAATCTGACTTTTTGGTGTCGTTGGTTTCTTAGGTCTCTGGCTCAGTTTCCACTGGAATGTTATACTTCAAAAAGATCTAATGTAGCAGAAAGTGGAAAGTCAGCACGTAATGATTTCTTAATGCGCTTCTTTTTGTTAAGTAACATGCAAGCCTAAGCATACCCCTGGTAAATCTTGTTTAACTCTGCAAGATTTCCGAGTTACCATGCTGATGATGGTGCCGATGTATTGTGCACTTGCAGACAAGGTTTTGTTCTGGTTGGTAGCACTTGTAGCACTCCTTGAGTGAAGGACACCATAAGTGACAGGACAAATTGTTAGATTGTAGCAATGTGCATAACTCCATACATGGCATTTTATAAGTGATCCTACTTGCTTTCTGTGCGCACATAATGGCATATATATATATATATATATATATATATATTAACCTTGACTTTTTGAGTGGAGTAGATGTGCTGGAATAAATAGTTCTCTAGTATCTACTTAGGAAGAATAGATTGCAGCTTAAATAAACCTTCAAGTTGACCATTCAATCAGCTCCAATGGCCTTTGCTGCACAGTTTCTTGGGTTGGCAACACTTTTTATAGACCATAAATTGCTCACATTGCTGCTTTATAGAAAACAGTGCTTGTGTTTATTATACCTGTGCCCCACTTTTATATCAGAAAGCTCATGTACTTCCCATAAGCCTTCTGTATAGGTACAGATCATGTCTACACACTAGTTTCAGCAATGTTAAACCAGTGTTCCATTACCTGCCAAAGGCTGTTTCAGTATCCTATCATTTAAGACAAGAATAGTTTAGCTATCTTCATCAAAAAGAAGGGATTCACACAAATAAAAAAATGCATGGTCCGTTTCCTTGCCACCATGTTCTTCTGGAATGTTGTTGTTAAACAGAATTGAAACACCAGAATGATGTCTTACTTTGTGGTATGATGCTGAAGTGGCATGCCAACTTTGTAACCACTCCCAAATAAATAAATAATAATGCAGTAACATTTATTTATTTATTTATTTATTTAATGTGTATACCACCCTATACTTGTAGATTTCAGGGTGGTTCACAACGTTATGTTACTAGTTAAAAAGTTATAGTTGTGCAATCCTTCCTTACTCACACATTAAATCAGACTTGCAATGATAACTGCAAAACTGCAAATAGACTTAGACTGTCACCTCTAGGTGAGTGGGATAGAGTTGTCCATGCACCTATTTATACAGCTCTGTACTGTATATATACTACTGTATATATACTACAGTATATGCGGGTTGCTCATTGACTTTCTTACAGACTTAAAGAGCTACAGAGAAACCTTTAAAATATAGACATATTGTATACAGGACTGCAGTTATCTCTTTTACCTTTTCATACTTTGTCTGGAAGGAATACCTTCCTGTTCAGCATTGCCTTCAGTGGAGGAAGCCAGAATGGCTGGTGCCTAGGCTGTGTTGTGATAAGAAGCACAACCTGCTTTCTCTTCTTCCCTATTTGGTGCATGCCCACATCAGAACTTGATGAAATGATAGTGCAGTGCAGGTTGACAAAGTAGGCAGGAGAATTGCAGGCATAGCAGAACCTCAGTGAACACTTGGATCATTTATGCACAAAATGCATTATCACTGGCCTGTGACAGCTTTGTATTTAAATAAAAACTTTATTCTGGACTGCTGTTAACAGAGGGGTTTTTCTGTTTTCTGATTTTTTTAATCAGCTGTCCAAAAAAACACAGGTACAGTGGTGCCTCGCAAGACGAAATTAATTCGTTCCGCGAGTTTTGTCGTCTTGCGATTCTTTTCGTCTTGCGAAGCACGGTGTCGGGAAAGTTTTGGAAAAGCTTCAAAAATCACCAAAGTCTTTAAAAACCTCAAAAAAGGCTACCACACCGCGTTCTATGAGTTGCTCCTCGAAGTCAAGTCGCAACTGTATTAACGGTGTTAAGAAAAGGGAAACAAACTTGCAAGACATTTCCATCTTGCGAGCAAGCCCATAGGGAAAATCGTCTTGCGAAGCAGCTCAAAAACCGAAAAACCCTTTCGTCTAGCGAGTTTTTCGTCTTGCGAGGCATTCGTCTTGCGGGGCACCACTGTATATATAACCAAAATAAGTTTATATAACTGCAGCCCTAAACTAGGTAAAGGTAAAGGGACCCCTGACTATTAGGTCCAGAGTGGCTGACTCTGGGGTTGCGGCGCTCATCTCTCTTTATTGGCTGAGGGAGCCGGCATACGGCTTCCGGGTCATGTGGCCAGCATGACTAAGCTGCTTCTGGTGAACCAGAGCAGCGCATGAAAACACCTTTTACCTTCCCGCTGGAGCGGTACCTATTTATCTACTTGCACTTTGATGTGCTTTCGAACTGCTAGGTTGGCAGTTAGGCAATCCTAAACTACCTAGCAGTAAATCCTATTGGATTCAGTGAGGCTTACTTTTAAATCATCGGGGTTAGGATTGCCTCAATTATAAAACAATAGATCTTCTGTAATGGAAATAAGCATTCTTTTGATACTACTTATTGCCTGAAATAGAATAGTTTGATGGAGGCAAATCAGTCAATACCAGTGATGGTATATCCTACCTATCTCAATCTTGAATGGGTTAGACGTTTGTAGGGCTTTTCCTGGAAATAGTTTGAATTTTTTAAAGAAAGATCTAACCTAATGAAATTGAGTAGGACAGAACTTGTAGTATCTTGATGATTTCTGAACTGAGGTGGTTAGTTTCAGGACACCCCCACCCCCCAGATCTTTAAAGATTTGTATTAAATGCACGCTGGTGAGATGAGGAGTAGTGACGTGGCCTCGCTTTTCATGTTTTGAAATGTAAGGAACAAAATATGGATTTGTGTTGTTATTTCTGTGGGTCTAGGAAGTAGTTTCAGTTCTTCATTTGTTATCCATTGTGCTTATGTCATTTCCCATTCGTATAGTACATACCGTCCTTTTAGTCTCTGATCAAATCTACTTAATTATAGGAAATTTGCCACTTCCTGTTTCTATTATTATTATTATTATTATTAACAAAATGTAACAGTGGGATTCCCTATTTCTAAAGGACAGAAATGTTTGATATAGCCCATTTCATATGGAAATATAACATACGCATGAGAAACATAGGTTTGCAATTGGGTAAAGACATGCAGGCTCCTAAAACATAATTGATTTATTATATTGCCATTTCATTGCAATTAAAAAAAATAATCAGTTGAAAACATATACAGAACAAGTCGTTCTGGGAGAGCCTATTAAAACTGTTAGAATTATGAAAGTAGATTTTTAGAATTATTTCCTCCAATTTCATCAATTTGGATAATTAGGCCTGGTGCTAGTTTATCTCAAATATTACTGTATGCGTAAATAATTGTCATACTAGTGACATCTCAGTGGTTAACATTGCAGTTAGGTCCCTTACTGTAAACTGTTTCAGACAATTAGCCTTAGTTAAATATTTTCTTAAAAGGTCATACTTAATACGACTTTGAAGGTGTTTTAAGTTTTTTTATCTTTAAAGCACAATAAAAACATACTGAGTGCCAGACCTTTCAGTATTATAAAGACCTAACCCTTTATCTAGAATATAAGGGCTATCAATATTTTTATACTGTTAGTCTTAGAGGTCCAATAGTGCAGAAGTTCATTGAGTATTATATGTGTATCATTGCTAACTAGGGTTCCTTGCTTACAAGGTTTTGCAAAAACATTTCAAGCTCCGATCAAGATGGATCCAATTAGTATTCATCATGTCTAATGCTGTTAACTGCCCTGGGATATAGGCTATGAAAGGCAGCATATAAATGCTCTAAATAAATAACTATAGGTGAGCAAGAAAGGATTCACAACAGACCAAAAAAGAGAAGGAAAGAGGGGGAAAGAGCTGGAGTCTTTGACTTTTTGAACTTTTACATATTTAAGAGATTAGTGTTATACTTGCGCTGGGCAAGTGTGTAAGTTTCTTTGCCTAATTTTGCCTACATTTCCCTCCTAGGAGAAACATTAAAGCAACTGAACAAAGCATTATTAACTTGTTAAGTGTTTAAAAGTCAGAAATGAACAGTAGTAAAGTAGTAAGTCTCAACTTTCAGGAGGGATGTGAAGGACAATAAAGATGTTAAAAGTGACACAGAAATTCTGACTTGGAAAACAACAAGGTGAAATTGCAGGAATGGTGGAAGAGTTCTTAACAAAACAATTACAATGTTAAAAACTAGTAAAACAATAAAGCTGTTTCAATCAAAGCAGAATTGTGTGAAGTTCCTGTTTTCTTAAGCCACACTTTCATATGATGTCCAGTTTGGGAAAATGTCCAGATGTCCCTCCAAACCAAGTTATTAAACCAAGATCATCTCTCCTACTTTGTTTTATAGATTTGTTTTAAGAGATTCGAAGGCAGCCAAATAGCATCATTAACAAAAATAATACAAACACCAATTGTATGATTATATTGTTGGAATCTGTTCTGAGACCTTATGATGGTTGGAGAAGAAATCTTATGAATGAATGAATGAATGAATACATAAATAAGATAAATAGTTGTCAGATAACGGGCAGATAGAATAGCTATTACCAGTTTGCTCTTCGCTGTGACATGTGTCTTAGAAGTTAGGTCCAAGGATCAAATGCTGCCATCCATCACTATCATGTTCTCAGGACTCTTCCAAGGCCACACCACCCCCGTCCTCCTCTTGCATGTTTCTGCCCGGTTACAGTGTGTTATTAGACTGTAATAATGCCTCCCTCTTGCCTGTATGGAGGCTGAAGAGATGTGTGCATACAAATCTCCAACTCGTACATGGTTGAAATGCAGCCTTTGGTACAAATGTAAGAGTCATAGCTATTGTTCTGTCTGCTTTTGCCACAAACTACACCTATTATTATTGCCTCTTTTCCTGCCCGACACTGACATGAGGTTGAACATGAGGGAACGTGGCCTTGGGCTGAAAAAGGTTCCTCATTCCTGACTATTATAGTTGTCACAGCATGACATTTTTTGGACTCCAAAGAATATTCTAGAAACTTGCTGGTCTTGTACCCAGCACTGAACAGTTCCAGATCACATTTAGCCACCACAGATTCCCTGCTGAGGTGAGAGAGACATCACTTCTGCCTTCTCTCTGGATGGAAGCCTTTTATGAATATCTGTGGGTGAGACAGGAATGTTGCTGAGTTCCATGGAATTCCTTTTTCTCTGCACAATGGTGGACCAAATGCTTGAGAGCTGTGATGTTTCACATGAAGCCTTATAGGCACTTTTTCTTAGACAAGTGATTAATAGAATGCTGTATTTATAAAAATGCTTATTAATGCAGCATTTGTCAAAAATGTGTGAGAGAATAAGATGGTGACTCTGTTGTTAAAGCGCTGAATTGTAAATGACTAGGGGGTTTTTTAGTGAACATTGCAGGTCCTTGTAGTGAAAGAAGTTTGATAGTGCAGTGGATCAGATGCTGCAATTGATTGTGCTGTTCATTTTTAAAAATTATATTTTGAGTGGTGTACTTTTTATCGTTTGATTTGTTGATGTCTTTTGGCTAAGCAATAAAAGACATGACAGGCCAAGACCCAGAACTAGATATCAACAATCTCATTTCATGATGATTAAGCCAGTATTGCAATATGAGGAGCTCTAATGATTTCTAACTTTGATGATCAAGAACCATTGTTTATTTTCAGTCTAGTTCAGTTAATAATACCACTAGCTTTTGCGTTTCTCACCTTAGAGGGCTAGCTTCTGAATATATTTGCTGTGCCATTAGCAACTGTGATGGGATGATGAGCTGCTTGTGCGTAAAATCGTATCCCCTCAGAGTTTGTTCAAGTCCACAAACCTCTGTCTGTGACAGAGCCCCTCAGACATGGCTACTCTAGTCACTAGCAGATTCCGACAGTGGGTGCTGTCGTAATCGCTTCCAACATAAAAGCTCCTTAACGGAAACACGTCTTCTGGAATCTCTGCGTGACAGTTTCCGGCGAGGAGTGGGTGTTCTTACAGGAGGTCCTGAAACCTCTCCACTGTTTTCGCTGGAAGTGTCTCTGAGCCATCCCTCCAGCTCAGCTCCTCTCCCCCTGCTGGTTCCCTCATCAGCTGCTGCGTCTCTCCCAACCTGTGTGAGCCCTTTCACCTCCCTGTTGGTTTCCTCTTCAGCTGCTGCGTCTCTCCCAACCTGTGTGAGCCCTTTCACCTCCCTTCCGTCCGATGGCAGTTCCCTGACAGCAACTATATAGAAATAAAGTTTAGCTCCTGCAGGACTGTAGCGGTTGGAAAAGCTGTAAATTCTTCATCTGTAAGCTGTTAAAGCCGTGGAAGTTGAGAGTATATCCCACTGAAGTGTCATAAGTTTGAGACAGTAATAACTGTGGGTTGCATCCAACCAAGTCCTATTCAGAGTAGACCTATAAAAATTACTGGGGCTATGTTAGTCATGTTCATTCATTTCTGTGGACGTATTCTGAGTAGGGCTAACACTAGATATAACCCTATGTAAAGGAGCTGTAGTGCAAAGTACATGCAAAAGACTCTAGTCAAATAACTGGCAATCTTTAGCACTACGTATTCAGACCTGCATCATGGTCTGTAGAATTTGTGGGAATGAAGTTTTGATACTAGTTATTGCTGGTGCAAATAAGCCTTTTCAGGGACTGTTTGAAACAAGAGGGGGGGAACCTGGTTTTTCCACTAGCTTTGTTACTGTTGTCAAATATAGTAGAAGTAATCTTTCAGGTTACCATAGTTCATTAATTTATAATTAGATTTATCTTCTGCATTTTCTCCAAGGAGCATGAAGTTTTTAAGTTTGTCACAGTGCTTATTTGTTAGTATTCAAATGTTTAATAAATGCTATCTTTAAAAATTAACTACTAGTAAGTAGTAAGGAAAAATTAACAAGATGCAGACATTCATTAGTGAGCATTTGAATCTTAGGGCAACAAAATAAGATATTTTTAAACATGAATGTGGTGTATTACATCTATGCCAATCCCACTAATGCTGTTATTTTGCTTACTTTAGAATGGCGGGTAGTGGGAACATGTAGAAGATCATTGTAGCATTCTGCCTACCAGCTTGTCCCATTCTACATTTTTCTGTAGCGGGATGTTGAATAATATAATAAATCTAAAGTGCTCACAAAAGAAATTACAAATTCAATTTGAAATTAAAGTAAAAGTTTTTAAACATTGCTAGTTTTGAAGAACTGGAGTACTACTTTATTCATATTCTTGGCAAGATATCAGTTACATTATAAGGATTTTTGTTATGTTATAGAAAATAATTTTGTTGTCGATTTTAAGAAATACCGTATTTTTCGCCCTATAGGATGCACTTTTCCCCCTCCAAAAATGAAGGGGAAATGTGTGTGCGTCCTATGGAGCGAATGCAGGCTTTCGCTGAAGCCTGGAGAGCGAGAGGCGTCGGTGCGCACCAACCCCTCTCGCTCTCCAGGCTTCAGGAAGCTATCCGCGGGCTCACAAGGCTTGCGGGCAGCAGCCTGCAGCCCGAAGCACGGGGCGCCCTCCGGAGGACACCCCTTGCTTCGGGCAGGTGTCCGCAAGCCTTGCGCGCCCGGGGGGAGTTCCCGTGGGGTCGCAATGCTTGCGGGCGGCAGCCTGCAGCCCAAAGCACGGGGCGCCCTCCGGAGGGCGCCCCGTGCTTCGCACAGGTGTCTGCAAGCCTTGCGAGCCTGGCGGGAGTTGCCGCCGGGCTTGCAAGGCTTGCGGATAGCAGCCTGTTCTGGGGGCTGGGGTTGGGGGAAGCTCAGGCCTCCCCCACCCCAGCCCCGCGGCTGGGGGCAGGGACTATTTTTTTTTATTCATTCCCCCCCCCCAAAAAAAACGAGGTGCGTCCTATGGGCCAGTGCGTCCTATAGGGCAAAAAATATGGTATATATTTAGTTTAAAAAGTTATACATTGTTTCATTCCATTTCCAATAATTTTGTAGATCAGACATTGGCCTGGTTCACATGGGTGGCATGGCAGCTGGTGCCCCCTGGTTCACATCTAGCTTTCTCACCAACCAGAGGATAATGAGGTAACCTTCTGTATTGTGTTGTTATGATAGGTCTGGTTCAAGGCAAGGCATAAACTGTGCTATAGAGCAGAGCTGTATTGCTTCAGTAAATGTCAATCTGAGATTTGGCCCTATGTAGAAATAGCAGCTGCATCCCTGTTGCTAGTCCCACCCTCACTTTTCATGTAAAGGACTCTAGCCTGCTCCACCAGTAAGCAGTAAGCCCACAACTTATGTAGGGGTTATGTTCTGGGGATTACACATAAATCCAAAATCATGTACAATCAAAACACATTGGGTTCAGTGGTGGATGAGATTCCCAAAGTCATTTCCTCTGAAACTCCACCCTCTTTTAATTTTTTGCTGTGCATGTAAAGCTGAATGCACACAAGTTAAATGCATGTATGTTCAGCTCACTGCAGTACATCTTCCAGCTGGAAGACACTGGTACTGCATGCTTATCTGATGGAAGTGCTTTCTGGGGCTGCTCTTGTGTGCCCTCCCTCTTCGGCTTCAGAGTGTTCAGTCTCAAACAAGTAGGGGAATCCAATTGACGTCTTGTGCCTCTAAAAATGGACCTGTGTTAAGAGAGCATAGTTGCAAGGCTTTCAGGATTTCCACATCTGGGGAAGCATTTTATTAACAATCTGTTTTATGGTTGCGTAGGATATCCTGTTTAATTTGGCTTTCATTTAGCATGGGGCTCAGAGCCAAAGAACTTCACAGCATTTTTGTGCAGTTTGGGACACTGTGGCCTGGTATATGTGTTATGCAGTAGTTCCCTAAGCTGCATGGCAAATAGAGTTTTGACACTGAGGAATACTTTTCAAAAATAATTCATAACATGGCATAAGGGTTTGCAGTTCAAAACAAAAAGAAAGAATGGTTGTATATTTCAGTCTGTTTGAACTTCTTTGTACTTCTTGAACTTGAGAGACACATTGTGTGCTTTATGGATCCCACATAAATGTAACAGAATTTTATGTTCTTGTTAGAGGTGTTGAGCATCAGATGCCAACTTTGTTCATAGGGGTCAGGAATGTCACCTTATGCATGACCTTGGAAGAAAGCATGGTTTGTTTCATTATTAGGTTATTAGGCATAAACGGAAACGTAATCCATATATGATATTACTATGATATTTAAAGTAGTACATTCTGGCAAAACTCAAAGTGCTACCTGAAAAATCTGTTATTTGCAGCAAAAGTTATCACCATACACTGAAAAATCTAAGGGGTCTTTCTTGGTATCAGAATGGACGAAGACGCTGAGGGTAGCTGTTATAACCAAGCTGACTGGTCTAATACATAGGCAAGAAGCAATAACAACTTGGTGCTTTATGATTATGTAAGTTGTCATCTGGTATTTACAATGAACTATATTTGAGTATTTTATACTTTTACATTTAAAAAATACTAAGTTCTCTTCAGTAGGTATCTTTGAATGGTCACTGTTCTTCTTATGTCAGCTTTTATTAGAGCCATTCAGCTTGACTAAATCAACTTTGTCAGGTCTATTAGAATGCTATTCAGTTGCTCATTTTATGTAGACTATCAGACTGAAATGATTGGCTACTATTGTTTGTTTTGTTTACTCTAGTCATTCTAGCTTAAGTTTTCAGTGTATTCATAAGCATCAAAAAATATTCTAATGACTCCTTGTATTTTATTTCTATGACTTAAAAATTGTTTTAAAAATAAATATCTAAACTGTTTAATGTGTGACCTCAATACAAGCTATGTGAACAAACCAGATTTGCAAACAAGTGCTCCAAAGTTACTAGCACTCACAAACAAAAATACTGGTTTTACTCCCTATGCATTCTTGTATCAGTTTTTGAGGTCAACAGAAAAAAATAAGTCAATGGTTGTAAAGCTCCCCCTTTTGGTTGTCTAGAAGTGGTTCTTATGTGTCACAGGTGACTATAAGCATAGTATAAGTGTAAAAGTATTGGGCAAAATTTAACATTAGACAAGTAGGGATGGATGGAACAGTCATAATCCAGTTCATGTCCCTTGAACACGAGTAGTCTAGTAAGTCTGTTCCTTTGAATGGCCATGCAGATTTATTTGACTCTTTTTTTTCCTTTTAAAAAACCAGTTACAGCTCTTTAGAGCAGCTAGAAAGTGTGGTGCTGCCATACTCATTGATAAGATATGAGTAAAAAGCTCCTGGAAGAGGCAGCGCATTATGATGTGCCACCATTTCCTGGGTGATTCTACAGCACAAAGATGGTTACCTGCCTTGCAGTAATGAGTGCATAAAACATAATTTATTTCTGAAGACTCAAGCACCAAAAAAACATGTTCTGAAACCCACAAGTTTAAAGAGGTAAACTGTATAGTACATGATGGCCAACCAAATTATGGTTTTTACTCTTATCATTTGCTTGATCACTAAAACTTGCTCTAATTTTTTGTGTCTTGCCTGGTGTTATGTAGTGGCCATATCTCCTTAAAAGTATTACCTTACCCACATGGCGTTTACAGGTGCACATGTACCTGCAGAGAATTTCCCTGGCATGCACAGGCCCCCTCCCCAGGATATATGCCATCCCTTAAAGTTCCCTCATTATTAAAATTTGGTTGCACTAGAGATCATTTCATTTCATTCTTTATTTCATCTATTATACAGAGAAATGGAAAGAATCATCTGTATTATATGTGTACCTGTTCAAGGAGGGGGTGTTGGGGGGAAGTTTGATATGAGTTTGTGAAAAAGTGAGGAGGAACAGGTTTGCAATGGAACCCCAGAAGGTTAGTGAAACATTTTAGTAACATAATACCTTTATTAACTGAATATCACCAAGCAATGAGCTATCGTATAAGTTTCACATAAATCTTCCCTGAAGTTCAGTAGAGGCGAGGGAGGGAAGAAGAGAGAATGATATTCCTAATAAGAAACATGGCATAAGCCTCTTCTGTAATGTATGTATCTGTAATGTGACTTTCTTAAGAAAACTCAGAAAGCTGCTGGAAGACTGTTAGTTTGTGCAGTGCAGAATATCTGACTTACATACTTGTACTTTGTCCTATACCAGCAATATAATTTTCCTCTGCTCACTCTTCTCTGCATAAGTCATATGGTCTCTTTTCTTTAACATCTATTCTATTCATGTTTGCTTTTAATTTCAGAAGTCTTTCTAAGCGTTTTTTAAACATTCTCTTCCCCCCTCTGTGCCTCCGGTTATAAGCATAGGTCGGGATTCAAAGAACTGTGAAAATAGCTTCATGTGCCCGGAATGGTTTTGGATTTGTTTCCCAAACAGCAGCCGTGTCTACCCCTTAAAGCCTAATGGTAAACCACATTTGAAACTGGGAAGAATTAAGGGAGCTTTCTGCTCAAAATGGGGAGGGAAACTTAAAATTCCCACTAGGTTAGCTCAACCCCTAGAATAGCTGTTTGGGTGTCTGGCATAATAATAAAAAGTCTAGGCATTGTAAGTGAGAGTGAAACACAGTTTTAAAGACTACCAGTACTGGATGCAGTACTTGCGTCATTTATTATCCCCCACCCCGGACTTGTGTAATGTTTGGCAGAATATTCATATTCTCAAAAGTTTAAAAACACAAGCTTCATGTTACAACGTCCGCAGTCTAGATTTCAAAAGACTTCTTTGCGCATTTTAGTGGATACTCTGCCCAAAAGGAGGGGGGGGGGAACTATTCAAATGGGAGATAAGGGTTTAACCACCTTAACAGGAAAAGTAGGTCAATAGGACACTAGGCTATTAGGCCAGAAAGACACAAGCAGGTTCTCTGAGTCATGCTTCACTTTGCTTTTCCTCCCCACTCCTTCTGGCAGATTGCTTTTCTTTGTATTTAGTTCTTGCTCTTTTTAGTTACTTTTAAAAACAAGTAATCATTATTGTTTGTGTAGCTCTACTGGCAAGAGGATATATTAATCTTCTAAAAGAAAGTTCCATGTTCTCTCAGTATGATTTGCTTCTTGGAAATCTAAAAATACCAGTTAGGAGGGAGGGAGTTCTACAACTGAAGAAGCTTTTCCAGAACTCCTTGCAGCTGATAGGGGAAGAGAATGGAATGGCCAGAACAAGGGCAGTATTTCCTGCTTGGAAATAGACAGTGAGTGGGATGGAGGAGGAGAATTGAATGTAGAGATATTTTCCCCAGTTCCCAAGATCTTGGACTGTTTTGCATTTTGAGAGCAGCAAAATGTTGAAACCTCTGGAGTAATGTATTAGTCTGTATGTTTGAGGGATTTTCTTTTGCATCCTGCCCATTCTGGAGAACCAATGTGTTAATGTAATGTTGGGGTTTAGAACAGAAGATTCATATGGCATGTCTACATTCTTTCGGGCAACAGGAACAAAATAAGCCTGTGCTAGCTGGCCTGTGCTGTGCAGATACCAATATTGCGGTTGCGGTCATTGACAGTGTGAAGTTAACAAATATTGGTTAAGCACTGTACCGATTGCATGAGTACACCAGCAGGCACCCAATAGTTTATTTCTTTATTTAAATATTTATAAACTGCAATTTCATAGATAATATAAAGCAGCATACAAAATAAAGACAATGCTACAGTAAGAACAGTTAAATCATGGAAAGCATATCAGCAAGAACTGACTGGTAAAGAAAATCACATTGCAATTATTTATTTGAACACACTTTTTGAAATTTATTTATTTAAATATTATTAAACTGCACTTTCATAGAAAGTATAACATATATAAAATTAATGATACATTACAATATTAAAAAACTGCATGCTGAATTTGTGCTGCTGCAGACATAGTCTAACACAGGCTTCCTCAAACTCGGCCCTCCAGATGTTTTGAGACTACAGTTCCCATCATCCCTGACCACTGGTCCTGCTAGCTAGGGATCATGGGAGTTGTGGGCCAAAAACATCTGGAGGGCTGAGTTTGAGGAAGCCTAACATGTGCAAATGTTCCACCACTGTAGTTGATCATTTTTGTAGGGGAAATCTTGGCAGAGATCTGTGCTTTGTAAATAGATGTAGCAATATAAAACTATCCAGCAGTTGGAGGCAGTTTTGGTATGAAGAAACAAAGAAACAGATTTGGGAACATTGGTGGAATAAAGAAGTAAGAATTCAGATATAAGTAAAATAATAGAAACAATTATGATACAGCACCTCCAGAGCTATGGGTGGAATCCAAAGATTGTAAGATTGGACAATGTTCTTGCACAACCAATCATTAGATTTACAGTACATTGTCCCTGCTGTGTCTCTGAATAGCTTCTCTGGGTGGGGAGGGGAAATTGCCCAAAACTTGCTCAGCATATTTGGAATTAAGGAAGCAATACTTTACATGGTTGTCTGGAGTAAATCCCTTTGAATTTAATAGGGTTTGCCTCAGAATAGACATATAGAATAGAATCATAGAACTGTATATGGCTAGTAATGGAATTCATGTAGTTGACAGCTCTGGTCAGAGAAGATTAAAGTGTAGCTGCTCAATGACTTTTCTCTTATCACAGATGAATGTTTGTTTTCTTACATCAAGCTATTACAGTGTACATATATATATATTTCTGTTCCTGTACTTAAAATAAAAAGTGTCTACTTATTACATGAAAAAAATAATTAGGTGCAGAATCATAATACTATTATCTTTCTTTTTCTTTTTAACAGTACTGAATTAAGATATTAATGATCTTCTGCGGAGAATACATTTTGAAGGCTCTTCCCAAGTTGCTCCTTCTGGAACCTGTCATTTAGAACATTGCCATTTATCATCCAGAAAAGTATAAACGGTAAAAACCCACTGGATTATATTCAGATAATTAGGGCACAGAACCAAAAAGCACAGGCATATATATTGGTAGCAATCCAAAGAACTATGTCCTCATTTTAAGGGCTTTGACATTGCCAGACAACATGGCATTTTGCTTTTGACAGTGCTCTCAGTTTAAAATACGGTTTGCCATGTGGAGTTGGGGCAGGGAGCTGATGTTCAAGAGACACAATCCCAAAGCTTTTTGGGCATGTGGAACTAGTTGCATGGTTCTTTGGATTCTGCCTATTGTTCCTTTTGGTGCCAGTAGGGAATTTTATTCAGGAAAAATAAGAGAGTGACGTTGCATTTCTTTCTTTTTCTATTCTCCTACAGTGCAGACGTACAAATGTCTACCACAAGACTAAAGTGTGATATGTTATGTTCTTTACCATAAGCACCCATAAAATGAGCTCCATTGCAGACAGGTATGCTATGTTTGAGTTTTGTAAATTATTTTTTATTTGTGCATTATTAATGGTTGCACATGGTTTAAAACAGAATTTCAAAGAAGGCCATTGAAGTTACAGTGTCTCTTTATAACAGGAGAGGTGAACCTGCAGCTGTCAAGCTGCTTTAGGTGGACTGCCAATCGCCAGATGTCTCCTCTCCCTCTTGTGCAGCCCCATTGCTAGCAAGTCATTGCATGAAAATACTCAGCAAGCAGGAAGGAGCACCAGAGGATAAACAGGTGCCTTTGGAAGCTAAGGAGATGAGCCAGTGAGGCTTTCCTTTCCTCCTAGCCCAGCACCACAGTGGAGAGGAGTTATATCTCTACTGGTTGTTGAAAAAGTGTGTGTGTGTGTGTGTGTGTGAGAGAGAGAGAGAGAGAGAGAGAGAGAGAGAGAGATTGAGAGCACCTACCTGTATGTTCCTGACTGGCTGCCTGCTTGTCTGGATGTATGCAGTATGTGTGTGCATGCATGTAAATGTACATTGATCTCAGCCTCTGTTGGCTTGCAGCCCTTGGAGTGGTGGTTATGAGTGTGATCCTTAGACCAAAAAGGTTATCTACCCCTCCATTAGAACATAACAGACTTCATTAGCTGTTTGCTATGAATGACTTGATTTAATGGTAATGCGGAATTGCAAAGATCCAATGAGGGTGTTTCAATATTTCTTCCTAAATTGTGGGTACAGTAGAAAAGGTAATGTTCACAAAATTTATTTTACTTCACATCGAAACCAATCTTATAAATACCAATTTTTAAAAGATTGATATAATTAGTAATGTTGCAGACTGAAAATACTTATCAATATAAGGCTGTTCTTAACATTGTGGCTGCCCTCTGAGACTTGTTTTTTTCTTGTAGAGATGATGGTAGCATTTTTGATGGTCTCGTGGAAGAAGATGACAAGGATAAAGCGAAGAGGTATGTTTTTTGAGGTAGCTAGCACCAACCATTTTTCCTCTGGTTAGGATGTATATAAACTGTGCATTGAAATGGGACTTTACGTAAAGGGCTGTTTGCACACAATGCTAAACCATGGTTCAGTGTTATAAAGATGAGCCTCCCCAAGCCTAGGTAAAGCCAACTTCAAACCATGGGATTTTCCCTTGTTGTGAGCCAGGAGACCTGATTTGCATAGAATGCAAAGATTCTTTAAAACTCAATGTAAAATTCTCCTGGCTGCACAGGAGAGAGTATTGCAGAGTGAATTGGAGAGCATGTGAGACTAATGCTTTGTTTGGACTTGCTGAGGCTTGACTAAGTAAATAGTTTAGAAAAGGGAAAGAGAACCTGTGACCTTCCAGCTGTTATTGAACTTAATCTCTCATCAGCCTCAGCCAGCATTGCTCATGATGACTGGTGATGAGAACTGTAGTTCAATGACATCTGGAGGGCCACTTCTGGTTTTGTATTACATCTGGACCAGCGCATAGATTGCACAGATTATATCAGGAAGCCTGTGAAAAGCCCTATATCCAGTGGCCTAAAGTATGCACAATGCCCTTAGTCCTTGCATACATTGCCAGGCATGTGGTCAGCTGTCTTATCTGACAATGGGGAAGGGGGAAGAGAAGGGAGGACGGATTCAAAGCATCTCTTTTCTCCCCACCCACCCTCTTAACAAGTGACCAAGTGGATTAATTAAAGTTTGTTCAAGGGAAGATACCAACACATAGTCCCTTGCTGAGTGCAAGGATCACTGCATGGGGATCTTGGGTTTTTTGGCTTGGAGACAGTATTAAAATATTGCAATAAAATATTAACATATTTATGTACTGCAAAGATATAAGACTCTTCAAGTTTCAATTTTTAGTTTTTCTTTTAATTTTATCAGGCATCCAAATAAGTCCAAGTGTCTTGACTGGCAACTGACCTCTTGAAAAGCTACTGTAATATGCTTAAGACAAAAGTCTAGATTCAAGCAGCAGTAAAACTTGTTTCACAGGCTAAGGGCTTGGGGCTTCCCCCCCTTTTTTCTTTTCTTTTAGCAATAACCTATCAAGGCCGCATAACTATTGAAAGTGGAGGAAGAGTAGTGGAGATTTAAAAAATCCCACTGGGCATGCTCAAGCACTTGTTTTTACCAAAAGTAGTTATTTGGATTCCACCCAAAAGATGTTTAAAGATAATTTAAACGCATCACTAATGTTTCCATGTATAGGGCTCCAAAATGGAATACTAATGTTGCAGTCCTAACCCTGCTTACTTGAGAGTAAGTTCGTTGAATTTAACAGAACTTCTGAGTTGGCATGATTAGAATTGTGCTAAAAGTATTTCTATGGCTAGTTTTGCCAAATGTTTCCTCCTCCTCACATTTGAAATGAGCATATTTTATTGACCATTGTAACTTACAATACATTCTGTTGTATCCACTGCTTCCAGGGCTTCCATTCCCTCTTCTTTCCATTCATGCCCCCAACCCTCCAGCTGTTCAGGAGCTGGAGGGGATGGGAGAGGAAAGGGAAATTCTGTTATGCAGATGGAAGCCCCTTGTGCTGACAGAACTGTAGCATTGGACACAGCCTCCTAACCCCTAAGAAATTGCATAAAACTTCCCCCCTGGAATTTTCACAATTGTGTGTGTCTGCTTTTTTTTAAGGGTGTCAAGAAACAAGTCTGAAAAGAAACGCAGAGATCAGTTTAATGTACTCATCAAAGAACTGGGATCCATGCTTCCGGGCAATGCTCGGAAGATGGACAAATCTACTGTACTGCAGAAGAGCATTGATTTCTTACAGAAGCACAAAGGTAATTTGGGAATGTCACAAGAAATTTGTGAAACAAATTTTGTTGAATTCTTGATACTTAAGTATATATGAGTATATACGAGTTGGAATGGTCCATAAATCACAGGTAGTTTTAGTCTGTCTACCTGGTGGTGTTGGTGCTATATTTGCTGGGACAGGGTGGTGGCAAGGTTGAAGGGAGCCCTGGATTGGTGGTGCCAACAACCCGGTAAGGGTGTGTGTGCACATGTGAGCCACTGCCAACCCAGAACTCTCCTAGCTTTCCCCTGACCTATCTCTGTCCTGTTGAATGCAGCACTATGACTAGTAGTGTGCTGCTGTCTGCTCTCCCCATCATGCAGTTCTGGTGATAAGTAAATGCTTCTTTTCTCAGCCTTTTTACCTACCTATCTGCATCTTGGTACATTAAGGTAGAATGTTGCAATGAATACAGTTCTCTCACTTGCTCTCTATCTTTTTTGTTTTTGTAATAGGCATGTTTAATGACTGGGCTGGTGCGGTTAATGAATGATAGTTTCCAATGGGATGGGGAAAATAACCTGTGGCGCTATTCCCTCCCCCCTTTTGTTCAAGTTGGCATCCAAAGTTGGGTGTGTGTATTACAAGTGTGCGCACAATTTTCCTTTCCTTTTGCAGAGATCACTGCCCAATCAGATGCCAGTGAAATCCGACAGGACTGGAAACCCACATTCCTTAGTAATGAAGAATTCACTCAGTTAATGTTAGAGGTAACTTAATTATTTTCATTGTAAAATGTGTGCGTATTCTGTCATTGTAAGTATTGCTTTGTGATGTCGTGCGGTATATTTTCAGCTTTGTATTGTAATTAAAATGCACTTTCCCCAATATTCAGTTAAAATATGTGCAAAACAGATTCAAAAGATGCATGTGGAGAATGCTGCTGCCAGGGGGTTATTGGGGGACCAGCTACTTAAAATATTCTGTACCTTTGAAACTTAATTTACCCTCTGTTTTGAAACCCAGTTTGATGATGCCTTTGACCTTTAGTTCCTCAATGGTTTGGGTCCAAAGTAAATTGAGCACTACCTACCTCCATGTAATACTGCTTGTCTGTTTAGAAACTTAGAAGGGTCTTTGCTCTCCATCCCTCCATTATCTGTAGCTGTAGTCATGTTGGGTGGTATGTGGAGCCAGGCCTTCTCTGGCACAGTGGCACTTAAACTTTGACACCACACTGGGAGACATGCTTAGCTTGTTCTCTTCCCACCTTCTGAAAGATGGTGAAGACCACTGTTGTACATTGGGCATTTTATAGCAATGAGTTTAGTGCCTTGGTTTTGTGCTCCTGCTGTTTTTTGTTGAATTGATTCAAAGCAATTTGTATCAAATTTGCAATTGGTATTTTAACATTTTTCTGTTGTATTTTAAGTTTTGTGAGCCTTTTGGCTGAGGAGCAACATCACAATGTACTCAGCATAATGTGCATTTCCCCAGGTTTGAGAGCGCAACCCATGAATTGATTGTCAGATAGTGTTCAGTTCCACTGTTCAGGGTGCTGGTGCAGGGAAGTTTAAGATTTTGAGATCAATTAAGAAGTTAGTCCTGGCTCTTTTTTGTATGTTAATCAAATTGTACAGTGCCCTGTTTGTCTCCTTTTAACTGTCTGTTCTGTTTAATTTCAGGCTCTTGATGGTTTTTTCTTAGCAATCATGACAGATGGAAGTATAATATATGTATCAGAAAGTGTAACCCCCTTACTTGAACACTTGCCAGTAAGTACGAGCTGCTTACAGGAAGATATCAGATTTATTTGGTCACTGGATGGACACTTTACCATTTGCCATTCTAAATTCTAGAGCTCAAATAGTATAAATATCTTTTTAAAGACTTCATCTTTTCTTCCATTAAAGCAGCCTTAGTCCTGTTTCATGTATAAGGCACTTCAGTGGGTGAATCAGGAGCATCAGACATTTTTCTCTGCTCATATACACACAGCCATCACAGTGTACCACAGTGTGCACATTCATTGACTCCTGATGTAAGTGGTATATGAAAATAACACACATATCCCTGTGCACGATCTTCCTTCTGTATAGCCTATTTCTCGCTTATCAAAGGGCATAAGCATTTTGTTTTTATCTTGCCCTAAAATTTTTTTTTTATTCTTGCACTAAGAAATGGAGACAGTTACAGTTGAGTCTACCGTTGTGTAGATTTGGTTTATAACAGTTGCAGACTTCGTTTCCTCTAAGGAGGAAAGGGATTTGAACAATCCTGCACATTGAGGTTTTTACCCACAATTGCTGTGGATATGGTAAAACTTTTCCTTTTGTCCAAACTGTTGGAATGCAACTGATATTACTATTGCTGGTCTTCTGCTTGAATTTGATGAGAGGTTTGTATATATATTGTAAAAGCATTCATTTAAAGTGGGATCCATAACTGATCTCTGCTCATGTCTTGTGCAAACAGACAGAACTGCTTTTCTGCCCACACAAGACATCTCTGGATTGCACACAAAATCAAGTAGGATCAGCATCAGAATATTGCAGGGTGTCCTCACTTTCTAACAGGATTGCTTCTCTTCAGGGTTTCTGACAGCTAATTACACCCCTTTCCCAGATACTGTAAGTTGTAGTAAGCTTAAGCAGGGTATCTCTCCCCCCCCCCCCCGGTTTTCCACCTTTTGCAATCGATTCTCAATATCCCGTGGCTGCTTAGAATGCTCAGTCCTCATTCAAAGGTTGCTTCCTTAGGTTAAAACATATACTTCATTACTGCAATGTACCTCGAGTCTCAAAGGACAGGGGAGTGTCTTCTATACTTTGGATAGGATTATAGCAATGTTTGTTCACTGTATCTGAAATTAGGGCAATCCAGCTTTTTATTGTTGTAAAAATATTTGGAAATGATGTACTTAATCAGGATTATGTATTACAAGCAGCATAATATTTTTCTCCCTGACAGCTGTGTTAGTTACTTTGTATTCAAAAGTGACATTTCACAAGATTACATTTTCATTTCATTTCTCTCTCTCTTTTAGTCTGACCTTGTGGATCAGAGTATATTTAATTTTGTCCCAGAGGGGGAGCATTCAGAGGTTTATAAAATACTGTCTACTCATCTGTTGGAAAGTGATTCGTTGACCCCAGAATATTTAAAATGTAAGTTGCACTGTTGAATTATCTCTCGAAAGAAACTCCTGAACACTTCAACATGTTAAAATACAGTGAAAATATAATCACTGATTTATTCTGTTAAACTAAGAGTTTCCTGAAATCTTTTTCACATACCAGGTATATAAAAAGGTTAACACTATTATTATATTATATATATTTATATTTATATTTATAAATGCAGGAGGTAAGGAACCAAGAATTGTTTCAACTGTGGCCAGCAACTGCTGCATTTTAGCAGTATAATTATTATAATTATTTATTGAATTTATGTACCGCCCTATACTCAGAGATCTCAGGGCGGTTCACAAAATAAAATCAAAATATAAAACTACAAACTACATAATCAAAATAAAAACAACAACCCAATAACCTCCACCCCCCAAAAAACCCACATTTTAAAAGGGCATAGGATCCTGACAACATTTAAAGTGAGACAATTAACAAACCTGGACAAGAACCACTTTCTGGAAAACCATGATCTCAGAAATGTCTGCAGAAATGTCTGTCAATATATAAAATGAATGTAAACTGTAACAACACTGCATTGTGGAATGCATGTGGTCAGTGTTCCAGTGGCCACCCATGTCCTCATCTATGATACTCTCCCATGCCTTCTGCCATTTTCTCTCCCACTTGGTTCCCCCTTTGGGTTTTTTGAGGGGCAGGGGCTCTCACCCTCTTAGAGTTGTTTTTCTGAAGATTTTTTGCTCATCTGCAAATCTTCAGTTCCCACAGGCTTACTGATACTTCCTTCTTCAATGTAACCGATGCAATATTGGAGAGCCACACTCAACTCTGAGCTTTGAAAATCGAAGGAGTACTGGGCTGTGGACTGTCTGCAGTTGGGATGTTCACAGAAGCTTGCTTCACTTTCTGAAATGTTTCTCACTCATGGTTTGTTAAACCATGGGGTGATGATCATTATCTACACTTTTATTTTATATTGCTCACAATACTTTTGGGGAGTGAGGCAGCACAGGGTAGATACATACTTTAAGGCTGCAACCCTATATATACCTAACTGGGATTAATCCACAGGCTCCTTTGGGAGGGTGGGTGGATATAAATAAATAAACAAACAAACAAACAAACTCAATGTGCCTTACTTCTGAGTATAAATGTAAAAGATTATATTCTAAATGTGTAGGATCTTAGATTCAAACCTAGTTGAAAAATATTGTGGTAGCAGGGCAGGAAAAGGCTGGATGCACTGAAGAACTACTCCCATGTATGGAATGTAAGGTGGCACATTGTTAAGGCTATGTTTAAGGTAGCTTCTTCCATTGTTTTGCACATTTTACTCAAGAATATCAGCTTGTAAGGTTTCGATGTTCATTTTGATATTCCATTATGTGTGTTTTGTTCTTCTAGCAAAAAACCAACTAGAGTTCTGTTGCCATATGCTCCGAGGGACAATAGACCCCAAAGAGCCACCTACATATGAATATGTAAAATTTATAGGAAACTTCAAGTCATTGAGTAACAGTAAGTTACAGTATTTTTTTTAAAGTGTTTTAGATTACAACTAACTTGTGAAACGTTACAAGAAATAGGAAAAATAATGTACCTCCTTTTTTTTAAGGCACTGGATTACATTTAAATGAGGATAGTGTAAATTTACAGCATGTCTGTTGACAGAAACTAGGGAAGTGTAGCAACTTCTAGTGCAGGCACCCCCAAATTTGGCCCAGCTGTTTTGGGACTACAATTCCCATCATCCCTGACCACTGGTCCTGTTAGCTAGGGATGATGGGAATTGTAGTCCCAAAGCAGCTGGAGGACCGAGTTTGGGGATGCCTGTTCTAGTGAGTCCTGAATCCGAAGCCTTGGAGAGATTCTTGGCTGCTTTGGGCAAAGTGTGATCTGCATGTGACACCCAAGTCAAAGCAGAATTCCCCAAGTGCCTAATGACATCTTCAGTGATTCAGATGCTTTAAAAAGCTGCAAACAAGTGTCTGCAGAAAGTGAAACTATTGTCTCTAAGCTCACCATATAAGGAAGACAGCAGGGGGGAGGAGAGGGGCTAATTGATGTCTGTATTTTAATGAAAACTCTTGGACCAGGATGGAGGGAAAGCTTGTTCAGAACTGTCCGTTTTTAATCAGAGGAATTATTTTGTTAGCACTCTTCAATCCCAGTGTTTGAGGGGAGGGATGTTGCTGAATAATATAATCTACATTTTCTCTGTGTCGTTTCTTGCTCTTTTGCAAGTTCTGTTCTGCAGTGCAGCAAACATCAGAAAGAGTTCTGTTAGACTTCGGCGGTGTCCTTCCCTTTCCTGCTTTTTTCCTATTGTCCAACTTACATCTTTAGCGCTTTCATTCTGTTTGATTACTCGTGCTTTTCAATTTCTTTCCAGTTATTGTTAGTAGTCCCTCATTCTGTTTTGATTTTATTTGCTGGTATTTCAAGGGTTTTTGTTCTGTTTAGCAGAGTGCAATGTTATGCCCCTTCCCCTTATAGTTCAGGGTCTGAGGACTTTGCTTCTGTGTGACTGACTGTAGTTTTTTTTAAAAATCGCTTTGATCTGAAGGAAGGGCAGGATATAAAAACTCTGAGATAAGTGAAACAGGTTGAGTGATTTTTACTTTCTTTTTATATCAGCTTAGGCAGTATTTATGTTATTCTATGAAATATTTTAAGAATGTAGTTTTAATTTTTTTCTCCCAGGTGACTTTTTAAACACTTTGTTTCATAGGATCGTTAATTATATGTTTGATTTTATAAGTCATTCTTAGAAATAGTAGTAATTTTCTTCTCTTCCTCCTGTCCTTAGTGTCTAACTCTGCGCATAATGGTTATGAAGGAACCATTCAGCGATCACATAGGCCTTCCTATGAAGACAGAGTTTGTTTTGTAGCTACGGTCAGGTTAGCTACACCTCAGTTTATCAAGGTATGTTAAGATTGTCATCTCTTCAAAATCTATGATATTTGCTTTTCCTTTGTATTTTTCTTAATCAAAACATTTATTGTTTAATGAACAATAATTTAAGCAACCATACTCCAATCCAGGTAGGGTAATATTCTCCAGGATGCAGGTGTTCTTGTACGAATTGCCTCCTAGATTGGGTCCTGTGCTGTTAAAAAAAGGTCTATAGCCAGCTTCTGTAACTGTACTGCATGTATGCTGGATCAGGCTCAAGCATGCATCCCCAGAGGATGATTTGGGCTGTTAGTTAACAACCTGTCTGCAGTACTAGGAAGACTCAATCAAGTTCTCCTCATTGCTGTAGCTGACATTCAGTGCCTTTCCTACAGGAATTTTGAAACATGTCCTTCTGTGGTGCAAATTTAGATTTGCTGAAGGCTTAGTTGTAAAGAACTTCCTCTTTTAGGAAGGCTATATACCATGTGAATTGCTACTAAAGAAAATAGCACAACTGCCTTCCGTATCAATTCCCAGATGTCAAAAAGAAGTAGGGGAGTTCTGAGGGTGATGGTTCCTCTGGTGGTTCCTTGCACAGAATGCTGAACTTGCCATTCTCACACTGGAAAAATAAGCATAGTATGGGTTGGTCTGTAGTGGCAAGTTGCTTGAATTACTCCTCTTCCAAGCAGCAGTGAAACAGCAAAATAAGAAATATTTTGCATGTTACATTCACGTCGATTTATATGTATGTTTGGAAGTCTGGATTTCATGAGAGTTTTTACATTAGAGTAGAGCAGTTCTGAGAGACTTACGTTTTTTTATTTTTTAGGAAATGAGCACTGTTGAAGAACCCAATGAAGAGTTCACCTCTAGACATAGCTTAGAATGGAAGTTCCTTTTCTTGGATCACAGGTGCCATTTCTTACAATGTAGTACTAAGCGGTAGCACTCTGTTACCGTTAGTGGTCACTAATCCTCATTGGCTGTTTATAGCAAGAAATGAATTTTACTTTTTACTGAATACGTTTTTATGTAATTATAAGCACAATTTTCTGTTTAAAAACTGTGACTGATTTTTTTCTATTCTGAGAAATAAAATAACGACTCTTATGTCATTATCCAGGGCACCACCAATAATAGGTTATTTACCATTTGAAGTGTTGGGGACATCAGGCTATGATTATTATCATGTTGATGACCTAGAAAACCTGGCAAAATGTCATGAACACTGTAAGTAAATGTCAAAATTTTATGTAAACCATACTAATATAGAATTGGTAACTTTTGGTGATGTATACAAACTAGTTACAGTGGTACCTCTGTTCCCGAATATCTCCATTGACAAACGTTTCAGAACCCGAACGCCGAAAACCTGGAAGTAAATGCTTCTGTTTTTGAACGTGCCTCAGAAGTTGAACAGCTTCCGCTGCATGTTTTTCCATTTTCTCAGTGCAATTTACAGACTGCGCTTTGCGCCTTGGTTTTCGAACATTTCAAAAATCGAACGGTCTTCCGGAATGGATTACGTTCAAGAACCGAAGTACCACTGTATCTATATTTGAAAATCTTTTAACTAGGGCTGAAATACTTGTAAAATTATGTTCTAAAAAAGTTTTTAATCACAAAATAGTGCTTAAACAAAAATAGCACTTAATCACAATTTAAATAATTGCTTAATAATAATAATAAATTGGACACTCAGAATTATAGCTTCCCTGTTTACTAGGCTAGGTTTTGCCCACTAGTGTGGCAGGAACATTGCACTATCTGAAGTGCGGAAAATCAATTTCAGTTGTGCATGTAACTAATAGATAAGAATAATTATTGGTGACATCAGGAGCTACCATTCTGGAAGCATTCATAGTAGTTCTCGGGTTTCTTTCCATTCTCTCCTTCTATAATATGTTCCACAGCTTTTAAAAATAATTTATTTTTGTATTTGGGATATTAGAATCAAATGAAGAAAGTTTTGTGTTGGTTTAAAGAAATGATGCAAACTGTTTCAATGCACATTCTGGAAGTGGCATTTTCTGAAACAGAACCTTATTTTTACATTGTTTTTAGTAATGCAATATGGAAAAGGGAAATCCTGCTATTACAGATTCCTCACAAAGGGTCAACAGTGGATTTGGTTGCAGACTCATTACTATATCACTTACCATCAGTGGAATTCTAGGCCAGAGTTCATCGTATGTACACACACGGTAGTAAGGTAATAGAATTCTGCATAATTTTTATTACAGTTTTTTGCAACCGATTTTTCAGCTATATTTTAGTACTTCTCCCAGCTGACTAAGAAGTCATCAGAGTCTTCTGAGTTAGTCACACGTAAAAGCATATTAATGCATTAATGCATCCATGTTATTTTTCAAATGCATTTAAATAATGTATATAAAATGTTTGCTACCGTTCTGTTAAGATGAACAGACATGCTAATCGCCTGAAATGTTGGGTTATTTATCGGTAGTTATGCAGAGGTTCGAGCAGAAAGGCGGCGTGAACTTGGTATTGAAGAGTCTCTACCAGAAATAGCAGCAGATAAAGTAAGTTTTCCACCACCATCTTATATTGGTTCTGTTCATTGCTATAGCTTTTAAAAATTGGCTTGTAGGGTTTGCAGTGCCTGCACTTCAGCAGGTGTTAATAATCCACCCACCCAGAGTTATTCATTCTTTCATGTAAATTACCTAGTGATAAGGTGTTCAAAACTGCTCTTGCACAGTTTGGTTTGGATTTTTTGTTTTGCTTTTGGGTTGTCAGGGTGGTGAAAGAGAAGCAAACACTGATCATAGGGAGAAGTAAGATGGAAAGACGGACTGTTAAGATGTCAAACAGAGCAGGGATAAGTTAAGGGAAGGTGAAGCACATGTATAAGAAATTTGCTTTCATTGTGAAAGCCCCATGTTTGAATATTTGGTAAGATACAGTTAGTTTCTGCTAATTATATTGCTAATTATTTTGTGTGTGATGAACCAGCCAAAACATTTTTATTGTTTTAGAGTCAAGACTCTGGTTCTGAGAATCATATAAGCACAGTAAGCCTCAAAGAAGCTTTGGAGAGATTTGATCACAGCCCTACACCTTCTTCTGCCTCCAGGAGTTCAAGGAAATCTTCTCACACTGCAGTTTCAGACCCTTCTTGTGAGTGCACAAAATCAAAACTATTCTATAGACGGTTATTGACTTTGGGGCCTTGTGACTTTAAAATGAATGCTATTCATGATAATTGTAGCCTGATGATATTATCAGTTCTACAGAGAGAGTTGTTAATCTGGTGTGGAATATAAATCTCAATTTTTACCTAACCAATTGGAATAAAGGCTGTTTTGAATATGCAGTGCTATCATTTTATTGTGATGAACTATTCACTTGCCTAAGTATATCTGGGCAAACTCAGAATGCTGATGATGAATAAAAGTATCCCTCTTCAATTTTATATTTGCTGGGACATCAGCAACGCCAACGAAGATGACAATGGATACTAGCACTCCTCCAAGGCAAAATTTATCCACTCTTGAAAAGTCTGCACAAAGGAGGGCATCGCTTGGTAATCAGGTAATTCTTCAGAAAATAGCAAGTCATATTTATCTGTTAAGGCTTGTGAACGTTAGATTTTTTTCGCTTAAAATACAAACAATACAATAAATAAATGCTTTCAGTTAGTCACCTAGTTTGGAAACATCCTTTTTAAAGCTTTCAGTTGACTGCTTGAGAATGTCACTGTCCTGAATGTGTCCACCATGTGCACAGTTCTACGCTCAAGCAGTCAGCTGAGAGCTTTTCATTAAGTGTCATCTGCCTTTTTAAAAATAATGGAGATTTTTGCTATGAATCTGAATAGAAATTAGCTTTCAAACAGTGTGCATGAGCAGAACAGTCTTCCCCTTCATCTCCAGTTTACCCCCAAAATCTGCTCCAGAGGTTATGTATTATGGATTGTATTCAGTAATGCACCAGTGTCATTCCACTGTATCAACAGAACACCCATTTCCTCTCATCCTTGTGTGCCCCACAAATATGCTTCAGAAGGTCCCCCATCCCTCCGGAACTGATTTTAAGGGTGCAAGGAGGTCCTAAAGGGGAAGAGGAAACTCTGCTGCATACACAGAACTCTCTTGTGTCATCAGAGCTGCAGCTTTGGATACGTCCTCTATGTGTTTGTAAAATTTGTGTCCTTTTAAAGTACTGCTGTGTTTCATGCCTTTTGTATAAAATGTAAGCATTAGCTCAGTGGATGTGTTTGGAAATGCTTACAAAGTCTACTTGTTCCACAAAAACAAAAGAGAATAACACTTTGAGGCTTCTGCTGTAGATTGTTAATCTTTGTCTTCCTGTTTGGGGTGTATAACACTTGTATTTGGCTTTTTATATGTGTGTATTTTCATGTGGGCAAATCAAAGTTAAAAAATGGAAATCAGCAAGTGATGTAAGGTGGTCCAAACTCTTTCTAGCTACCCCGTTTCTTCTCAGGTAGTTAGGGAAGAAAGGAAGATTACATTTGGGCTTGTCATTTTTAAACCTCCTCCTCTATTCTGTCTGCCTCCAAAATACATATTTGATTTGATAATTATGGTATGTATATTTCTTTTTAAATCCTAGTCTTTAAATTCACAATCTATTGGGCAACCTTTAGCGCAGCCAATGATGTCCCAGCCTGCATCTTTACAGATTCAGCAAGGCATGTCTCAGGTACTAATTAAATCTGAATGTGTATCAAAGCAGTTAATTTGTATTAAAGCAAGTAATTACATTTTGATCCTTTAATGGATCTTCGTTTGATCTAGAATTCAGTTCTTGAATTTGGGTGCGTTGGAAGTAGTGTCCCCTGCTATTAACATCCCATTGCCTGACTTTTGGTTCAGCAGGTCCTGTTTCCTCTTTGCCTAAGATTTCTCTAAATTGGTCAGCATCCTCGGTACTTTTTTTAAAAAGTCTTCTTTGTCAGAAATGTCAATTTATGACTTTAAGCTAAATACAGATAATTACTTCCATATGCACAGGATTGATAGATGTTTTTTGTAGTGGTTAATTACTTTTCCTATGGTATGTTTGCTACTGATTCAAATCTTTCTTGCGTTTTTCTTAAATGTTGCCCTGTAGCCTATGCTTCAGTTTTCTGCTCAGTTAGGAGCTATGCAGCACTTAAAGGACCAATTGGAGCAAAGAACACGAATGATAGAAGCAAACATTCATCGGCAACAAGAAGAACTGCGTAAGATTCAGGAACAACTCCAAATGGTCCATGGGCAAGGACTTCAGGTTGGTTAAAGCTGATCAGATACTGACATAGCTAGTGATTCTACACTTAAAATCTCTCTCTCTCTCGTGTGTGTGTGTGTATTTGTATGTGTGATGTACAGATTAACACTGATGTTTTGCATGCTGGAATAAAAAATTATTGATAAAAGACACCTTCATTATTATTAATAATAAAAAAGTTGTCTAGTAGCACCTAATATACCAACTAAGTTTGTTCTGGCATAAGCTTTTGTGTGTACGCACTCTTCTTCAGATACCATTATAACTTCATTATTAAGTTATTAATTCAGGAGATTTGTACTTTGCATTTCAACTGAAGTTCTTAACGGAGCTTACAACATTAAGAAAATACAATGAGTATATTTTTATTAGCTGGTTCTATAGATAAAATATTTCCTGCAAAAGCATATCTTTAATGTTATAGAACTTAATTTGATCAGCCATTTCGCTGGAATCCTAGATGTTCATATCAGTTACTAATAAGGGCCATGTGATATAACTGCAAGTTCTGCCATTAGTAAAATAAAATACAAATACAGGTTACAGTAGTTTAGTTGTAGGTAGGGTTTCCGCCTTTACCAGATTAACAGTATAATCTTATGCATGCTTACTCAGAAATAAGACTTGCTGAATTCAATTTTATTACTCCCAGGTAAGTGAGTATAGAATTTAGTCTAAGCCTCATATGCCCATTAGAACACTATTATTAGACAAAATGATAGTGTATATAATTTTCACCTCTAAGATAGGGAATTCATTGACCTTTAAACAAACAATGGTTTATGTGTTCTGAATGCTCACTAGTATTTTAAGCACTGGCATGTATTCTTTTTCTTCTGAAAGATGTTCTTGCAGCAGTCAACTCCTGGATTAAACTTTGGCTCTGTTCAGCTGACTCCTGGAAACCCATCAAATATTCAGCAGATTACACCAATAAATATGCAAGGTCAAGTTGTTCAAACTAATCAAATCCAAGGTGGCATGAACACTGGGCATATTGGTGCTCAACACATGATACAGCAACAGCCTTTGCAAAGTACTACCCAACAGGTAATGCCACACTTGAAGATAATATTTAGTTATGTGCCATTGTTTCTTAAATGCAGCCTTTGTATCTTTATGTTGCTATGAGAGAGTGCTCCTTTAGTAGATGTTATTTATTCTTCAAGCACTCACTTCTCCTAGCCTAGCCTTTGAGGGTAGGGAAGGGCTTAGAGTCAGGAAAGTGTGACTCATATGTCAAAGCCAACCTTAGGAAGTATATTGGTGGATTGAGTGGGTTGTTGCAAAAAAAACCAACCCTGTCCCACACTTTGTTTAATATAGGAAAGAAGCAAGACGTCACTGGGCTAGGAAGCTAGACCGTGACAATCCAGGAAGCTAGAGAGTTCAGATTATTGGTGGATCATTTTTTTGGCCATTCATAAGTGAACAATTTGTCATTGCACAAATGAAGATAGGAAGGAAATGAATGTTCAAGGGCAAACAGAATTTGCCGAGCTGTTGCCATGGTGCAAGGATTAATAGACAAGTCAACATTTCCTTTTGTTGCACATAGTGCCATCTAGTGGGTGTAAAAATAAGTTGCATCAGGAGGAAGAAGTGTCTCTCCCTAGCCCTATTTTTTCTCTTTTTGGGAAGCTGTTTCTGCCTCTATAGACAGCAATTCAGGAAGATATTTCGGCTGTGACAACCAAAATATCAGTAGACCTGATTTTTCAGAAATGGCTGAAGCATTAATTACTTAACTGGAAAAAAACCCCATCCACTCTATTAATCATGGCCTTTAAACAAATTCTAATTGGAACTGTTCCTTGTCTAAAGTGTGTTCAGTTGTAAATTCCAATCAACTTTGTCAATGGTAAGCTTCCCTAGCATAATAATTAGGCCGAAACAAAGTGAACCACGTAACTGACAGCTCGCATCCTGATTTTGATAATTGTGGGCTATCTTTTTCACTTCAAACCATGCATTTAAGATTCCTTTGTCTTGTCTGTGCATGCATGCACATCTGTGTATGCCTACCCATTTGACTTCCTGATTGGCTGCCTGCCTGTGTTTAAGAGACAGCGGGCGTTGGGTGGCACGGGCACACACTTCGACTACACCCACCACTGGCATCTACTGGCACAACCAGTGCCGCCCTTGGGCTGAAAAGGGTTTGGCATGCCTGCTTTAAAAAGAAGACAAATGGGATGATTTCAAAATACCCCATGCATTGCAATTACTACATTAAAAGGAAGGCCATTCAGTCATTACATACTGTAAGATGTATCTTTTGTGAAATTTCAAACTACCTAGAATATCATTAAATTATTTTAAAAAAACATATTCTCCATTTTAAAAAAGGAAACGTCTTCCACTTTAACATTGGTACCTTTAGTTTCCAGTCAGGATGGTGAATCATTACAGCCTGAGGGGAGAGAGTGGATGATTTCTAGTTCTCTCGTTGCATCCTTTGAACAAACTCAAACCCTCTTTCCCAGAAAGAATTCCTTATGGTGACCCCTTACTCCTTAATAAAAACTTCCTTTGGCTGGTAAGGAGGTAAGGAGATATTTGAGCAGGGTGTCATTTCACCTTTTTCTGGTCCCTGCACCTTCACAGGCCACAGCTCATTTATGGTCAGTGATTTCAAATACAAGGCTTGTGTTTTCTAGAGAGCTAATATAATATAGATAACGCACCACTACAAAATGCCCCCCAAACTAGATGACATACAATTAGCAGAAGCATTAAAAAAACCAAAAACCAGGCTGCTCAGCAATCTGTAGTTTCTTGCAGTTTGGTGGGGTTGCCTTAAATCTGTTCCGTCATGCAAAATAATCTCATTGACAACCTATTTTCTTTGTGCAGCATAATCAACAAAATATTCTCAGTGGGCACAGTCAGCAGACTTCTCTTTCTACGCCATCTCAGAGCACACTGTCAGCCCCCTTGTATAACACTATGGTGATTTCCCAGCCGGCTACAGGGAACATGGTCCAGATCCCTTCTAATTTGCCACCAAGTAATAACCAGAATGCTGCTATTACCACATTTACCCAAGACAGACAAATCAGGTAAGTGTTAAGAGAGACAAGTGAGGCTTGCTACACTTTCTGCTGTGTAGAATGCTCCTGTTCAGTGTTCCAGCCAGCCATGCCTGCCTTCAGGCTACTCCACACTTGATGTGTTGCCCATAAAGCTGTTAAGCAAATAAAATTAGTCTGGGCACTGATGGAGAGAGGATGCTGGACTAGAGGGACTCTTGGGTTGCTGTTAGGTCTTAAATGAGATTGAAAGTACAGAAAGCACCCATCAAGCTAATTTGTGGGGTGTTGGTTAAGACTACCTGAGACAGACAACAGATCTTTCTTTTCTTTCACAGATTTCCGCAGGGACAGCAGCTTGTAACAAAGCTAGTCACTGCCCCTGTAGCTTGCGGAGCAGTTATGGTACCAAGTACTATGTTTATGGGACAGGTGGTGACTGCTTATCCTACTTTTGCTGCACAACAGCAGCAGCCACAGACGTTATCAATAACACAGCAGCAGCAGGAGCAGCAGCAGCAGCAACAACAACAACAGCAGCAGCAACAGCAGCAGCAGCAGCAGCAACAGCAACAACAGCAGCAGCAGCAGCAACAACAACAACAACAACAGCAACAGCAGCAGCAGCAGCTCACTGCAGTTCAGCAACCTGCTCAAACTCCGCTGACCCAGCACCCACAACAGTTCTTGCAGGTAAAGCCACATGTTCATTCATACATTCGACAAGCTGGCCGTATAGGACAATGCAACTTAATGAACCTATACTGAAAGGTGTTCTTCTGTAGATAGTTGATGCTATACATGTTGGGCTTTTGGAAAACACATAATTCCCTGCAGCAATGCAGGGAAGATAATATTAATTGTAAAAAATGCCAGCCTCTGTCCTAGAAAATGTGGGTTTTTAAGTCAGGCCTGGAGGGGGGGCATCCTGAATTCAGGTAAGGGTAGGGGAGAAGAGGAAATAGGTGCATTGCACTCAAAAAAGTTTTCCCACATGGCTTGCTTCAAAAAAGGGAATCAAATGGAAATGCCTCCTTTGAAAGTCCTTCTTCAAACTTCCTATGCATCATTTATGGTAAGAGCTCTTTGTTTGGAAGGCTATATTTACTTCATAGCTTGTGCCAGGTATACAAGAGAACTTTATGTCTGCATACCAGATGGTCTTGGTTGGCAAGAGCCAAGGAGAAGTTTGTCTGTCTGTCTGTCTATCTATGGGATAGGAATCAAAAAGAAAAGGCACAAATAATGTTTTATTGAAAAAACTATAGTATTGTTTTTCAGCTGAGGGAGGGGAGATTTTAAAACCAGTTTGTGACATGGTCTGGATGTCATCTGTTTTAAGTGCCAGTGGTAGGAGTTGGAAGCCAATGGCCACATTTGCACAAAACAATAAACCAGATTATTTTTCTGTTTGCCTGTTTTTAAATTTGTGTGTGTGTGTGTATGTGTTAAAAGCAGTCTGTATTGAGTGATGGAAATCAAGGACGTTGAGAGGGAATAAGTGGGAAATAGGACCAAACTGCTTATATGTTCACCGTTCTTTTTCTCTGTGGACAGAAGAATGTCATCATAAGAACAGTAAAGACCCCTGTCAAATAACACAGTACAGTCGTACCTTGGTTTTCAAACAGCTTAGTTCTCGAACGTTTTGGCTCCCGAATGCCGCAAACCCGGAAGTGAGTGTTCTGGTTTGCAAATGTTCTTTTGGAACCTGAACTTCCAACGTGGGTTCCGCAACTTCTGATTGGCTGCAGGAGCTTCCTGCAGCCAATTGGAAGCCGCTCCTTGGTTTCTGAACATTTTGGAAGTCGAACGGACTTCTGGAACAGATTCCGTTTGACTTCCGAGGTACGACTGTACAGTATACCAGTTACTCTCATGAAATAGGTGCCTTAACTCTCTTATTTGTGTATTTAGACCTCCAGGTTGCTTCATGGAAATCAGTCAACTCAGCTTATTCTCTCTGCTGCTTTTCCACTACAACAAAGCACTTTTACCCAGTCACACCACCAGCAGCATCAGTCGCAACAGCAGCAGCAGCAGCAGCACCAACAGCAACAAATTTCACGACACAGAACTGACAGCATGACAGAGGTTTCCAAAATTCAGCCGCGGTAGCATGGAGGCTCTTGCTTCCAGGAGCAATGCAGAGGGGTAGCTGCTCCGTTAACAGTTGCCCTGGTGTTAGAGAAAGAAGCCTACAGACTTTGTGAAGTACAGTACTGAATATTCTTCTAACCGCTTGGAATGTGTGTGCTGAGGAAAACAAAGCAAAATGCTGTTGGAGGTATATTAGGTATAAATCTGCAAAAAAAAATGACAGGGACAGGGACATGGCTGCCTTTGAGAGGAACCTAGTTACTCTGGTTTCTGTGTTTTGTTTTTCCTTCAAAGGCATGCACTGCCATCAGTTAACTTGTCCAGATCAAGTCTCAAAATGTTCAGTGGACTAAATAGGGCACTTAAATATCTTGATGTTTTTAGCAATTTTCTCAGATTAAGTGTTACAATGGACATGCTGTCATGACAGCAGTTGGGTTTTTTTTTTTTTAATTGTTTGCCTGCAATTATGCTCCAAAAGGAAGTTAATTTTTTCACATTTTGGGACAGTAAATATTTTCAAAATATTGTGTGGAATCAGTCTTCATTGTACAGATACTGTAAAATACTATGTATATGTCTGGATAAAAGGTGAGAGAGCAGAATATTTTATATGATGCATGAAACTGTTTTGAATATGTTTCCCCCCTACATTTTCACACAATGCTCAGATTACTATTTTCATCCGTTTATACTTGTTTGTCTTCTACATCATGCTCCATCATTTATTCTCACCTGTATTGTGGGCACAAGTCTTCTGTTTGTGCTTTATGTCTGATTGTCGGAGTTAGTTCAATGAGGTAATATAGTGTGCTGGTTTGTGGAAGTTTTGCAGTTAAATTATTGATGAAACTCTTTGAACTTGTGGGGGGGTTCAAGGCATTAAGATTCATATATATCATTTGTCATTTCATAAATACTCAAATTTTTTTCTTTGGGAAAAAAATAGGAATTTGCACTGCTCTATTGTGGATGGTTTGGAATTTTACTCCCCCAAAGCTATCTTTTGATATAATACATAGTTGGAAATATTTATGTAAAAAAAAATAAGGTTTAAAAATATGAAAGTAATTTTCAAGAATGTCTCAAAAATAGGAGTAATTTGCACAGAAAAATATATTTGAATTTAATAATTGTAGGCACTTTTTAACCTCTGTGGTGAGAAATACAACTTCTCAGAATTTGTTGGAATCTTTTTATTCTTCTTTGAACATTTTGACCTTCATTTAATCAGAAATGATTCAGGGTCATTTGAAAAAACAAAAACAAAAAAACCCCATAGTGCCTTGATTTTGATTCAGGTGATAGTGTTAAACATCTCTAATTACATTATATGGAATTTGTGACCATTTTTGAAGTCTTAGTACATTGTTAACAAAGCATCCTTCATAGCTGTTTCTCCACTGTATTTGTATATATATATAGAGAGAGAGAGAATAATACAAATTGGGGTATGAAGTTCTGAATTTTTGGCACGCCCCTTTTTAACCATACATCATGTAATGACTTACCTTTGAAGTATTCGTTTACCAAGAAATTAAGTTCTTTTAAATGATAGCAAAACAGAATTGCATAGTAATCAAGTATAATCACTTTGTAAGGTGGCTCAAATTCAAATTTACTGAAATTTAATGGGAAAATAGATTAAAGATCATGAGGGCCACAGCTTCCAAAAGGGATATTGATGCACTAAGACTTCAGATGGCAAGTTCACTTAATAAAGTTAATAAAAAGATTCAACTGAAATTCTGTACAGTTTTAAAAGTAAACACTGAGTAGATTTTATGGTACTAGGTTTAAAATCCACATCTGCAGAGCAAAATATGTTTTTAATACAAAGATAGATTGGTTAGTTCAAAGAAGAAGAATCTGATTGTAATGAAGGAATATCAGAGTCAAGAAAGATGGAGTATTATAGAGGAGCTTTATTAATGTAACCAAAGTATGGCGAGATGCTAAGAATGTAACGCTGGGTTAGCAAAGCCAACACCATAGTAGCAAATGATAGCAGAATTTTATCTTTGAGACTAACTCTTAAAGAGTCGTTTTCATTGCCATAGTCTTGCATGATCCTCCCGTGACACACCACAATCAGTAGTCTAACAGTAGAACCATAATATCAGGAGTCAAAGTTTTAAGAAATAAAGAACCAAAGAATTGGACTAGTTTCTGTTCCCTCTTGGCAGCGACTGGAAACCAGTAGGTCACTTGTCTAGGAAATCTCCTAGCTATATTCTTTAAAGGGACTTTATGGCATTCCCTAAACTAGTCTCAAAGAAATGCACATTGTGGGAAAGTAGTCGCATTAACTTAATTGCAGATAGCTTTTGTCTTGCCATACCAATGCTGCTTGTAATTCCAAATTAGGCTGTGTTGATCAAAGGTCCATGCTTTAATGGCATTGTTTTAGTGAATAGGCATCCTCTTGGGCTTTAAGCTATTTACAACAGAAACAACAATAATAGCAGTGAATGAGAAAATCAGGGGAGCTTTCATTGTGCTCACAGAACAGGACAGCAAGGCTTTTGTATATGGAGTTACTGGGAGTGCAGAGCATAATCACTGGACTTTTTTATTTGATACCAACCTCTTTTTGACTGTTCCTTGGGGGGAAATGCCGCTCGTGGTAGAAGTGAAGTTTCTGTAATGAGACTTCCGGGAGGTTGCTGTGAAAGTTAGATAGCGGAGAAATGGCGAGAAACTAGAAACCGATGGCTAAAGTTTTAAGAAACAGGACTTAATGACCACACCTTGGGCAGTCTTAACTGAAAGAGGCCAGAAACAAAAACCTTGAGGGGAAGGATTTCTTTCAGCCGTGATGCTTTTTCTCTGGTGTTGCTGGTTACTCAGAAATGTTCGATATCATTTCCCACTTACTGTATTTTTTGCACACTTTTTCCCTCCTAAAAAGTAAGGGGAAATGTGTGTGCGTCTTATGGAGCGAATGCAGGCTGCACAGCTATCCCAGAAGCCAGAACAGCAAGAGGGATTGCTGCTCTCACTGCGCAGCGATCCCTCTTGCTGTTCTGGCTTCTGAGATTCAGAATATTTTTTTTCTTGTTTTCCTCCTCCAAAAACTAGGTGAGTCTTGTGGTCTGGTGCGTCTTAATAGAGCGAAAAATACGGTAAATAACGGGGAGATGGCTTGTGCTAATGCTGCTTTCTAATGGCTGGTCTTAGCCCAGTAGTTGCTGTCGGACTGAGTACTCTGCCATCTTGAATTCAATGTGGCCAAATGTCTCAGCTTGGGAAGAAAGGGTGGGTGGGCATGGGGACTGGTAAGTGAATGTTGTGCTAATGAAATAGCACTAACACAACCACACCGTAACCAGCACTTAAGTATGACAGAGTGCTGCTGAAAAAGAGAAAATGCAGTTTAGGGTTGCTTACATTGGGGGAGGGGGCAAGGGAAGACGATTTAAAAATGGGTCTCTAGAGGGAATTGTATAAATATTTTTATATTATATTTAATATATATACTATATTTGTACACATATTAAAAGATTATAGTCTGAGCTCTCCATATGCCTTCCATTACTTTTACCTAGAAGTTTACTGGCTGGGGCTGGGGCTCCAGTGTATCACAAAACTTCTGCAGGCTGTTTGCCTGCTGCCAACTGACAACAAAAAATGACCCAACAACCAGATTAACAAGTACAAAGCTGTTGGTCATCCTAATTCAGTTAGATGCTTAAGGCCATATATGATCAGTAAGCCCCTGGGGTTCCCAATAGGAAGGGTAACAACAGTTTTGAGCAAGGGGAGGAATGTTGTCACTGGCCTTTGCACTGTTCTGGCCAAGAGAGCAGCCCCGAAGTGTGTTTATGTTGTTGGACCTTGAAAGACCGGCAAGTCAAATCTGTTTGTTTGTTTCTCTGAAGTGCCATGCTCTTATCCTCTCCAAGGTGGGTCGCCCTTGTTTCATACTTGAGTATCCTATTGAATTAGGGTAGAAAGATGTGTGCAGATGAAAGCACTTTATTGAGGGGGGTGGGGGGCCTCATTCGGAATACAGTTTATTATTTTTAGGCAATGGAACTGTTCACAATGGGGGGGGGGTGTCCAAAGGAATCGGAATGTAGACTATTGTCAAAAAGAGGCATTGCTGGAAAATGTTTCTCAATATGGGGATCCTTTGAGACTCTGAACACAAGCTTATGCAGGCATCTGATACTGGATGGTTTTGTGGGAAACGGATAAATCTACACACTTAAGCTCTTTGAAGAGCTGTTTTTTAAAAAAATAATAATGTTGCACAATTGTCGGAGAGATATCAACAGGAGGCTTGTTAGAGCCTTTAAAATGATTCTAAGTGGTCCTTAGGATTAAAATGTGTAGAGGGTTTACAGATGTGGCCTTCAGTAGACTGCTTCAGTCACAATTATAGAATAGTTTGTATTTTTAGAGAGAACAGGTTTTTTTGTGTGTGGGCTTTATTTTTTTAACGTTATGGTGTCATGTGCTGTCTGCATGTGTGTCAAACGCATAAATCGTCTCCATTGGAAATTTCTTGCTGAAACATTGTATGTGGTGGGAAGAGCGGCTTGGCAGGAGCAGCTTGGATTTCAAAGGGAGGAAAAGTTTTTATTTTTCTTTCCTTTCTCCCCCTTACCAGTAAAAAGCATTGGAGACATTTTTTAATGAACCGAAGTATATAGAGATGTCTGAAAATGAATGTTGATTGGCTCATAAATAAATGAGGCAAGCGTCGAAATAAGATTTTTTAAAATTTAATTTGGTTGTTTATGAAACTGGGTAGTTTATTTGTCAATATATATTTTTTTAACACTACATTCCTCTGTCTTTTAATAAACAAGTACTTTACAGTCAGTGTTGCTATGCTTCATGCTTTTTCATCTGCATGGGTGTTGCCAGCAGCATGATAGGCTATATTGCTTAAAGATATTGTATCTACCAGTAATACACACAAGCAAAACAAAACACTGTGTATGAACAAAATACTGTGTTGCCTGATCTACAGATCCCAGCTCTGACCGAGAGGTGCTGCACTAGTAGACAATCAAAATCTAGGGAAGACTTTGGGAGGGGGAAGGGATGTTCTTAAAGATACAGCTGCTTTGAAAGTGTTTTTTATTCTTAAAAGGAGTATTTATTTTTAAAATTGTCTAATTGGATACTTTTCAGTGTTGATTTCACATTGTCTTGGTTTTGCATTAAAAAAAAATGGCATTAGATTTGTATATGTAGAACAACCTGTGCAATTTTCATGATCTAACTTCAGGAAAATGTAGATATGGTTCCCTAGTGTTCATGTGACCATTACCAAGTGTCAGTTTTTAACTGAATAAATATAACATTTGAAATTTCTGCTTCTTGTAGCCTTAAGGTCCTGGTTTGAATTCATTTCTATGTCTTGGCTGCTGCTTTGTTGGTATTGTTCCATCTGGCGCTACTTTCCCTCAGTAACTGTAGCTCCAAATAAGGACCGATGTCAGGAGTGGGGTACAAGAGGCATCAAATACCGTGGGTTTGGTGATTCTGTACCTTCAGTGAATCTACACTGGTCCTGCCGGCCTCTTTGAACTAGTGCATGGTGGGGAATCTTTTACCCGCAAGATGTTGCAGAACTACAACTCCCATCAGCAACAGCAAGCACGGCCAATGTCCAAGGATAGTGGGAGTTATAGTCAAGCAATATCTGGAAGGCCAAATATTCAACACCCCTTGGACTAGAGCTGAGCAGCTCCAGTTCAGTCTGCCTAGCACTCAAGGTACTTCTAGGCAGCATTTTCTAATTTAAGCCTCTTCCAATATATCCAGATATGCCCACAATCTTCTGTAGCTACCCTCTATCTTCATTTAGGAATGAACAAAAATAGTTCCTAAAGAGGAAGTTGCTTCTTAATGTTCTGGGCATTTTTAAAATCCTATGCAGGGGATGCATTTCAAACAAGCTAAATGAAGTATGTTTTGATAATATGAACAAATGGCTTTCAAACTTCCTTTTGTGGAATCTTTTCCACAATCACGCTGGCGTCCTTTTTGTACATGTCTCCCGACAACCCCGTCCTCCCAAGTGTTTGAACTCCAGAGTTACATTCTAGGATGCCATTATTTTAGTTCAGACCAAGAGGCATCTTACGGACACTCCATGAAAAGTTAAAATGCATGCCTCTGAATACATCAAACGTGCCACTGTGGCTGTACATTGCAGGTAAAAATCAGCAAAGCAAAGGATGCCTGTCTGCCATCACTCAAATAAATGGAATGCCAGGTTAAACCTTGGCTCTAGCAGCCTCTCATGTTGAAAACTAGCAACGGTGGCTACATTGCAAATTGCAGCTAAGTCTTTGTCCTAGGTCAGGTGTAGGGAGACTGTGGTCCTCTGGGTGTTGCTGTCATCCCAGCTGGGGCTTTTACGAATTGGAATCCATCATCATCTGGAGGTTGCAGCAATTTCAAAGTGCACACAACTTAATAATTGTTTTAGACATCAATTCTGTCCTTGAAGCAGCAAAAACTTTTATTCAGGAACAGCAGCTGAACTTCTAGTCTGAGAGAGGTACTTCCCACTTAAGACAGAGAGGTGCCCACACTAGCCGCTCCTTGAGAGCTGCCAGGAATGTGTTACTGAACTAGGACACACCTCAAGAGAATGCTGCCACTAGACTGAAAAAGGTCACCATCCATGGACTAGAGAGAGCAGACAGCTATTCTTAAAATTTAGACGCTTTTGGCCCGTGGGCTAAATTTCTGTACTGCTTTGGAGAACCATAGGAATAGAAATAAGAATAATCAAGTCACCTTTATACAGTTTATTGTTTCAAGTAATCTTTCCATCCTGATAAAATATTACTTACAGTAATTCTTAAGTCTTTGGCTATTTCATCTGGTCTTCTAGCTAGCTGATGTAAAACGTGTGCTTGAACCTCTCTCATTTAAGGGCTAAGACTACCTCTGGATGATGCTTTGTTTCCTAATTCTGCAATAATTTCCTCATACTTCATATGTAAGCACAAATTTACTATTCCAGACATGATGCTTATATATGAAGAATGGAGAACTACTGCACTTTCTCAGTACCCAGAGATATTTATATTGTCTTCACAGCAGTCTGTCAAAGACACAGTATTAGACGACTGAAACTCCTCAAACGATCTGCTTAAGAATCATTACAGAAATGACTGAATGATTTAAACACAGTAGCAACCACAAGGAATCACAGAAATATTTGTCCAGACTAGACACTGAATGTAGCCAAAATGCTTGCCTGTAGGATAAAAGTGCCCCCCCAACCAAGTAGAAATACTACACAATAACTTCCTCTGAATTAAGCTAAGCAGTCAAAGCAACTACATTTCTAAAACAGAAGACACCTAAATTTATTCATGTTCTCCCTGTTTACCTTTTTAATTTCTAAAAGAAAAACAATCAACACCTTAGTAAGTACTTTAATCTGAAAAAGCAGTGAATGTTTAGTATAAATACAAAAAAAGAGGAATTTTATTTGGTTACTATCTGGCTAGATTGTGTACTTGAATACATTTGAATTCTGAATCGGCATACTTGATACCAAAACATTCTGATTTTTCTACAATTCAGTTACAAACTGAATTCACAAATCCTTGAGGAAGTGAGTTAGTCCTAAGTGCAGATTTCAGATTTCCTGGTATTCATTATTGATTGTGGAACGGTGTACTTGGGCTGCAAGGTCGGAGGCAAAAGGTTCTCCGCAATACTTTGTACTAGACACTTGGTAAGGCATAACTGCAAGCCAAAGGCAGCAGCAATTCGTCCAGAATGGGGATCTTTCGGCAATGGCTAGTGGTGATCCGCAGATGAAGTAGCAAACCTCATAAAATTTCAGAAGGTGGATCTCAGTTTACCTGAGTCAGCTACAGTAAGCAAACATATTATTCGTGTCCCAAATATATAGACTATGCATGTTCTCCAGCACAGATTGTGTCCACAAAGTATACCAAACTAAACGTTACTATAAAAGTTACAGCATCCCATCTTCAGTGCTTGTTTCACTAATAGCTGTACACTATATACAGGAATACAAGGGTAGGTTTGTTGATCCTAATTCTTGCTCTTTCAAGGAAAGGGGGAAATCTCTTGTTAAAAACCAGCATCTGGGCTTATAAATAGTGCAGAAAATGCAAATGCTAAGAAAACAATGCCTCCTATGATTGTCACTGTAAGAGAGAGAGAGAGAGAGAAAAGATGGTGATTAAATCAGAAGGACAAAGTTCACTCTGTATCTAATGGCTCTCTTTCATCCCATAAACAACTTACAGCACCCATTTGCCTTAAAGCACTGATGCACCCATTAAGCTGTTTCTGGCTCTTGCAGAATTGTGACAAGTTCTTCTCTTTCACTGCCCTCCGCCAAGGGACGCCACATGGCCCCTGTACTGCACACACAATTCAAGCATGTTCAGACTCAAGAAGTCACAAGCATGCTTGTACGCAGACCAGCACGCTTTCTCACGAATGGAAGTACCCATGATGTGGTTCTCATGAAGCATGTTCTTAAAGATAAGCCTTTGGGCTCACACCAGGGAGCAAAACCAGCAGAAAGGAGAAATTGACTTCTGACAGTGCGGCTTTTCATTTTCTTGAAAAGCGAACGCACTTTTTTCTAGCGGGCAGTAAACATGACAAAGAGGTAGGGCAGCTGATGTCCTAACATCAAGGTGGAACTGGTGGAAAGTGCCTCACACAGCCTGTGAGCTTCTAGAGAATGGGAAATTTGGCCCTACCCAACTCAGTTTGGGTTTTATAGCCTTGTCTTTTAGAGATTAAACCAATGGCCACTTAATAAAAGTATTATTGTATGGCTAATGTTATGTGGCTCTATCTCCCTGTAGCTGCCACTCTGTACTTGCATAATGGAAACTGCCACTATTTTGTGAGGAGCCATTTAACACAAACTTCTTAAAAGGGAGAAGGCCACCCAGATCATATTTGAAGCAGCTGCTGGTGTAAACTTATTAAAATCTGTTAACACCATTCAAGTAACATGTTTTGTTTTGGTTTTTTTTTTCAAAAAAGAGATAGGGTGCAGACACTAAAATTATAGTATCAGCAGCATGCAGGCTGCATATTGTCTGGTGCCTATGAGCACAAGAATGACTATAGCTGTCTTGAGTGTTCATGCAGGAAAAAACAGTTGTTTTGATGCAGCCCTCTAGCTCAAATGTAATTTGAACATAGCAACTCATTACATGCATTCAACACATCCCTCTCACTACTTTCAGCCCCTAATTAATCCAAGTTTGAAATTCCACTCGCTTTGCAATTATTAGGCAAATCAGCTTCCAATCAATAGCTTACTTACCAGTCCGAACAGATATTTTTTGTGCTATCATTCTTCCTCCAATCACCGCTAGGCCAGTACATAAGCTATGGCCAACTGTTCCACCTACTGCCACACCATAGGGATCCTGTACAAATACGCACGGTCAATTTTCAATGCAGTTTAAAAGCTACAGCTCTCTACAGCACCTTATCAAGGAGGTATTTATGCATTCAAAGGGCTTGATCAGACAAAGCCACATTAAGAGAAGATTGTCAACCACTTCAAAAGTTGGGGTTAATGACCAGGGTGATTTTATTGGGCAGCTGTTTCCTGGGATAAAAGCAAAAAAGTGTGACCATTTCCAGTTACCGCCGATACAACACTCACCCCCTCATTAAATGAGAATTGTTTTTTCCAACTCATTTAAATACCCACTTCTGTTTTAAGGATAGAATCGTGATAATGCTTAAACAGTGGTGGCTCACTCCCAGTTTAGGGGCCTGATACAGCACCTAGGCAATTTTTTTCTCTCTGGTCCCATGAGTGCCTACCAATTTTGCTGGTGGAAGCGAAAAGGAAAAGAAAAAAGGTAGCCACAGTGTTAGCCTTCCTCCTCAGCTGATTTGCACAGATCAGCAGAGGAGGGGAGCTGTGTGCCTTTGTGTGTCCCATGAGATAGAGGATGAACCTGTACAGGGTGTCCAGACCAACTTTGAGCTACATCCATGACTGGAATGTGGCATATATAATGACTGTTTCAGAGGCTACTGTCTAAAATCAATCTCGGATTATTTAGCCTTTGGACAAACTTTCGACCCCATGCTACTTTATAATGCCTGAAAATATAAACACAGATACATTAATATGTGTGCCTGCACCTAAGGCAGCAATCCCATGCCCGCTTACCCGGGAGGAAGTCTCACCAACTCAAGGGGACTTGTTTCCAAATAAGACAGGAAGCAGCCCAAAGAGCTCACTTTGTCTAGCATTTGCTGTACGCCAAAGGACGCTGCCAAAAGTATACCTCTGGAGGAGATGTGCATCCTGCTCTAAACCTAAATCCCCTAGGCCCAATACTACAGGAGGAAAGGGGGTGTGTGGAGAAAGAGAGCAGGCAGACTCAAGTACACCAGCCATTTGCAGCAGCAAAGGAAGAAAGTCTATAAGCACACACACAGCCTGCCCCTTGCATATATCACACGTAGGCTCCCTGACTGGGCACATGCTCCTTTGATTGCAATAATGGCTACAGGATGCAATGGGTATTTGCGTAAGTACCCCTTCTCCTCTGGTTGAATGAAGAGAAGCAGCACAGAGAACAAATCCCACTAGCAAACCTTCATCATTGTGCTCCTTCTCTATAAGCCACGTGCTACTGCTGCAACTCCTGAATGAGTTTACTGAGCAGCAGGTGTGGCAGTGCACACTTTGAACAGTTTAAGGGATGCTTTCTCTTGAGCAAATTCATGTAGCCACAATATTAAGCGAGACATTTTCACCTGTTCCGTCACTACCAGGTTCTGCTCCCCACTGCCCTTCTAAATGTATTTTATTTAGTAAGCTTAGCAGTTTTACCCCACTAAAAACAAGTTCTTGGAGACAACCTCCCCCAACCTGGTGCCAAACCAATGGATTCAAGTTACAAGAAAGGAGATTCCAACTAAACTTCAGGAATAACTTTCTGGCAATAAGAGCTGTTGGGGGGCCCATCTGTCATGGATGCTTTTATTGAGATTCCTGCATTGCAGAGGGTTGGACTAGATGACCCCTCGGATCCCTTCCAACTCTACAATTCTATGGTTCTATTATTAGTTCTTGAGAATGTTGCTCTTTGATTAGATACATCCTATGCATTTCACTCACCTCTCTTGCTGCAAGAACTATTGTGGTTAACTGAGAGCGGTCGCCCCATTCGGCTAAGAACGTTAAAGTAAAAGCTTGCACAAAAATTGGAGAGATAAAGTGCAGCCATTTTCTTTGAGGTATAGCAGGGCCTGTTCCCATTTCCACATCTCCAGGTCCATTTAATAGTTTTGTTCTCTGGAGCTAGAAGCAAAAGGCGGATGTTAGAAAAGAATAGGAGCTAACTCGCTCCTACGTATAAGTAAGGAGCTACGTGTAAGTAGCACATACATCAATTATCAGAACACTAATTTTTTTTACATATAACTCATATGGCAGCTTTTATCACAAAGACTTAGTCAATTCAGTTCACCCAGAATCTATTGGAAAGGCCTAGTGACTAATATATATTAGCAATTTGGGTGAATAAATATTAACACTTAAGTCAGAACCAGTATAGTTCTCCTATGACCATTCTGAGATGATAATGAGTTTAAAATGAGAGCTAAAGCAGAATGCCAAATCTATTTCGTACTAGCGATTTCAGAAATGATTAATAAAGCACAACAATTCTGATAATGTTTACTGTTTGAAGTTCTGCACTTATATACCAACAATAATAATAATGAAAATATCCTGAAATGAGGAGATGTTATCTAAACAACTTAACAAAACTTCTGGCTCTTAGAATACAAAAACTGTATTGAAACCAAGCCAGAAGTAACCATTGAAGGACTGTACAATATATAGCACAATAACCTACTAATAGGTTCTCACCACCAAAACTAAGAACATACAACCTATAGAGGTTAGTAGAACAATCTCAGTTAAAATACTTCAATTTCTTTCTTACTGAAATTTGTATCCAGGAGTTTTTCTTCTCTTGCTCTTGTAGCACAACTCTGTTTTAGTCAGCTGTTAAACATACTGCAGGAAGCAGAGGATATATTTTGCTACATCATGCAAGAGCTATATATCTGGTGTATCAATTCCATTTCGGAACAGGTGTAGCTAAATATCTAGCTACTTTCCCTAGACTTCCTGATTTCACAAAGATACTCTGCATGGTGTACACATGCTCTATATACTTCAACTTACTTCTTCATCCTTCTTTTTGAGTTCTGCTTGAACTTCCTCCAGCTCTTCCTGACCCTCATCTGCACCCATCTTCAAGCCTTCCCGGAGCATTCGGATGCCAAAAATTGCAAAGAGTGCTGTCGACACGTAGTAGGTGTATACTCTGGGGATTACTGTGGTGGCATAGCCAAATAAAACTAGGAGTGGAAAAACAAAAACATTTCAGGCTACCTGTGAAGTTGGCTTTGCTCATTCCCTAAAGCTAATTCAGGTTGCAAGCTGGTTAACAGGAAATTAGATTCTCTACTAATTCAGGGAGCTCTTAATTTATCTGGTCGGATGTATACCTCATTCCCAAAAAGGAGCCCAGGGCAGCTAACATCAAAAGATACAACATACTGAACCATTAAAACTACATTCCCATTCTAGGGCAATTCATGAAACTCGTCCAGAATACACCTTCCTTTAGGTCTAACTTGCCATCTTTCTGCCAGATTTGATGCAAAACAAAAGGCATGAACCACTGTCTAGCAAGGCAGTATTTAAGAGTTGCTTTCTACATGTACACAATCTATTTTTCAACCCATTTATATAAGAAGTTGCCTTGGTGAATTGGATTAAATGTCTTATGTGAGTGGTTGTAGCAGGTCTCTAATTCCTTGGCCAGAAATATTTCCCATCCTTGCTACCCAAGACACTTTAACTCACACAATAGCTGACAGTAACATTGGCATGATTTTAGTTAAATAGAACACGTTAGCAAAAACACAATGGGGTGGATTCATGTCCACCGTTCCACAAATGAAAGGATTCCTTCCATTCATGAGAGTCAGTCAGATCCAGGGGAAGCTCCCATTTTGCAAACTGGATATAGATAGAGGGGTCCCCATCCCCGTCCCACACCCAGATCCCACCAGCCCCACTTCAGTTCCTATTGCCACATGTCATGCTGTTCTGAGGTTCCTCCAATTCTCTGGAGCATATTTTCGGAGGCAGCAGAGGAAGGGGAAATTCTTTTGTAGGACAGAAGACACAAAAGCAAGGCCTGACTGTCTTCTCCACATATATGTGTCACTGTTTGCAGTTTTCCTACATATGTTCCAGGACAGAGAAGCTACAGCACCCACCTGATAAACATGTCATCAACCCCAGGGCAAGCATAGCCCCAGCGAGCACTGTTAACCGGTTGTAACGCATTGCCATGATGGCTGCAATGAAGAAAGTTTTGTCGCCAAGTTCAGAGACAATGATGACCGATATAGCAGCCACGAATGCATGGATAAATCCCAGGTTCGTCTTATCCCCGGAGTCTTCACTAACAGAATGGATGGGAGCCACTGGAGTAGGTCCTTTCTGGGGAGGAAAGAAAAAAGTTTTATTTCTCTCACCCAAATCCATCTATTATATAGATTTTCTTATTGCACTAGCTGCGGTCAGTAATTTAACTAAACTTGCATTGGGTTAAACCGGGGACAGAAACCTGCACGTAAGCCACAACCCAAATAACCTTGGGTGTGCTAACTGATTAAGAAATCAAATTATTTATTGATTTCTTAGCTGCACTTCACCATAAAGTCCCAGGGCACAATAAGTGCATCAGTTTGAAGGGTTGTTGTTGTTTTCAAAAAGCAGGTCAATATACTTTAAAAATTTCCAAAGACTGGGAAACCTGGTTTATCGGAATTTCTGATTACAAGGACAGTCTCTAAGAGCATTCACTCAATGTCATTTTAAAAACTCTTCAGAACTTTTCAGATATTTGCATGATTATCACAGAGAAGCCAGTTCACCTGAGGACAGTGGGGGAAGGGTTTGCCTGCATGCTCTTGGCCTCAATTTAATCCATCACATGTTAGGGTGAATGCCTGTACATTTTACTTCAATACGTTTTCATATCTTGCTACTTGCTGCAAACTATGTCGTCTATTAACTAACTTATGCTATTCAGCTGCTTAATTATGATTTTTTGGGGGTAAATATTATACTAAAGAATGATTTTTCAGAAACAAACAAGGGAAAAAGAATTGAAGTTAATAATGATACTAGTGTTTAAATCTTCAGCTGCCCATGTTTCCCAATATTCTGGCAAATGATTCATGTAAACTCTGCAATTTTCTATATACAGAAAATTCTCTATACAGAGGGGTAGGAGAGCTGGGGTATAAAAAAAAACACACCACACACCTGGAAACCTAGGAGGCTTAGTTTGGTCAGAATCAAGTACACATTTCCAGAGTTAATGCTAAATACATTACTTCTGGTAAATGAGCCACCATAGCCACTAGAGAGCTGTGAAAATTTGTGTCCCGGGCTTTTTAGACTTGTCTACCCATGTACTATCTGAAACCCAAGGGGCACATTGGTTGCCAGATGTGAAATATACTGGCATTATTTTCAGCTCTCGTACCCCACTACTAAAATGCCTCTTCCTTAGGGTAGGACCACTTGAGACTGTCAACAAACTTGAACCTGAGAATGAAATGTTTCATGATTATATACTGATGTCAATTACACCAGATGAGAGATGAGTTGCAGAGCTACCATTTTGTACCAGAAGAATAGACACCCCCCCAAATGCAGTAATTTCTTCAGCGGAAAATTTGAAGGTTAACAATGTGTTGGTCTTAACTTTTTATCAATTTGAATAGTTAACAGAATTGTAAAGAAAAACATTTTTATGTTCTTCTTGACAATAGACTGCAGTTGAAGAGATGCCCATAGACAGATACTGTATTTGGTAAACTAGATTTTACATACATTAGAACACACTACTGTACTAATGTTTCACATCCCTGCTTACCAGTTTGCTGATTTGTTGTATTTGCATGCCAACTTTCCTCCAGATAGCCTGGAATGGCAGATATGGGGTCACCTCATTTTAGCCTCTGGTGTAGTTCAGGCAAACACTTTAGTGCCCAGAGTTCCTCAGTGATCTTCAGGACTGAATGAAAACATAGCCAGGTCTTCCTAATTGAACTGCAACATTCTTAATTGCATCAGACTTGATGATCCCTTAAGTCAGGCATGGCCAAAGTTGGCCCTCCAGCTGTTTTGGGACTACAACTCCCATCATCCCTAGCTAACAGGACCAGTGGTCAGGGGTGATGGGAACTGTAGACCCAAAACAGCTGGAGGTCCAGGTTTGGCCATGCCTGACTTAAGTGATGTCAAAATGTACTCCTGCTACAATTATCAACACATCGATACTACTGTGGCAACAATCACAGTTACCCAAGAGTTTTAAATGATTCCATTTAAATGGCTGGAATGTGACATCAAGTTAACACATATGTGAGAAAGAGAATTAAAGACCACATGTAGCTAAATCCATTGTAGCCACCAACAGATCAGAACAGTGTTGTCCAGTAGACATTGTGTTGCATTATAAGACAACTGTTCATTTATGGACTAATTTTGGGTGAAAAACCTAAGAGCACTTCACACCACTTTTTGTGTCCTGCTTCACATACCCAAAGATCACTTCAAATCTGACCTCAAGACTTCCAACCACTTCAGCATATTTTCTCCGCCCTGGCATTCCTGTTAATATTTAATGTTTTAATCACTCAGTTATAATTTATCATTGCAAGCTACCTGAAGTAGCTCTATATTTTGCACTTCAAACTTTGAGTCATCTACACTCTGCTGATCACATATTTGTGGTATTTTACCCTGAGCTGCCATCTATCCCACTTATTACAAAGCTTAGGTTCCAGTCACCCTGGAGAGATATCTGTTTACGTCTATGCCAAACTCATCCCACGTACAACTTTTCAACCACTTTGGCAACCCCAGATTTGCCATACTTTATGAATTACTATACCGTACTTCATTGTAACCTTCTGAATCACCCATATTACCTCTGATAAGGCAGGTACTTGGAGTGTACAGACAACTGTGGAAAGTGGCATTCCTTTAAGGTCAGGAGATTCTAAAACAACATCCCTTATCAGATATAACAAGGAAAAATTTCAAATTCCACTGAAGGTAAGATCAAGACAGTGACCTCATACACTCTGAATCTAACAGATCCATCAAGTCCAAATCCTATCCTATTGCTCAAACTCAGAAGCACTATCTGTCTGAAATGCAGAGAACGCAAGGTAAAATTTAAGTTGCCTAGATTTCACTCTTAATATGCATGAAGTTTTAAACTGTAAAGCTCTCTTTTCTTTGCTTAATAATAATAATAGAGATCAGGTAGTATGTAGAAAATGTTTCACCCTGCCAGCCCTTTGTCACTGGTGACACAACCATCAAGAAAAGGTGAAAATCAGGAGTAACACGAAAAACTGGATTTGTAGATAAAGATAATACTTATGGCTTACTTGGACTCAGTTGCCGTATTTTCCAAAAAGATAAGTTGTGTCGTGTTGAAGCTGTATTACAGGGGCATGAAAGCTTTAAGTCACATACAGTGTGGAGCTATAGAATCTCAGCTTCTTTTTATGAGTCATTTTTGCATTGCTCCTGAGTCATTTTTGCATTGCTCAAGCAGTTTTAACTTCTAAATTACTGGTTTCTCTTAAGCACACTATTCTCACCTTATTAAATTAAAGGGTTAATTTTAGCCTGAGGGAATTTACCCATACTGTGCTTTACTAATTACTAATCCCTTGATTAAAGTAAACACAATAAATGACATTTTCTATTTTACAACATTTAGTTTTAATTGTGCCACAAGAGCTATTGAATGGCTACAGCACTATAAGGGAATTGTGACAGGGTTCCTAACACAGTGCCAGTTAGAAACTGGGACAGAAAAGCTAGGAGCCAAATGGCTTCTGGGACCTGGGTTGTGGATGCCAAAACAGAATGTCTAGTCGCCACTGGGGGGCAGCGGTCAGGAACACTTTTTATTTATTATTTTAATAAGCATGAATTAATACACAATTCACATAACTGATACACTGTTAATATCACTTTTTAGCAGAAATTATTAATACAAAATAAATTCGTGTTTACAATAAAAATATTGGTACCATACTTCAGGTTTCAACACACTCTACTCTTTATTGTTAAACTCCTTAACATATTGTATCCTAAACATATCCTTTGAGGCTTCAAAGCACATGCATTTCAGTAATCCTTGAGTGTCAGCCAGGTGCAAAAAATGGCACCCAGACTTTTTAAAGCGCTCGCAAATAGAGAATCTTTAGGCGCAAAATGCACCTTGCGCCCTGCTAATTTCAAACCCTGCCCTCAACCTACCAATGAACTGATCGTTATGACATCCCCTGCAAGCAGAACCAACTAGACATGTTCAGGAATTTATTGTCGATAGAAAAAAATAGAGAAGGAACATTTTATGTTAACAGAATTTGAACTGTTACCATTTACTCTGTGACAAAAAGTTCACCAAAACCTCTCCACCCCTCAAGGCTGCCAAGAAGTCACAGTGGTCTGAGACAATGAGGCAGGCTTGTCATCTTGATTGTGAGGCTTGGCAACACTTTAGTCTCCAGGATGCTAAACTGTGATAAACAAAAACAATGCATTTAGCTCACTCCTTCAACTGAACCTGCACCAATATTTGTACGGCTTGCTTCACACTTTAGACTGCAATTGTTTTTGCTGCGGCTACCCTGACTGTTTGTGGCAGCTCATGCACAAAGTGTCAACAGAGACAGACTTGAAAATACCCATGCTGGAAGAGCCATAGATGCACCTCTGGTATGAAACACTGTTTCTGATAGAATGCACATAACATACCAGTGGCAAGCACACTCCAGTATAAAGTGCAAAGTGGCCCTAAGTACCCTGTGTATTATACATTATTTAAAATGAATAACTTAGGTAGTACTATATTCTGAAGGATCTCAATGGATGATCCAAGCAAGCACCTTGAAGACCAACAACAAATACAGTACACATGGCAGCTCTTTGAATTTTCCTCATAGATGCAAGGGAGAAGTTGCCTGAGGCTTCCTCCTTGACCTGAAGAACAAGACACCACATTTTAAGTCTCTGAGTGAAACAAGCCTCAAGGCAAGCAATACCCATTGTCTCAGCAGAACCTCTATTAAGACATGTATGCTTTATCCCTGATCTATGCAAGAGATTCACTAGGAGGATCTGTGATTTAACCATAGATTAAAAGCATATGTTATCGGGAACAGCGAGACCATCCATAGCATATTATGATTATATGGTTATAAGATTAGGATGATACCTACACCAGGCCATACCATACTACTTTAAACATACCTACTACTTTAAACAGTCATGGCTTCCCCCAAATAATTCTGGGACCTGCAGTTTGTTAAGAGTGCTGACAGTTGCTTCATGCAGCTACAGTTCACAGAGTTCGCTGTGAAGAGGGATTGATTGTTAAACAATTTGTGCAGCCTCCTTTGGGCAGTCAGCATTCTTCTACATAGAGAAGATAGGCTCAGGAAGTAAGTGCCTGTCATTTCAAAATATCCAGAACCACAGAAGTGGGAAGAGCACAGAAAAGGACCTGAATTTGCTTCTATATGCCAGTGTGTGCTGCTGCTACTATAAGACCAAGATCGCACAAAGTAGGGAACTCTGTTGCCCATAGTCAACAGCATTAAGTTGAACTTGCTGCAAGTACAGCAGGGTGCAGAAACTTCAGTCCTCCAGGTGTTGCTGAATGACAATTGCCATTGTATCTGACCATTGCCCATTCTGGGTGGGGCTGAAGGGAGCTGATGTTCAACAAAATTTGAAAGGTCACAGATTCTCCATCTTTGAAATACAGAGCAGTTTTGTGCCCTTAAGGAATATTTATGTTAGAAATATCTGGCTGCCATGGTTTCCACTTCAAGAAGGAATACTGTGGAACCAGAACAGCAGCATTTACTAGAAGTAGAGACATTCTCAAATTATAAGAAAAGAGAGAAACATGAGTGTTAACTACCTAAAAGCCAGAGGGAACAGAGAAAGGCAGTGTAGACCCTCTCCAACTTCTTATATGACAATGGAGATTTCCAGGAGAGGTTCAAAGTCAGCTCTCCTCATCCCCATGCCAAGGTAAAATGGGAAAACTGCCTGTCTCTTTGTGTGACTTCTTCAGGGCAGCAAGCCTCCTAGCAAACAAAGTGGCCAGGCATGTCTCCTGTGTTGTAGATCATTGCATATTAAGTAGAAGTGCTGCAGGAGAAGATTTCCACCATCATCACTAAACCTGCCTCCTGGAGAAAAGTTTTAGCATTTTGAATTTCTACTTCCCACCCAGTTTTAAAAGTCACAGCAGCCTTTCCAGGGAGAGGGATAGCAAAGGACTGAAATGGTAGGGCATTGAATGAGACAACCTCTTTGAAATTTCCTCGCACTGGGATAGATAAAGTAGGGTGGAGTCACAGAAAACTTCCAGGCAAATTATCCCCCATCCCAATTCTAGTGCAGCACTTCACTATTAATCACTTGCTCCCTACTTAACCACCCTGTTCAGGTCACAGTGGCAAAATGAAGTCTACAGTGCAAAAATCAATTTGTGGGGAGGAAAAGTGGGCGGTTCTAATGCACATTAGTGAGTGCCAAATAGCAAGTCTCACACTTCTAATACTTTTAACAGTCACACACTGCTAGTTTTCAGTAATGTAATCAGAAATAAAATCTGACCATTTAACACCTGCTACTCCTATTTGTGGCCATGCTCCTTTTGTGAACAAAGATATGCAGGTTACATAATAGAGAAAATTCTTTGGACAAATGCAACATATGTTCCATTCTCTGTTGAACCATTGCACCCCAACCATGATTTTATGGGTAGACATAGGACTCCTACACAAGTCTAAACCATTGTACCTTTTTCTACAAGACGGATTCCTGCTCCCACCTCCCCTGCCAACACTCTGGCAACACAGTCCACTTTTTCTTCTCAAAACTAAAATATGGCTATAATCTGATAGAATTATGAAGTCTTATGCTGGTACTCTGTACCTGATTGTATCCCTACGGCTTTCAATAAAACACATTTTAACCATCTCCCAGCACCATAGATGCATTACCTAACTTTATGAACAATTCTCTCAGCACAGATGTGGTGGGGAACTTTGGCCTTCCAGATGTTGCCGAACTGCCCATCAGCTGTAGCAAGATTGGCCAGGGGTGATGGGAGCTATAGTTCAACAACATCTGGAGGGCCAAAGGTTCCCCATGCTTGCCTTAGCAGGACCCCAAAGACAGCAGGCAATCTCTGTCACCACAGAGCTGATGAAAGGCAGTTTCCCTCAGAGGGCTACTTCTCAGTAAATAAGCAGATAGCGTATTCCCAGTTTCAAGGCAGCTCCCCTGAAAACCTTGCAGGTAGGTGCCCCCGCAAGATTTATTGTGGCACAAACTTTCATGGACAGGCCCAAGTTCATCAAGTGCATGAAGTGCTACCCTTAGCTGGGGAAGGGGGGCGCTCAAAAGTTTATAAAACGTTTGGGTCGACAGCTATTGTGGTTTTATACATGCACCTGCAGGCAGACATACAGGCCTGGGGAGTGAATAAGAGCAGCAAAACAGCCCGGTGGAAAGACCACGAAGTCCTCGAGTAAACTCATGATGGGGAGGAATAACACTCCCTGCACCTGATGAAGTGAAGTCCACCAAGCCTTTCCCCCTCCCCACTTGCAGCTGCTGCAAGCACGCGTTCACTACGAAACCCCCCAACAAACACGTGTCCGAAACTAAGGTTGGCTTCTCCCGTCAGGATCTCTCCCTCTTCCTCCTCTCCATTCCCTCCCACACACACACGAGAGCCACGTCAGGGCTCCGCCAAGGAGCGGAGAGCGCCCTCCGTTTACCGCGCCCCGAAGAACGTCTCGTGTGAGTGCGCGCGCACGTGTATTTTTTGGGGGGGAGGGGGAGATGCGGCCGGAGGATGCTCTGAAGAGCCGGGGCCAGCCTCGCTCCAGGCCCCCGAGCCGCCCGCTCCCCTTCGAGCCTACCCCCGGCGCCCCTCACCTCGGCCTTGGCCAGCTCCGGCCCTTGCACCGCCGGCTGCTGAGGCGGCGGCGGCTTCTGCTGCTCCTGCTGAGGCGGCGGCGGCGGCTCCCCCCGGTCCTGGCCATTCTCCGGCTCCGAGGCGGCGAAGGGCGCGGCGAGGAGCAGCAGCAGCAGGAGCCGCGCGGGGCCCGCCATTCCCGGCGCCGAGTCCTCTCCCGCTAACAGGAAGAAGCGCGGCGGCGGCAGCGAGAGCGGAGGCGGCACTTCCCCGCCGCCATAGCCGCTTCCTCCTCCGCGACCCCTCAACCAAACAACGCCGAAGCTGTTCCCTCCGCCACGCCACCGAAGCCTCAGAGGCGGGGCCCGCCCCCTTGCTCCGCATCCGCCTCTCTGATTGGCGGCGCCGGAACCAGCATGTTCGAATCATCCCCGCTTTGCAAAGAGCGAGAGAGAGCTGCGCTCGAAGGGGGCGGGGCTGGGGAGAGCGAGAGAGCGAACCTACCTAACCCTACCTGGGTCACGTGGCGCTTTCCCCTCCGACCCGCTCCCTCCCTCTGGGGCCGCGCGACTCCTCAAGAATTCTGGTAGTTTAAGTGGGTGGGAAATAAAGACCCAGGCGTGCAATGTAAATTGTGCACCTTATGATGCATGAGATCATGGCCACTGGTCCCATCACCTCCTGGCAAATAGAAGGGGAAGAAATGGAGGCAGTGAGAGATTTTACTTGGGCTCCATGATCACTGCAGATGGTGACAGCAGTCACGAAATTAAAAGATGCCTGCTTCTTGGGAGAAAAGCAATGACAAACCTAGACAGCATCTTGAAAAGCAGAGACATCACCTTGCCAACAAAGGTCCATATAGTTAAAGCTATGGTTTTCCCAGTAGTGATGTATGGAAGTGAGACCTGGACCGTAAAGAAGGCTGATCGCCGAAGAATTGATGCTTTTGAATTATGGTGCTGGAGGAGACTCTTGAGAGTTCCATGGACTGCAAGAAGATCAAACCTATCCATTCTGAAGGAAATCAGCCCTGAGTGCTCACTGGAAGGACAGATCCTGAAGCTGAGGCTCCAGTATTACCTCATGAGAAGAGAAGACTCCCTGGAAAAGACCCTGATGTTGGGAAAGATGGAGGGCACAAGGAGAAGGGGACGACAGAGGACGAGATGGTTGGACAGTGTTCTCGAAGCTACCAGCATGAGTTTGACCAAATTGCGGGAGGCAGTGGAAGACAGGAGTGCTTGGCGTGCTCTGGTCCATGGGGTCACGAAGAGTCGGACACGACTAAACAACGATAGGGGATGGTGGTGCGCACCGTGTAGCAGCACATCATCCCAGGTCACTGTTCCTTCTGTCCTGGGGATTGGGGGACTTAACCCAGCAAGCAAAATGCTTTCTTTGCAGAAAGACAGGCTTACAATACAGATAAGGAACAGCAGGGAAGACAAAGCACCATCGTTGGCTTAGGATAGTTTCTGAAAAGTTGCTCGAAGCAGCTCCCCGTCTCGTGGGGAAGCATTGACTCCGCCAGATGTTGTGGAGCTGCATCTCCACCCTCATGCCATCCTTGCTTGGGGCTGGTGGGAATTCTGGGATGCTTGTCAACATCTGCATTCAGTTGCCCTGATCTTGTGAAGGAGATCTGCATCTTGTATGGCAAATAAGAGAAACAGATATTTATGGCAAACTGTGGACATAAATCCACCTCTGCATAAGGACCCTGTCTATTAGCACCACACTCTTTTGCATGGAATGCACATTTTGAGGTGCTTTCAAATATGCATGTAAACAGATGCATGCTAACAGTTTATTTCTTCCTCTTGGGTTGGGGCATTGTTGAGGGCTTTTTGTTGGAGAGGGTACTGGTGGACTGGTCATGTGCGGATGCCTGATCATTGTCTTCCAAAGCAACTACTCTATTCCCAACTTAAAAATGGAAAGTGTAATGCTGGTGGTCAACAAAAGAGGTTTAAAGACTGTCTCAAGGCAAATCTAAAAAAATGTAGTATAAACACTGGCCTGCGGGTGCTCCAGTTGGAGAACAGCCTTTACCAAAGGTGTCAAGGGCTTTGAAGACACTCGAACTCAGGACGCAAGGGAGAAACGTGCTAAGAGGAAGGCACGCTTGGAAAATCCACACCGTGATCAATTCCCGCCCAGAAACCAATGTCCCCACTATGGAAGGAACGTGTGGATCCAGAATTGGCCTCCACAGTCACTTACTGACTCATTGTTAAAACTGTGTTTATGGAAGACAATCTTACTTGGCTATGAGTGATCGCCAAAGAGAAAGAGATCTGGAAATTGTTCAATTTGGTTGTGTACTTTTTGAAGTTTTGTTTTATTACATATAACTGCTTTTATGTTTGCAGTTATGTGTTTGTTTTTAATATGTTGTAAGCCACCTTGAGCAGTTTTAACTGTGGAAAGGCAGCATACAAATAAAATGACTGATTGATTCGTAACTAGAACTGAATTATATTGCAAGTGAGGCTTACCTCATGGTAAACACAGGTTGGTTGGGCTGCAAACTCTCCTTGGTTACTACTTGTAAGCAGCTACACAATCCATCTGCAAATGTTGCTGCTTTTAAACATTGTGCTTAAATTGTGTTCTTGTTCTTTTAATTGACTTATTACTTAGTTGCTATTGCTTTATACTGCTTTAATTTTGTGTGTTTGTGTACAAGCCAACCAGAGAGCCCATGTTATAGGGTGACAGTAAATCCATCAGTAATACTCTACCTACTCTAAAGTAGCCCCACTGACATCACTGTCTGTTCATTATTGTGATGAAGTATGCAGTTCAATGAGTGCAGTCTCAGCAGGTCGGACATTCCGGCTATGGAGCGCAAAGTGCTATGTTGACATAAACTTGGTTATTTCAGCAACTTCCCTGAGTTTATTCTGGAGACATAGAGTCTGAGTGACACACTGGATTGTTCACTTACTGCTGCAATACATTTCTGACCAGAAAGGTGGGTGGAGGATCCTTAATTTGTCGATGTCTCGTCATACATCTTTGCCTGCCAACCGTAGCCAAACAACTTGACAGAATCAGTAATTTTTTTCTGTTTACAAGACTGTTGATTTACACCCAGAAACGCTGCCAGGGATAAATAGCCTTGAAGCAAAGCCAGGTGTCCTTTTAGGAACGCAGCCCAGTTCTTGTTACTGGAAGTGCCAAATGTAAATGAGAATTAAATAAAAACAAAGCTGGATTATTTTTAAAAAGTTATTGCATAGCAACAACAACAACAAAAACCCCAACTGTTACTGTTGTTCTTGTTCTATTATTAAGATTACACCACCTTAGACATTTGAGTTTGAAAAATAAAGAACACTTGGAAGCCATCTTGTCTTACTCTGATACTTACATAGAATTCAATAACTGGTTAACCTGAAAATCTTTTGGCTCAATCCTGCGGCAGAGTGTCCACATCATAACTGGGTGATGAGCTCATTTGACTCAACTGCATGGTATCAGATGAGCCTATGAGATGGCATAGATTACAGCCTGCTAATCACTAAAATATTTAATATAATAAAATAAATGGCTTAACCAAACTATACCACATGCATCAACTAAAAATTCCAGAGGAGCATTGGTCTTCAACTGGTCATTATCACCACTCTCCATTATTCTAGGAGAGGGAAAGGAAAGGAACAAAGTAGAGTTGCTAGGCGTTTTGAGCCGAGATTGGAGAACTTTGGGATTTTTTTTTGGACAAATTTAAGGTATCCACTTGAAATAATAAAATACTGTATTTGAAATAGTTCTGGAATACGTGGAAAGGGCGTGTGTTATTCTAGAGGCCTCAAGGCTCTATCCCAGCATCCTCATCAGGTGCTCAACCTTTTTAACAGCAAAATCCTTGGCATGTATACTCAGAAGTTCTGTTGAATTCATTGCGAGTTACAACCTTAGGGCACAATCCTATGGACATTTATTCAAGCTGAAACGGAGAACCCATGGCCGCCTATGGTGGGTCAGGCTGAAGGGAATGGTGGTTAAGCATCTGAAAGGCCACAAGTTCTCCAGTCTTGTATGCAGTGCTTTTTGTGCGTGACAGTATTCACCAGTTCAGGGTACCTGCACCTTTCCCTTTCCCACCCCCTGCTCATGGCAGCCATTTTGTTTGGGCACCCAACACACTTATATAGAGTGTACTGGCACCTCATTTGTTTGTTTTTTAAATAAAAAAAGTACTTCCTGTACTGTAGATTAAGTATCTTTGTCCTGGGAGGCAGTTCCAAACACAGAATTTGCACACAAGACCGTAGTTTGTTCTCTCTTTCAACAAGATTCTCACGCTTCTGTCTGCAAGTGCAGTATATTATTATTAATATTAATTAAATTTATAGAAATTCTGTGGGCCTAATAAAATAGCAAGAATGGCAAGGAGTGGGGTAGAAGCCCATACCCATCAGGACTGCTAGGCATCAAAAGGCAGGGCTTCAGTGGCCTGTGTAACACTTTGCTCTTCCTCATATGTAACAAACCAAGATTGAATTGTGCAATTATATGCCAATTTTTATATAAGTAATGCTGCTACACGTTGCAGCATCCAGCTTTTCTTAACAGCACTTTGTTTTCCCCACCAGAATCGGCTCACAGCCTTCTGGGTACTCTCTGTATCTATGTGGTGTTTTTTTTTTTTTTTAAATACTTCATTAAGTACTTTACTCTGCCACATTATTCTATTGTGGTTGAAGAAAATAAGCAGGACAGTATGTATTTGCTTCTTTCAAAGCAGACCAGTGGTTCAGGTTTTTATTAAATATGTAAATATTACATTGGGTATTCTACATACAACAGATGGATAAAATAGTATAAAATACACACCATCCATTTTAAATAGTTGTATAAAAATGTAAGTCATTGCTGTACCAGACAAAATTTGATCCTAAGAAAAGTTTGTGAGACCCAAACGTCTTTCCCTAGCTTTCTTGGGCTTGTTACATTATGAAGAAAATCTTTAAGCCTTTGCTCCCACGCACTCATATGAAAATAAATAATAAAATAGATGATACTACAGTAGTGCTATATGTTCAACTACCCTGGTGTGAAAGACATTAATAGGGTTAACCAATATCACATCTTCCAACAGTGTGTGTGTGTGTGTGTGTGTGTGTGTGTGTGTGTGTGTTTGTGTGTGTGTGTGTGTGTGTGATGGGTAGAGTACATGTTCAGATTAACAGTACTTAGGAGAGCATTGATGGGACACCTGGATTTCCAAAAGCATTTTTTCAAAACCATTACCAGGGGTTTCCAGACCCTTGTGCAAGGAGACCCACTTCACTGTGAGCTGAAAAAGACAAACAGTGTAGCTGGAGTGAGGTAGAGCACATGAACTGAGCTACCCAGAACCATCTTTTGGTTGGTTGGAGGAAATACGTATGTGAGGCTATTGGGAAGGCTTATTTTATGAAATGTCAATGCAGTTATGTAGCTTCTCAAGTATTAACAGGTTGCTGAAAGCATAAGATATTCTCCTCCACCGGCTTCCTTTTTTTTAAATTCAGAATTTCTAATCCTTACATTCTTAGGAAATAACTGTGCATGGCCATGGGCCTGCAATGATCTTCCAGCGCTGTAACTTGCAAAGTTGCATTGGGGCAGGAAGCCTGACCCCGAAAACTGTTGCATCACATGGCTGTGGTCTCCTTAGTTTTGGATCGAAACCATGACGTGCAACTACATTTTCTATATTTGCATTGTTCTGAACACCTATGCGCTTATCTAGAATGGTTCACACAGTGCAAAGTCTCCATTTAAACATAGGCGTTTGTGAGAAACACGACAATGTTATTCTCTGTACTACAGGAAACAGTTCTCGCATACAATTTTCTTATGAAGGAATGACAGCAACAGAGTTATTTAATTTTCCAGGTTGTGCCTTGCCTTCAAGCTTTATAGAATAAGAAGCTGCAGTCGAGATTTCTGCTTCTAAATATTCAAAATGAAAGGTAGTATAATTTTCAAGTGTAGAAATAAGAACAGCCAATTTACACATGCATGGTAATTGTTCCAAGTAACTATTAGCAATGTGGTTCAAAAGAGTCCATTCACATACGCAAGGGCCATTAAAATGATTTTTCATCATTTCATTATTCAAATGATGTGCATGAATATGTGAATCGGACTAAAGGTGCAGCAGTTTCTTTCAGTTCTACATGCTGCACAGAACGAGTGCAGAAAAATAAATACATGTTCAATAGTGCCGTCTTTGCTCTTACTATGTAAATAATTCCTTCTCAATAAGGCCATATATAAGAAATATGGCTTCAGGTTTGAGCATTTGGTGGGGGAGATGGACACACACAGTATCTCTTTGTTCACAGTATGATCTTAGCATACTCAGAAGTAAGTTTTGCTGTGTTCAATGGGCTTACCTGAAAGTAAGCCACTTTGAACTCAATGATACTTCCTTTTGAGTATTCATAAACTGATTGTTTCCATATACCACAGCAGTTCATTCTAAAAACTAAGTGGTAAAAGGATTTCAGACCGATCTGCATCAATTCAGTTTTAGTCAAATCCTCTGCTTATAACAGCCTCTTGACACCTAGAAAAAGATTTCCATTCCCCAAGTTAAGATGAACAGCCTAAAAAAGAAAGGGTACATAGGCTTTCCGACACTTTGGATACTGTTTGAAGTTGCTCAGGTAATATTCATGGCACAAAACGGCACTCACTGCCTGGCTGAAGAACACATAAGTCACAACAAGCCACCACGTTAAATTGTTAAACCCAAACATGATAGCCATCGACAGGTATATTAGAAGTTCGGCAAAGTAATGCGGACAGGACACAAACTCAAACCAGTCGCCGAAAGGAATACTGTGGTCCAAATTTAGTACTTTCCCTGAAATAGCAAAAAGTAAACAGGTGTTAGTCTTGTCTAGCTGAGGAATAATGTTGAAATACATCCCATTTTCACCAGCACTGATCTAATTTGTGGGTATTAGTGTTGTGGGGAAAGCAACAATACTTGCAAGATTATGGATGTGCAAGGTACTGTAACGTTTTTTACCTGGAGGAGCAAAAGCTAGACTAGAACAAACAGCAAAATATCTTACCTGATTTATTTTTTCTAAGATTAGCTAGAATCACATGACATCTATGTTGATGAACAGAGGCCCAAATGAACATCAGGACTCCAAGGACGTGGTACCAGCAGACAGTCAGTCGGTGATCTTTCCCTGAATTATGCAGAAAGAGGGTATGTTTAGATGCTAAAAGAATCAGAATCTATATTTCTTCTAGCAGCTAGCTCAGGCGGTTCTCCCAACTGCATGTCTCATCTTGGACGACACTCTTAACGCCACGTTCAAGATACAGAGGAGTATCAAATTCTTCCCTACAGTCCTTATTCTAAAGATCTGGCATACTGTCATGCTTATCGTTTCTATGATACCCCCAACTAACAAAAGAGGCAAAAAATTAAGTAGTGTTTGAGCTAGGAGGGCTGGCAAATCAACACATAAAGCAGGAATGGGGAACCTGTGGCCCTCCAGATATTTCCATCAGGTTCAGTCATCATGGCCAATGGTCAGACATGATGGAAACTGTAGTCCAACTGGTTCCCCAACCCTGACTTAAAGGAACATTGCACAGAAGTGAAATAAATTCTTAAATTATGGCATATTTCTGTAGATCTGATAACTAATGGGGGAATTTTTCATAAAAGCAAATGAATTTAATAAAGCAACAACTTATAGACACTTACAGCAAATTTAATATGGTGTACTTCTGTGATTCATCAACAGGAACTAGTTTAAAATCCCAGCTCTGCAGTATGTACTAGGCCAGAACTCACACAGACAACAGAAATCTCTCTGTCCCTGCCTGCTCCCGATTCTTGTTTGATTTAATCCCCCCCCCCCCAAAGAAAGAGGTAAAGGCATTTTACCTTGGTCTACAATAAGGGAAACAAATATTTATAAAAACACTTATGGCATAAATTCGCACAAAACTACATGCAAGTATGTGCCACAGAGTTCTACTTCAGTAACTATTTCAATCCAGTCTGCAAAAGAGTTCTGCGTAAACTAAAAGCTCACATACTGATTTGTGAACAGAAGCTGGCCCTAGTAAATGCATTCTTTATTATCCTTGTGATTATGTTTGACCTGTGGCTTCCTACATTGAACAAGTCTCTGCATTATTAGTATTTGGGAACTAAAAGAAATGGACACCTCAAATCTTAAGGTGAAAAGATACTTATCTCTAATCCAGACCTATATTAAAAAAACCCTGAATACAAATATTTTTGGGGTAGTTTTTCAACAGCAAGCTACATCCCACTGTATCTCAGAGTAAGATGTCCCCAAACCAGATCAAGGATGTGATGTTAGGAGTATTCTGCTACTCTGGATTTGTTTTCGTTTGGAAAAAAAAGAGCTCTTTAAAATCCTTATAAGTTTATAGCTTTCTATACTCTTACGTTCCATTTTGCTGTGTGTTGACCAGGCTTCAGCCTAATCTACTCCCATGGAAAACAAAGAAGCATTATATAAGATGCTGATGCTAAATAAGATACTTACCTTCCCGGACATTGGTTGGCACTTGACATAACAAAGTTAAGCCCAGCAGAACATAGTAACAGAGTCCAAAGCAGTACTGTACAATATGGATGACACCTCCTGAGAACACACTGATGTGAAGACACTCTTTTAGCCGTCTACAGCTGTTTAACCAGACAAAGAGGCAAACCAGGAAAACAGACAAGGATTCACCACCTAGAAATCCAACACAGGTTACCGTGTAAAACAACTGCTCTTTTCACCAGACATGTCAGATTCTCATTAAAAGGCAGATGAACAGCAGGATCAAAAGAGAAAGTAAATGCTTGCAAAAACAAGAACTCAGACACATTGCATTATGTTTGCATGCAGAATTCCAAGAACTTCGCAATATCGGCAGAACCATTATTGCATTGGGCACTTTCAAAACTGTTCATTTACTTTAGGAATAATCTGGCTCATCTCATCAGGGCAGCGAATAATGTATTTCATCATAATTGCAAAACATCCACCTACTATGAGATTCAAGTGCAAGGCTGCTCATCTGAATGATCTAAGTGGCGAATTCCTTGCCTGTGAAAAGCTAATGTGTCTGATACAAGGGTCCCACCCTAGCCATTTTTCCGACATGCAAGGAGTTTCTCTTTTACATGAAGGAACATTCAAACAAAAAAATGCTCCACCTGCATTCTCAAGTGGTACACTTCCAGGAGAACCCAAACCTTGAAATGTGTGCTCAAGGGAAACTTGCATCTGTAAATGATAGGGGAAAGTAAAGGAAGTCGTTCTACTGCCAGTGGTGCAACTGTGAAGATATGTTAAAAAATTATAGCATGCACTGATATACATGTTCAGGGGAAATAGTTTTGAGTTTTAAGACACTGTTTAAGTGGAGCAGATAGAGCCCTGAGGAAAGGATCCCACAAGGAGAACACAGGGGTTTTATTTTTCCATGACAAGCGACTCAGAAAGAATTAGACATTGACCGATTTTTGAAAAATAATGGATTACAAAAAGTATCTCAAGAGAGTAAATTAATATTAAACTCCACAATATCTGATCAAGAGGTGGAAGGAGCCATTCAGAATATGAAATTGGGCAAATCCCCAGGGCCGGATGGACTAACTGCAAAGTACTACAAATCTTTGAAAGAATGGTTATTGCAACCGTTGAAAGAACTTTGCAATGAAATACTACGGGGAGGAAAAGCACCCGAACCGTGGAAAGAAGCATACATTACACTTATACCAAAAACCGAAGTGGAGAAGACACAGTTGAAGAACTACCGTCCCATATCTCTACTTAATGTGGATTACAAAATTTTTGCGGAAATTATGGCAAAAAGATTAAAAAATGTATTGGTAAAAGAGATTCATAAAGACCAGGCGGGCTTTCTCCCTGGGAGACATTTGTCAGATAATACTAGGAATATTATTAATATTTTGGAAAAATTGCAAGTTAATATCAATACTAAAGCTGTCTTAATATTTGTAGATGCAGAGAAAGCGTTTGACAATATATCTTGGAGTTTTATGAAGAAAAATTTGCAGGGGATGGGGGTAGGCCAAAGTTTTGAAAATGGTATAGGTGCAATTTATTCGGAACAAAAAGCCAAGCTTATTGTGAACAATGTAGTTACAGAAGAATTTAAGATAGAGAAAGGAACAAGACAGGGTTGCCCAATCTCCCCATATATCGGTCCTGGAGGTTTTGCTCAATATGATTAGAAAAGACCAATTGGTTAAAGGTATACAACTCGGAGCTAAACAGTACAAATTGAAAGCTTTTGCTGATGATTTAGTTTTGACATTACAGGAGCCAGAAGCTAGTACAAAAAGAGTATTACAATTAATCCAAGAATTTGGTCAAGTAGCAGGTTTTAAATTAAACAAGACGAAAACTAAGGTATTAGAGAAAAACCTTACAGAGATTGAGAAGGAGAGGTTTCAGAAAGAGACAGGATTAACAATTGTTAATAAAGTGAAATATCTAGGGGTGAATATGACTGCCAAAAATGTGAATCTGTTTAAAGATAATTATGAAAAATGTTGGTCAGAAGTGAAGAAGGATTTAGAAATATGGTCAAAATTGAAGTTATCATTGTTGGGCCGAATTGCTGCGATAAAGATGAATGTATTGCCTAGAATGTTGTTTTTGTTTCAAACATTGCAAATTGTGGACAAAATGGACTGTTTCAAGAGGTGGCAAAGAGATATTTCTAAATTTATCTGGCAGGGCAAAAAGCCTAGAATAAAATTTAAGATATTAACAGATGCGAAGGAAAGAGGGGGATTTGCCCTGCCAGACCTTAAACTCTACTATGAATCAGCCGCTTTTTGTTGGCTGAAAGATTGGCTACTTCTTGAAAATGTGGACATTTTAGATTTAGAAGGTTTTGATAATGTGTTTGGATGGCATGCATATTTATGGTATGACAAAGTTAAAGCGCATAAGGCCTTTAAGAATCATATTGTCAGGAAAGCATTGTTTAATGTTTGGGTGAGATATAAGGATTTGTTGGAAAGTAAAACACCAAGGTGGCTGTCACCAATGGAGGCAAAGGCATTGAAAAAAACAAATATGGAGACAAACTGGCCAAAATATTGTGAAATTCTAGAACAAGTTGGAGATAAATTAAAATTGCAGAGTTTTGACAAATTAAAAACTAAAGTTCGAGATTGGCTTCACTATTACCAAATAAGGGAGGTTTTTAACCTAGATAAAAGATTGGTTTCCAGGAGCAAAAATCTAAACTGGAAACGGAATTGTTAGAACCTAAAACTAAAAATCTGTCAAGAATGTATAATCTGCTGTTGAAATGGAATACACAGGATGAAATGGTTAAGTCTGCTATGATTAAATGGGCACAAGATGTTGGACACAATATTATGTTTGCTGACTGGGAGCGGTTATGGACCACAGGTATGAAGTTTACGGCTTGCAATGTATTAAGAGAAAATATAATGAAAATGATCTATAGGTGGTATCTAACCCCAGTCAAGCTAGCCAAAATCTATCATTTGCCTGATAATAAATGTTGGAAATGCAAAGAAAATGAAGGAACCTTTTTCCACCTTTGGTGGACGTGCCCAAAGATCAAGGCCTTCTGGGAAATGATATATAATGAATTAAAAAAGGTATTGAAATACACTTTTGTGAAGAAACCAGAGGCTTTCCTCTTGGGCATGGTCGGCCAATTGGTGAGAAGGGAAGATAGGAATTTTTTTTATGTATGCGACAGCAGCGGCAAGAATACTCATTGGGAAATACTGGAAGACACAAGAATTGCCTACCCGAGAAGAATGGCAGAGGAAAGTGATGGACTATATGGAACTGGCTGAGATGACCGGCAGAATTCGAGATCAGGAAGAAGGGTTGATGGAAGAAGACTGGAAAAAATTTAAAACATATCTTCAGAAACACTGCAATATAAAAGAATGTTAGAAAAAGGTTGGAGAAGAATATTAGACCGTATTGGCAGACAGGGTATAATGGAATAAGTAAGCATGAAGTGTAAAATGAGGATAGAGGAGAATTAAGTACTTTCGAATGTTAAAATAAGTAAAAGAAAAGAAGGTTAGAAGGATTTGCTGGAGATACGATTTAAACTAGAATACAAAGCAGGGAGGTGAGAGGAAGTCATGGAAACAAGTAATGGGAAAATGGTTGTAATGGTCTAATTTGATTTTTGTTATTTTTTTATTGTGACTTTTTGTCTTTTTTATTTCTTTTTTATTGTCTGTTTTTTGTAAGATGTATGTGGTTTGTGTTTTTTTTTTTTTTTTTTTTTGTAACTTTAAAATTGGAATAAATATTCTTTATAAAAAAATAAAAAATAAAATATTTTTCCATGACAAGCAACAGTTCATATGATTCTCAGGAGTCTCAGGAGGTTTCGAAACAGAAAGAGTTTTGGCCGCCCTGTATGATGACCTCTGTTGGGAGGGAGTCTGGGGAACCGTGACCCTGTTAATTCTCCTCAACCTCTGGGTGGCTTTCGATACCACTGACTATGAAGCAACTGCCTCTCCCCATATGAACTGATCTGGACCCTGCAATCATCGTCTGGGGCCCCTCTTCATGTGCCACCCCCCTCCACGAAGGTCTGAAGGGTGGCAACACGAGAATGGGCCTGTTCTGCAATGGCTCCCTGCTTGTGGAAATTTCTCCCCAGGGAAGCTCGTCCAGCACCTTCATTTCATATCTTTAGGAACCAGCCAAAAATGTTTCTCTATATCCAGGCCTTTGGCTGATTAAATATTCTATGGCCTTTGAAATGTGGGTGTGGGTGTGTTACTGCTTTGTTTTTTTATTTTAATGTAGTTTGTAGTCTCATTTTGTCTTTTTAGGTTGTGAACCGCCCTGCAAACTTTGGATGAAGGGCAGTATACAAATTTAATAAATAAATTTCTCAGGAGTCGACACACCTCCATCATGGTCCTGTGATACTCCGTCAAGAATGCTGAGGACGTCCTGAAGCCAAATAGGGAAGGGCCTTGACAGAAGATGGCTTTGGAGAAGCAACAGCAGCACGGAACCGTTCCAGATCACTGACACAACATAGAAGTGGTAGAACCACCTGTAGAAGGAAGCACTGACAGTTTACTGTTTTATTCCCTACAACCACATTCCCTATATTCTAACCTTCTGTTGCCTTTCCTTCATTTGCCATGGCCGACTCACAAAAATATTTTTCCCAACACTCTCTTCCTTCCTTCACTGAACTGCCAAGGTAATACGTTCACTACCATCTCAAGTTGCAACTTTCAAAAAACCTATTTGTCATGTTTATTGGCTTTACCCATTTAACAATAGGAAGCCACGCACCCACCCAGCCTAGAATTGATGTTTTAGTTCATGCCTTAATTTCAGAGAGAATGAGATTGGCAAGACCATATACTGAATTGAATGACTATTTTTAGAACAACAGCAGACTCAAAACGTAATTTTAAGTTCGCCCACATTGCTTGGAATGATGTCTTAGGCATTTTTTCCCATTATTCTGCCTAAATAAGAAATTACAATTCCGATTTTGTTCATTTTGTCTAAATCATACTGCATGGGCTGCAACCATATGCATCTTACTCAGGAACAGGGTGGATAAAAAAAATATGATTTCAATATTATTATATTTTAAAAATGGATTTTTAAAAAAAAATAAATTGGATTTTTAAATATTTAAATTGGATATTTCAAATAAAATGCTTTTGGAGGAAAAATCTTTCTAAAGATAGTTTGCTATTTAAGTTACATTATAGTCCAAAGGCTATCCATCAGGAAATAAGGATTTGGTTTAAGTTTTTCATGTGTGCTAAAACTCAGACCAAGGTATTTTTTAAAAAAATGTTTAAGCACATCAGTTAACAAACATGGATGCATATGCTATAATGTTATTCTTTTAGTTAAATAAATTGTTTAAATTGTTATTAAGGAAATTTTTTTTCCTCCTTCCAATAAAGTACAGCAGAAAAGTTGTCCAAATATAAACAGTTAACTCATTAAACCCCACCATCATTTAATAATTATCTGTCTATGTATCTCTAATAGTATAACCAAATCAGTAATTTTTGATATAACTGTAAAAACTACTCTGAAAATTTATCATTCCAAAAACGAAACCTTCATCTGGCTGTAAACATTAAGATTATACCAGAAAAAAATGAGTCATTCTGTTAAAAAAATGATTTAAATCAAGTCTTACTGACTAGTGGTTTATTTTATTTTTTCTATTTTTTAAAATTGATTTTCCAAAAATTTTAAACAAACAAACAAACAAACAAACATACATCTTAATTGTACTTAATCCAATCTTTGTAACATTGTTAAGTGACTTCCTCACTGACTAGTGGTTTAAATCGATTTGATGTAAATCAAATCCACCCTGCTCCGGCATTGCAAGGGGGCCGGACTAGATGGCCCTCGGGTTCCCCTTCCAGTTCTACAATGCCACGAGTCTCATCAGGCACTCTGCACATGCCCAGGGTCACATGCCCACATTCATAGGGTCGCTTCGGTCACCTCTTGGGCACGTCGAAGACCTGCAGCTGGGGCGGGCGTGGCTGGCAGCCGCTCTTGGTCTTGCCGTAGCGGAGGAGATCCTGGAAGACGGCCGCCAGGCTGAGCGAGGGGCGCCCGGGAGGGGGCTTCAGCCGAGGCAGCTGCAGAGCCAGCAGCGCCGCCAGAAAACTGGCGGCCAGCACCAGCCACAGCTCAGCCATCGCTCCAGCAACTGCGCAGCCGCAAAAGCCAACCGGCCCTCTTGTTCATTTAAAAAACCCTCACACTTCCTTATTGGTTCCCTCCCATCACATGGTGTGTTTTTTCTTTTTTTTAAAAGGACGGACACCAATCAGCTATTGCCCTTCTGCCAGCCAATAGACACGAGGGGTGTTCGTCACCTCAAAGACTACACAACTGCCAAATCATCCATTGGGCCCGCCTCTAAAAGCTTTACATTCGCTATTTGTTTCGCCGTTCGGCTTTTAATTGGCGTTCCCATTTGTCACTTACAGCGCGTAAGGTTCCGGCCGCTCAGCTCATAGAGATAAGTAAAAGTGAAGAGCGACGTAAGCTGTTTCCCGTATTTTGAGTGTTTGTACTCCCAGTGAGAGCAGGATGTTCTGTCTTCATTACAGTCTGCTTATTTTTTAAAATATTTCAACCCGAGGAAGGAAAAAACAACCAACAACTTACAAAGAGAGCCGGGAAGGTGACCTCCATCCTTATTTTATTTATTTAACCAGACCTCACCTCTTACCTGGTTTACAAGAAGTATCAACATTATAAATTAAATCAACGTTTAAAATCAGCATCAACTAACAAGAGATTGAAATGTGTTGGAGTTTCTGCATAGCCGCCCACAGTAGCTGGGGAATCCCAGCCAGATGGGCGGGTATAAATATATTATTATTATTAGGCTTGCCCAGAGGAAAACGATTTCAGCAGCTGCCAGAAAGAATACAGGGAAGGCACCTGCTGGTGTTAACAGGCAGAGAGTTCGAAAGTGTAGGTGGTGCCACGCTAAAGCAAACAAACAAAAACAAACTTTTTTTCTTTAAGCGTAGAACAAGTATTGTGTGCCAGTTCCACAGACTGAAGTGGTCAAGCAGACTACTCTCCAATCCTACTTTCTGTACTCTGCGGTAAGGCGTGTGATCCCACATGTTAAATGGATTCCAAGCCGCTACAGTCATACCTCGGGTTGAATGCGCTTCGGGTTGAGCGCATTCGAGTTGCACTCTGTGGCAACCCGGAAGTAACGGAGCACATTTCTTCCGGGCTTCGCCGCTTGCGCATGCGCAGGTGCTCAAAATGACGTCATGCGCAGAAGCAGTGAAAAGTGTCGCGTTGCATGCGCAGACGTGCCGTCACTAGTTACGTTTGCTTCTAGATGCGAACGGGGCTCCGGAACAGATCCCATTCTTATCCAGAGGTACCACTGTAAAAGATTTTATGTACCAATAGTAACCTTGAACCTGGTCCCATAACGAATTGACAGCCAGTGGCAGATCTCTTGAGTACAGGTGTCCTGTGCTGAAAGGATCTCAGCCACTGTGATTCTGCATTAGCTGCAGCTTCCAGATCAAGCACAAGGGAAAGCCCCACACGAAGTGCATTGCAATAATCTACCCTTCAAAACCCCTACCTATGTTTCTTTACGTTTTGCCGGATGGCAACCTACACTTTAAGTCTTTGTTTTGTAAGGGATGTGTTTGGAAAACTCAGTATTCCTGAGAAGATGGAATATTCTGATCCGCCAGCATTCAATGAGTGTTTCCTGTGCATGTCACATTGTTTTAAATGAGCCCACTTTCCTTCAGCCTCAAAAGGAAAGTGCTAATAAGTGATAACATTGCATGTGGTATAGACACCTTTTCCTGGGACAGTCCTTGCGCCTGAGATGAATGGTGCTCGTATAGTGTACGCTAAAAACAAGTATTGTTCTGTTGTATGGTGATGAATAAATGACACTACACCTTATGCCTCACCACTAGATGGTACCAAATCCCTGTCTTTGAATTTTAAAAGGGAGCTAGTATCTCATAGAGTTTGAGAAATAATTTATTGGTATCTGTTTTCTGGAGTCTAGTTGCTATGCACTTTCATTTGATCAGATGATTGGTAAAAGCAGTCCTTTCATGGGGCTCATCCATACTTCCTTTTGTTTCTAGGCACAAGTCTGGGCTTTAAAGCTCCGTGTCTGAATGGTTTTATTTTTGGTCCCAGCGCTTTCCCCAGGAAAACCCTGTGTTTCACTGTTGAATCAGAGCAAACAACAGGTGGGTTTTCCATGGATTACTGTCTGCTCCAATTCAGTGGTAAAACACAGGTTTTCCCAAGGAAAGCACTAGGACAAAAAGAAAAGAAAAACATTGTGTGGACATGGAGCTTGAAATGCATGGTGCAAAAGGAAGTTTAGCTGAACTTGTGCATTGATTCATCATTAAACACCATAAAATGTACTGTTGGCTAAATATTGTTTTAAAACCTTTACTAGAAACTTTATAATAGCACAGTCCTCTGAAATACTCTGGCTGGGATCCAAAGAGCCAGTTTGAGCATGACCAATGCAATTTTTAAACTATTTCCCCTGTAAACAAGAGATGTCCAGGCATTTGACAAACTGCTTTTGAAACTCTTTTCAATGTCAAATGTGTTTTGCTGTGTGTGGCATTGAAGGAGGGGGACTGCTGCTAAATCTAAAAGCCCCCATAGCAACCTTTGCCAACCAGGTGCTCTCCAGGTGTCTTGGACTACAATTCACATCTACCTAACAACACAACAACAACCACAACCATTTATTTATTATATCATGCCTATCTGACTGGGTTGTCCCAGGCACTCTGGGAGGCTTTCAGTAAACCACAGTAAAGCATCAAACATTAAAAACTTCCCTAAACAGGGCTGTTTCCAAATGTCTTCTAAAAGTCAGATAGTTGTATATTTCCTTGACCTCTGATGGGAGGGCGTTCCACAGGGCAGGCGCCACTACCAAAAAGCCCCTCTGCCTGGTTCCCTGTAACCTCACTTCTCGCAGTGATGGAACCGCCAGAAGGCCCTTGGAGCTGGACCTCAGTGTCCGGGTGAATGATGGGGGTGGAGAAGCTCCTTCTCGTATACAGAACTGAAATTCTGTGAGGGAAGAAAAACTAAGTTGCTCTTCTCCCAATATTTAGTTTAATCATTTCTTACATTTTCCTTGTACTTGCTGTAGAAGAAAAACCTGTGTTGACTGAAACCTGTGTTGTTATCAGTAGGTCAATGGATCGGATCGGGAATTTATTTTTTACAACTAGCTTTAAATTATGCAGATTACAGAGGACAACTATCTCCCCTTCCCATTACTAATAGCAGTGGAGGTGGAAGGAAGTTAATTGCAGAAACCTCAAGACGAGATAGCATTAGCCCCTTTCCCCGCAAGCACCCCAGCCAATGCAATTCCTTCCCCTGCTGTTACAATAAATCTTGACTGCTTTAAAGTTTATATCCAGAATAAAACATAGAGTGATCCAATCATGGGTCTCATTCCCACCATCAGTTCTAGCTTGGACCACAGTATGAGTCCTTTGGTACTTTACAGATTAACATTGCATCCTAAATTTATGCAGAGAATCTTTAGTGGGAAAGGGAATTAAATTCTAGCCTGTGGCTTCTTTCCTTGCAGTGCTAGCAGAGACTAAGGATCAAATTAGACATGGTGTTAAAAACTTGCAGGTTTTAAAAAATGCAAATTGCATGGAGGTATAGGATGACAAATGGGATCAGAGCAGGCATGGAGTTAAATTTCCTCTCAATGCGTTCTCTGATCTTATTAATTATAATCCCACCCACCTGATGCAATTCCTACTTTTTAAAACCCCCCTGCATGTTAGATCCTAAGATGTATTCAGCAGCCTACGTCCTTGTTGTGGCAAGTAGCTAGTTTTGGCCTTAGAGTGTCAGGTTGAGTGGTAGTGGGACAAATCCAGTCCTGTTTTCACAGTGACCCTTTGGCAAGTCTATAAGTTACTTCTTCTCCCTACATACACACATTTTTACACATACATGCCAGTGCATTTGGATCTCCCAAGCACAATTACAAAGGTGTTTAAAGATATTTGTGTATATACACATTTGTGTGACCACACGTTTATGTATTTGCTGTCAGAAACACTCCTTTAACTCTCATGTGAAAGTTGGAGCTGCCATAAGGAGGAGATGTTTAGCTTTGGGATTCAGAGCACAACTTGTTTTATACAGGGAGAGGTGCTGCTCCATTGTGCTGTTATTCTGCTATCAAAATCCACTGATGATACTGACAGAACATCTAGCGACAACAACCTAACTCTTTGATTCCTCCTACTTTAAAATTCTGTCTAGAAAGGAGAAGTCTCTGATAAGGGCAGCAGTTCATATACAGAACTGTAAACCTTGTGAACTTATCAGCTAGATGCATATGATCCTGCTAATCTTTTTGTGAAATACGGAGAGGCACCAAAAATGTCACTTTCTCCACAAGATGTTGCAATCACTCACAAAGTCCTTAATTGCATAACCCCCCTTGACACCTCTCTGCATATCAATATGCTCAGTTTTAGCAGCAACAAAAAACTGGATTATGGATCTTTCCCAGTGCTATTTTTCTAGGAAGAAAGGTGCCAGAACGCACCATGAATACCCCCTTTGTTCTCTTACAATGGCAATTGCACTCACTTGAGAGGTGCCGGAACTGAGTTCTGGTGAGTTCTGATGAAAAAAAGCCCCTATCTTCCAAATATTTTTCTCCAGTTATTGCAGTAAATACTCAGTTTGTCATTCATACATGGCATGGATCTAGACATCTTCCACCAAAGACTATCTTCTGTTGTATGAGTATCTTATTTTCTCAGCACCAAATGACATTCTTCTTGCTGGGAGCTTATCAATAGGATTCCTTTTACTTTGTGTGACCTCTGCCCCGGACACTCAAAATTGACAGTATCTGGTCTTCACAGAATATACAGGGGAATGAGTGCTAAGGAACTTGGTGCTAAGAAGGTGGCTTGCTTCAAGTTGATACCTTTGTTGCTGTTTGTGTTTGACAAAGAGAAAAAAAGAGCAAGTAGCTTTCCTTCCAGAGGGACGCGGGTGGCGCTGTGGGTTAAACAACAGAGGCTAGGACTTGCCGATCAGAAGGTTGGCGGTTCGAATCCCCATGACGGGGTGAGCTCCCATTGCTCTGTCCCTGCTCCTGCCAACCTAGCAGTTCGAAAACACATCAGAGTGCAAGTAGATAAATAGGTACTGCTCCGGCGGGAAGGTAAACGACATTTCCATGCGCTGCTCTGGTTCTCCAGAAGCGGCTTAGTCACGCTGTACGCCGGCT